TATTTGCAGTACAACAAATTACATTTCTAATTTGAAATGAAGAACTAGTCCCTGTGTTATTCTGTAACAGTCTTTATTTTTAATAAAAGTAGCAGAAGTTTAATTTTTGTTTTATATTTTTTTCTAAAAAAAGGCTAAGAAAAGGTTTGTCTAGTACGACAAGACCCGAGATGTTTCAAGATGAATTGCAAGATCTTGTTGAAAAAAGCGATTCCTGCATTTCTTTCTCATACGGCAAATCACTCCCTCGTATGCAGACGACTACTGCCAAGGTTGTAATATTTTGTTTCCAATTAAGGGTGTAGAACATGGGTTCCACGTCGGCCATATATGCCGGTCGGGATCGAGGGCTATGAAAAATGACCGTAACTAGATGTGACCCATCGGTCATTTTGCACGCCGGAAAAAATCTCATAAATGGTGTTATAAGAGTTGTATTCATAGTCGTTGTGTTGTGTTGATAATTAATGATGAGTCTCTGGTAGAACAATAAAAGTCAATTGCGTGAAGCGGTCCATTCTTAGTTAATCACGTATTGTCCACTTGTCATAAAAATTTTCTAGAACAAAGCTGTTTATCACTATTACAGTTACGCACGATGTAAATGTAAATGAGATTATTATGATCTTCGAAAAAAGGGAAATTGATATGAAGTACTACTCTTAGAATCCAACCAGCAGTCATATTATATAAAAACAGCATAGAAATTACGTAAATCCCCAACAACGTAGGTGTTGGGAGAAAAATGCATTATAATTTTTATACGCCCTCATTGAAATGTGGTCGTATATTGTTGTCGCCCCCGTCCGTCCGTCCGGCTAAAGTTAATATCCGATTGACTTTAAATTTATACTCAGTCTATTGATTTTCAGTGATTTTCAATAATTACTGCCAGAGTTATGGCCCTTGATCACTTCAAAAAATCTTGTGGCTGCTCTAGAGGTCAAAGTTAATATCCGATTGACTTTAAATTTATACACAGTGTTTAAGGTCATGAGATGAAGAAGCCTATTCATTTTCAGCGATTTTCGATAACTACTGCCAGAGTTATGGCCCTTGATCACTTTGAAAAATCTTGTGGACGCTCTAGAGGCTAAACTAATATCCGATTGACTTTAAATTGATACACAGTGTTTAAGGTCATGAGACGAAGAATCCTATTGATTTTCAGCGATTTCCAATAATTTTTGCCAGAGTTATGGCCCTTGATCACTTTGAAAAACCTTGTGGACGCTCTAGAGGCTATAGTTAATATCCGATTGACTTTTAAGTTTAAATTTATACACAGTGTTTAAGGTCATGAGATGAAGACGCCTATTGATTTTCAGCGATTTCCGATAATTACTGCCAAAGTTATAGCCCTTGATCACTTTGAAAAATCTCGTGGATGCTCTAGAGGCTAAAGTTAATATCCGATTGACTTTAAATTTATACACAGTGTTTGAGGCCATGAGATGAAGAATCATATTGATTTTCAATGATTTCGGATAATTACTGCCAAAGTTATGGCCCTTGATCACTTTGAAAAATCTTGTGACGCTCTAGAGGCTAAAGTTATCATCCGATTGACTTCAGATTGATACACAGAGTTTAAGGTCTTGAGACGAACAAGTATATTGATTTTCAATGACTCTTTATGACTTGAACAGCTAAATCCATCATGTTAAAAGTTTCGTATACTAAACGTTACCATGGGCCCGAACTTTATAAAAACCAAACAAATTCTAATTGTTTTCTGATAATTACTTAATGAGTTGTTACTCTTAATCAGATTTTAATGTATTATAAATGTTTCATTACCGAAAAAAAGTAAAAATATGTGACAACTCTTGTTGACTGCCCGGACGATATATCTGCTGTGGGCGTATGTTTCGTTGCCTGGCAACCTATCTTTTTATATCGGTATTACGCCTTGTGTGAATTGTAGAAATAAAATCTAAGAGATTAGTTAACTTGCTTACCGTAAAATTAAGAAAATTACGTATTCCAGTGCTATTGTGTAATAATATATTGATAATTCCACGTGTTGCAAAAACATTGTGTATATGGTAACTCTTAGAAACGGCAATATTATTAGGATTTACGTCACAATTCTGCAGTCTGTAATGCCGTAAGAGATGGTCTAAAACCAATAAATATGAGATATATGCTGTCGATAATTATATATCTATCTTCATTTCGAAGTTATTGTATTACAACTAAAAATTATTCAGGTCAGTGTGTTTACTATAGAGCACGTGGTAATTACGTGTCAGCTACTGGATAGGTTTTTCTACGGCCAATTCATGCTGACAAAGTGGTATAGACACGTGAATTCACAATACCCTACTATGAATAAAAAACATGAAATATGAATTTACTTTGAAAAGTTTTCGTGCTTTATCAAAAATGACCGGCAGTGAAAATTTTGAAGTGGAAGCTCTGGTGTAGAGCAGTCTAAACTGCACATATTAAAGCTAGCACTGTAATTTTTGTTGATAAGATATGACATTTTTTATTACTTGGGGTGATAAACTACATTTTAATCACCAAAGAAATACCAATTTTATTTACCAACTATGTTCCAAACTTTGCCCAAAAGCATAATAATAAAGAGTGCTGATAACAACAAAAGTCAAATTATCTCAGTTGTTCTTGCATGGATTTTCATCAAATTTGGCATGAACAATGCTAATTGCAATTCCAAAAAGGCACAGAAAATTTTTGGCTATAGGCTGTGGTTTGTCTGGTATCCATGGTTTTATTGGAAATTCTTTTAGTATATGCTAAAAAGGGATATCGATAATCCCCTCCTTGGATCGAAAGTAGAGGTTATAAGCGACAATTGAACACCCAAAACGTTATAAAATATCAACTAAAAGTATTTTAAAATCTTTATTCATTATTTACCTTCAAACAAGATTTTGTGATTTCCAGTAAATTCTTTGAATATGTCCACAACAAGTTTTAAAATACAATAATTCCGATGTGAAAATTAAATATTTGCTTCAGTACACTACTCCGCCGCTCTCAAAATGATTTTATACATTCAAAAATCATAGTTTACAACCATCAAAAAATGAAATTCAGCCATGTTCGAGTCGCGATAGATGGTAGTCCTGGATAAGAGGGAATTACTTCTGACGTCATATCAATGATCCAGTGTGAAACTGTTGCTGGATACGGCCATGACGGTTTACTGCGGATGATGTGAACGGTGTATGACGTTATAATTTATTCAAGAACTGATCTAGATCCGGAGAAACCTTCTTGTTTGCAAGAAATCATTTTTTTCTTTCCACTTGTATCTCCATTGTGTTTTTAACAGTTTCAAATATCAATGTATTTTTTATTTATCATACAAAGATTGCAGACTATAAAGAGTACGGTTTACTCTGACTTTGCATGGATCATTCCAACCTTGGATGATCATTAAAGGGTGTAAAGCTTGAACTCAATATCATCTAGAGTCTTTCATATTGCAAACACAAGATTTATTGGTCCATTTATTGATTTATTGGTTAACATTCCGTGGAAATACTGGATTCTATTTCCAGTATGTAAGATGCAGTGAACAATTTTGATACAGACTTTCCTGTAATTTTCATTACTTGTTTCTTCAGTTTCTTCCGCAAAACTATCAAAGTGAATTGCAAGGAGCCAGAATCGATGCATGTGACAAATTTATATAATGGTGAACCGGCCATGATACGCTGAATACATTTATAAAGCTCTTGCCTCCACAAGGGCCATACACAAAGCATTAATAAAACACGCTTCTGACACACTTAAATGCAAATGATTTAAATTTGGCCAACTGTCTTCATTGGAGGAAAATTTTCCCTATTCTAATGTGGATATTAAGAATATTTTTCAACAGGTGCCGATTCTCTCTATTGCTGCCCTTTCACCCTCAATATCATTAATGAAATCTTATCCTTTACTTTGCAAAATTTGGCAATACCCATCAGTGATGACCAGAATTTTGTCTGCTATGACACAAGATGCTGATGCTGATTGGAAATTCTGTGCCTCGCTTCATAAAGATGTTTTGATTCATATTTCTGGTCATATTACACTGCATTGATCCAAAAGCAATCTGTAAATGTTAAGCTTTGAAATACTAAAAAATATTGAAGTATTATAATTGCATACACTCTCTTTTTTTTTTAAAAAATGCCAGTGTTTGTTTTTACTTCATTATAATCAAAATAAATTGGATGGATCTAGCTAGTAATTAATCAAGCTGTATATCACAACACCAGCTTTGAATTTCCAACAAATTGTCAACCCACAACACAAATCAACACATAAAATCCAATGAAATCAACAATTTTATTTTTGACCCAAATCAAAAAGGTTGGCCATTTTAATAACAGATTTATTAATAGAGATAATACTACAAAAATTTAATATTCTTTTTAGAAAATGTCTTGCTAATTTGAGATGAACACAATTCTTGAAAATTGACAGACTAGCAAAATTTTGGAGGAAGACTCTGCTACATGGGACAAACAATTTTTGTGCAGGATTTGGCCTGTTTTGAAAAGAATATATTAGCATTATCAGTTTTGTGGTACCCAGTTTGAATTTTGATCCTTGTGCTTGGAACTCATGAGAAAGAACATCATTTCCAATTTTTATTTTGGTTGAGACTTGAAAATTGACTGATCATCTGGCTTTACATTTTTCCATTGTCTTATGAAACACTTTGCAAGGGAAATGTTCAAAATTCAGTTGATTTTCGTTAGCATTTGACTATATTTGATATGGTTCCAATTTTCTGTAAATATTTTTAAACATATATTTCTTTTCTATTATTATTATTATGTGTATTGAATATTGTTTTATATATGATGCCTAACCATTTGATATGAAATAATTTCAAGGCGTCCATCGCCTCTTTGTAATTAATAAAAGTAGGGTACCAAGTCAAACTGATTCATCATTGGCTGTTAAAAGATTCTTGATTAATAACAATTGATAATTTTTCGCAACTAACAAACTTTTTTTTTTAAAAGGTTGCAGATACAACAACAAGTACATCTTATGAAATTGCTCGCCTGGCAACAATTCCCTCAGATAATGTCCAGCATAAGGTTTCTGTGGGAATTATTGATTTAACACCTCGTATGGAATACATCAGTATTCCTAAAAAGGTTCCCAGAGCCTTCTTGACTGCCAAACTGACTAACACCTCTCAGTTTACATTGTTGCCAGGGCCAACCAGTATTTTCTTGGACAACAGTTTCGTTGCTAAGGTAAGTTCATCCTCAGGTTTGATGCTAATTAGTTTAGATCTTCATACGTTTAGCACCAAGACCACCCTTAACTTGTGCTCCAAACATGAATAGCTGTACATGATGTCCCAAAGAACTAGTATACAGTCAACTGTATTTAGTTACAATACATCCATCTTTACCGGGAGGCATGGTTGCTCAGTGAGCAGTGCACTGTCTAGTTTAAATGGAGTTTCCAGGTTCGATCCCTGTAATGGCTGTGAAAGGTCCTCAGAATGTCCCAACCTGATTTCCCCTTGTGATTGTTGCAGGACGCTGGACCTTTTAAGGAACAGCATCTGATCATTTGGATAGGACAAAAACCTGAGGTCCTGTGTAAATATTCTTGTGCGTGTAAAAAAAACCCCTTGGGATTGGATGAAGAAGAGATGTAAACGTCTCTGTCAAGGCAAAATTTCCCTCATAGCACACTGCATGGTGTATGCCCATTTGTATTATACAATTGATACAAAGATAATAATCAAAGTATAAAACTGTTAAAAATTCATTTTTACCAATTAATGTTTTATAGGCTGAACTGAAATCTGTTTCCCCACAAGAAGAATTTGAATGTTCATTAGGTGTCGACCCATCCGTGAGGGTTATTTATAAACCAATGAAAAAATTCCAAGAAACAACTGGTTTTATCTCTAAACAACGCTCTGTGATGCATGAACAAAGCATAGAAATTAAAAATACTCATGACTATAAGATAAAAATTTTGGTGAAAGATAATTTACCCCAGAGTGGAGTGGATAAAGTCAAGGTAATGTAAAAATATTTTTATTTAAAATGTGTTTTTATTCTGTGGTGTCCTCCCCCCCCCCTATCCCCACCCCCAGGTTTTCTTCTCATAGACTGTTTGTTAACTTAGGATGGTAGAGACTTCATGCCATCATCAATTTAAGGACCCTGAATTGTGTGATATTTTGATGGAAAATACATTTGACCACATTTTTCCATAACACACCACATGGCCCCAATAAAGTGTGTTGACCCTGGCCTAAAAGCCTAAAGGAGGACTTGTGTCAATTTTGGCGATTTGATTTGATGCAACTGGATGAAACTGAATGTAACTAAGAGTTGCATGAAAAAAACATGACATAAACCATCCTGCAACTGTGAAGAAAGCCAATTGCGGTTAGTCAACCAATCGGTTGGAACTATTGGCAGCCACATAAGCAATGTTACAACTGTATGCAACTAGTTTTAGGGAATGTTTAAGCATCCCGGTATATTTCATAGTTTTCCTCCGGTCTCTACTACATCATTTGTGTACATAAAAATGGCGGACAAGTTGTTAGTGACGATGTGTTTGGACAGCAAAGGCGTATTCGTATTCAAAGAAAGGGTTATACCATCAAAACCGGCATTTAAAAAAATTATTAGTTAACCTTTAGTGTCGCCATTTTTTACTGATCGCATGACTTTCTTGTGGTTTCTTTGACCTTAGTTTGGTTGCAGTAGGGGTTTAATATTATTTCAGTTAAATAATTTTTGTTTAAAATATAATTTCAGGTGAACCTTGTAGAACCAGTGATAGATTTGAAACATCCAGAAAAAAATAAAGATATCCGAATAAATACCAAACAAAATCACATTGAATGGGATCTTGAAGTTGGAAAACAGGAGACCAGAACTATCACTTTGAAATATACAGTTGAACTGCCTGCATCAGAGGAAATCAACACACAAGAAAGACTGTATGAAAGTTAAACTCGTATTTGTTTTATGTGAAGTTTGAAAGAGGAGTTAGAGACCACTTTTGTTACTTTAAAACTTCTTCTTTAATAGATTTGTTAATACCCATAGTTTCTGTTATCAAATCAAATATGACAGGTTGTAATCGGTTCATGAAAAGGGTCATTTGCACTTCAGATTTTTTTTGTGGTAAGATTTTATATTAACCTATGTCGATATAATTCATATCCAAGAATATTTCTATGAGATTCTCTATATAATCAACAAAATCATGTATATCTATTGAAACATTATTTAGAAATACAAAAAAATATATTCTGGTTCTCAGAAAACACTTCCTAAAAATAATGCAGAGGTTTATGCTTTTTTATTTGATGTTCGCATATAAAGATCACATTTCAAGCCACTACATTTATCTCATCATGTTGTTTTAGGAATGTATTATTAGTGATTGTCAATAACATTTATCAGAATTGTGTATTTGATAATTTTGTATGTCAGTTAATGACACATTTTATAATTTTTGTTTTTTGGAAATAGAAACTGGTCATGCAGCTCTTTATAAGTGATGTAGGAGTATCTGAGAAACAGAATATTTTTTATATGGCCTTTCTGGATTGCTGTTGTTTTTTAGAGAGAGAGTATTATAAAATCTGCTCACTAAATGTTGTTTTCTTAATTTATATGTAGCACTATTTTGTTTGTTATTATACAGGGTGGGCTAAAAACCCATTCTGAGAAGTGGTGCATGAATTGAGCATGTCATTAATTATTGAACCCTGTTCAGAAATACTGACAAAATAGAGACTTTTAGTATCCAATAAAAAATTAATGCTTCTGTGACATTTTTCTGAAAAAAATTATTAGAGTATTCACATTTAAAGAAGTAGTGTACTGTCAGAATGGGTAACATTTTTTTTTTGGCCGACCCTGTATATGTATATAAATATTTCTACGGGGTCCAAATTTTATATGTTCTCTGGGTAGGTTATGCTTTCATATGGTATAATATTGGACAGCAGAAATCGTTTGAAACTACTGTTCCCCGGACCGTCTGTAAATGCCCGAATTATGTGAATAGCTTTCTGTATTTTAAGGGTGCCACAGTTATTCATGTGTCTTGGGTGGTTTGGAGAGGTGTCAGGAGAACTATTTATGGCGGTTTTCAAGTGGTAAAATTTTAATAAATTTTTGCATTGTAGCATTAATTTCAACTTTTAATTTGCTGACTTCATTAATAACGATTGACTAAGATCAATTACATTAGAATTAAAACTTCTTTAATTATTTGTTAGTGGATTTGTTATCAAAATATGTGTAGACAAATTTTTTCAATTTTGTAGTTAGAAATTTTTATTAGGTTTCTTTTATCACTGACAGACTGAATAAAAATTGCATGAATTGGAAAATAGTCCTATTCAAAATTATAAATATAGATTACTATTTATGTCCATAATCAATTATTACTGAGAAAATTTATTTTCTCTTTTATTTCTCAGATTTTTTAAGAACTATCAAAACCATGTAATGATTTTCTACAATTTTATATTTTGTTTTTTAAAAAGTAATAATTTAGTATTCAATCAATGTTGGCTCTCTGGGAAGAAATATCTTTATTTAGATGTATATAATAATGTACTGTATTTATTCATTTAATCACTGTATTCGACCACAGCTGGGGACTATTAAAATGGGTTCGTCCGTAGGTCTGTCTGTCCGTCCATCCGTCTGTTTGTTTTTCACTCTTTTTGGGACACAATAACTCTTTCTAATTGAGCTAGAATGTTCATACTTGGTGTAGGTGTTTATTAGGTGAATGCCTCCATGGAGTTCAAAGATGAGCATTTTCTGCAAAGGCTAAGCAGAGATAAGCAATTTGATTGGTTGATGCTTTGGGACACAATAACTTTAGTTCTAATTAAGTGAGAGTGAGGACACTTTGTGTACAGTTTCATTATATCCATACATTGACTAAGTTCTATAGTGAGCATTTTCTGCTCAGGGTAAACAGAGTAATAAGCAAATTGATTAGTCTAGACTTTGGAGCTCAATAACTTTGATTTGGGTGAGAGTGGTGAAACTTTGTGTATAGTTTCATTACATCAATACCTTGACTAAGGTTGATGATGAGCAATTTCTGCTTAGTTTTATTAGATACTTCAATCTGATCGGTCAAGACTTTGGAACACAATAACTCTCCTTCTAATTGAGGTAGACTAACCTTGACTAAGGTTGATGATGAGCAATTTCTGCTTAGGTTTATTAGATACTTAATCTGATCGGTCGAGACTTTGGAAAACAATTACTCTCCTTTTAATTGAGGTAGAATGTTCAAACTTGATGTTTATTAGGTGAATGCCTTGACAGTGTTCAATCATGCACATTTTCAAGTAAGGCTAAGCATAGATAAGCAATTTGATTGGTTGAGACTTTGGAATAGCTTTGGTTCTAATTGGGTTAGAGTGATGAAACTCAAGAGTGTAGATTCAGTATATCAATACCTTGACTAAGTTCCATGATGGGAATTTGATTGGTCAAAACTTTGGAACCTAACAGCTGTTTTTAATTGCAGTAGAATGTTAAAACTTGGTGTAGATGTTCTTTGGGTGAATGTCTTGACTGAGTTCAATGATTAACATTTTCTGCTAAAGCTAAGCGATGCTTTTGGACAAGATACCTTCGATTCTAACTGATGGAGAGTGATGAAACTTAGTTTATAGTTTCGCTACCAGGTACTTCAAAACCTTGACCGAGTTCGATTGTGAACATTTTCTGCTTAGATAATCAGTTTGATTGCTCAACACTTTTCAAGAAGATAAATGTGCAAGTAATTAGCATTTGTCATCTATTTATTTTGGGATATCGGCAGGGGACATCAGCCTCATTGTTGGCTTGTTATCATTATGTTTTGCTCAATGCTGAAATATGCTGCTGATATGTCATAATAATTATTTTTTTGAGTAATATATTTGTGTATGGTATTTTAAAGGGACAATGTGCCAGAGTAAATGCCAAATATAAAGTTTATATTCCTGCCCCCAAAAATGTACTCTTTTAAAAAAAAAAAACAACATTGTTCCAAACTTATTCAAGTGGATTAGAAGACAGAATTAATAATTTTTGGCAAACCACGAATGTAGTTTCTGATTGTTTACCCTACAACACTGTAAATTTTCCTCTTGCTTGGCAATTGTTTTTGATTTTTTGGTCCAGAATTGAAAATATTCAAGATTTTGAAGCAGGGGTTTAAACAGTGGTTACTATATATAGTGATATGTACCAAGGATAGTTGATAGTATAACCTTTTAAGAGTAATTGGAGAAGCTGACATTTTTGGGGGCCTAGATTTTTTTATATTTCAGTGGAGAGTACATTGTATCTTATTTTCTTAATAGTATTTCATGATTTTGAAAGTCAGCATAATAGAATATGTAATGTGCACTTTTCAGAAATTGTTGTTTTATTTTAATGTTTATTATTCATTATTGTGAGGGAACCATGGCAGATCAGTAAGGTGCTGGCTCACTTACAAGGAGGTCCTGGTGTTGGTGGAGAAAGTTCCTCAGCATGGAACAGTGTCTAGTCGTTTGGGTGGGATGTAAACCTGAGGTCCACTGTACACATTGGCATGCACATAAAAGAACCCTTGGCAACGGGAAGGCGGAAACTCTGCTGTCTGAGAAAAATTTTCCTCATGCAGGCTACATGATCTATGCTAGTTACTATATTTGTAACGTTAAGCTGTGTGTTTAACGTTACAATTGATACAGTCTAAGACTCCTTACGCAAGTTCAAATAGGTTCAAATGCACAATTGTCAACACATACCATTACAGTTTGTATTGGAATAAGTAATTCTATCACAAATACACAAATAGTGAAGACTGGACCACTAAAATAGTTACCGAACAGTTTTTCTTTGTGTTAATGCGTTCTACATTTGCATAGCGAGGTTTCTTGTAATGATGTATTACGCAAGCCGCCATGACACCGGCCAGTTGAAATTTCGTGTAGCAGTTGGGTTTCATCAAATCATATAATTATGCGGTAAGGCTTCACCTTTATTTCAATTTGAATTGATTTATTATATGTTAAGCTATGTGCAGTACTGTTTTGGGTCAGTTTATGAGTAAATTAAGGGAGCTATAGGCCAGTAACCTTTTTGTAGTCATTTGACTAAAAAAACTTGTGCAAAGGAACTCTGTAGGATGAGCCACTACTGTGGCTGGAGTAAGGCGGAAGACATCAGTAGTGGAACCATTTCTAGGTCTATGCCAGTCTACATTAGTTCAATCGATTGGTGCAGAAAAGTAGGATGTTATTAACCCCCTGTTTCATATTTATTGTTGGGACTGTAGAAAAACATGTCTGAAATGTCCACATCCAGTTCATTTTGTACAAGAAGACCACAGAATCCATTATGACTGATTAGTAGTGTACCAGAGCATATGCTCCGTTTTCACCTCCCTCCAAAGCCCAACCTAAAAACATAAACTGTTAATACATGTATACTGGTCTGTACATGTAGATAACAACATGTATATATTATTAATATACTGGTCTATACTTGTTGATAACAAATAGTATATAGTCTACTATTTAATAATTTTTTTAAAAAAATTAAAATTAACCAAACTGTTTGACCTAAGGGTGCACAGGCCTTTCTTACATTTTGTCCTTTGTACTTCAGTGAAAATAAATAAAATGTACAGACGGACAGAAGAAGATAATGTACAGTACAAAAGATATTATGGGTCATTATAAAAATTGGTGGAAATTGGAAATCACAAGACCAAATTTCAAATATGCTTAATTGGTTTTTTTAATATTTATTTGATAAAATATAGTTTTGTCGTGCTCTGTAGGGAGTCATCAAAGAATCCATGAAGATAAGTAGAAAGATAGGTTGCCAGGCAACGAAACATACGCCCACAGCAGCTAAATCATCCAGGCAGTCAACAAGTGTTGTCGCATATTTTTACTTTTTTCGATAATGAAACAATATAATACACTAAAATCTGATTAAGAGTAACAGCTCATGAAGTAATTATCAGAAAACGATTAGAATTTGTTTGTTTTTCATAAAGTTCTGCCCCATGGATTTAGCTGTTCAAGTCATAAAAATTCATTGACAATCAATATACTTGTTCGTCTCAAGATCTTAAACTCTGTGTATCAATCTTAAACGCTGAAAATCAATAGGCTGCTTCATCTCATGACCTTAAACACTGTGTATAAATTTAAAGTCAATCGGATATTAACTTTGGACTCTAGAGTGTCCACAAGAGTTTTTGAAGTGATCAAGGGCCATGACTCTGGCAGTAATTATCGGAAATTGCTGGAAATCAATAGGCTTTTTCGTCCCATGGCCTTAAACACTGTATATAAATTTAAAGGCAATCAGATATAAACTTTAGCCTCTAGAGCGTCTACAAGATATTTCAAAGTGATCAAGGGCCATAATTCTGGCAGTAATTATCGAAAATCGCTGAAAATGAATAGCCTTCTTCGTCTCATGAGCTTAAACACTGTGTATAAATTAAAGTTAATCGGATATTAACTTTAGCCTCTAGAGCGGCCACAAGATTTTTCAAAATAATCAAGGGCCATAACTCTGGCAGTAATTATCGGAAATTGTTGAAAATCAATAGGCTTCTTCGTCTCCTGATTTTAAACACTGTGTATAAATTTATAGTCAATCGCATATTAACATTGGCCTTTAGAGCGTCCACAAGATTTTTTGAAGTGATCAAGGGCCATAACTCTGGCAGTAATTATCGGAACTCGCTGAAAATTAAAAGGCTTCTTCGTCTCATGACCTTAAACATTGTGCATAAATTTAAAGAAAATCGGTTATTAACTTTAGCCTCTATAGCATTGCTTGTGGACGCCGGACCGAAGACAATATACGACCACATTTCAATGTGGGCGTGTAAAAACTGAAGATTTGCTGACTGTTTATTCATAGTGTTGTAGAAAGGACTATCATGTTACAGTGAAGACACAATCGTAACGGGGTTGATATATATGCATCTTTTTTTGAAAGAAAGCTGGAAATATTCTGTCAAGAAATATATTTCCACAAATTACGTAACATGAGTACTGACTGGCACTAGCATAAAATTGTTAGACAAACGCCATATCAAATTTATGTTAATTGCGATCAGGTGTTACTGGGCTGACTTTACAGGAAGGATATGCTGTCCTGGATCAAAATTAATCGTCGAAATTTGCAAACTGAAACGACATACTAACATGTTGTTAACACCATTTTATTAACTTGAAATTACAATTTAAAGAACTGTAAATAAAACTATAACATTGTTGAAATTAGCAGAATATATCGGGCGTCAAATAAATGATAATAACAAACGAAAAACTTGCAAAATAAAAGCAAAAGTCAAAATGAGCAAATTTTGTAGGGGAGTTCTCTTTATAGTCTACTATGGCTACCACTCTAGAATTATGAGGACTTGAGTAATATTTCAAATAATGTATCAGGTAATTTGAAGTGTGTTTGAAGTGGATCTATAATTTCCGTATTCCTACTAATACGTCTTTCTAGGCCTGTAAAAAACAATTATTGGTTTTGTTTCCAGCTTGATGCATATCCAAGTAAGCCAAGACCTTCATATCGGACAATGACACATTTTCTTATACAGAGTTCTGGTTCGGGTATCTTATCAATGATCAATGATATCTAATATTAACTTTTCGCTAACTGGTAGAACTGCTACAAAATTATTTGGAACCCAATGTTTAACCATGTCACTTCTAATGGATATGTCCTCTTAAAACTGTACCTGGAAAGTTTTGTTCTCTGGGCAATACTAATCTATGCAGATCAGCTCTCAATTCGCATTACCAGAGGATAAACTGGATTTTCCATATTCCCATAAATGATCTATTCTTTGTGATGGTTAATACCTCTGACCTGAATATTTCTTTGATACGATCAGTGTTAAGAATAGTACATGGATCAAAGACATCGGAATATTGATAATAAAGTGTTGGCAAATGTGCCCCTCTCTAGGAAGAGAGTGTTGAAAATACATACGTTCACCATGCGAAAAAACATTTCCAGACGAAGGTAGGCAACGAATATCTGCTTTAACAATACATGGATACAGTACTCAGTCATCAATGATATCATTTGGCAAAATCTCCATAGCATCAACATCCACCTCAAAATACAATCTGATTAAAATTCAGATCAATATTTCGTTTCGTTTTTTTATACTTTCGATGGCCCACACTACAGTAAAAACAAGTAAAACGAAATTTTGAACTCCATGGGGCGTTAACAAATCCAAGTTTTTCTGTTTCAGTTAATAGAATATAGAGGTTTTGTTTCTGTGTGTATTGTCTTGTGGACCCATCACTGAATGCATTGAGAGAAGTCATTTCAGGGTGTAATTCCCATTTCTTATTCAGCAGAGGTGTTAAATAGCTCCAGCCCCACCAGGGCGATAAGGAATGTTTTCAGAAACAGTGCGAAAGGTGGTTTTAAGTTTTGTCCAATAAAATACACCCCAGTTTGACGAGAGGGAGGTTTTTAAGCACTAAAGTGCATGCTATGGATTTCAGAGCTTAGCTTACATAGGCAATTTTCGGAAAAAGAGAGAGAGAGATGGGGTTTAGCGTCCTCTCGACACAGACTAGGTCATTTCGGGACTAACATATGGTTTAATTTATTTCAATAATTCGATTGCGCGTAGGCGTCTTTAGCAGTGGGAGGAAACCGGAGGACACGGAGAAAACCCCCGAGGTTGGACAGGCAACCCTACACTTTGTCACGTACAACCGGGGATTCGAAACCACACCAGTTGACTCAATGACAGGCTATATGAAACAGCTCGCACGTGCTAACCATTCGGCCATCCAACCCCCCTAATTTTCGGAGACATTCATTTTCTGCAGGAGATTCCTTTTTATAATCAGGGCGGATTCAATGGGGGGCGCCCCCCCCCCCTAATTTTCGACAGTGCCCTTTTTTACTGCTGAAAGTGCCTTTTCTCAGACTCAAATATGTCCGTTCCCAACCCGTTGTAGGGATCCCAAATGACTCAAACCATCGACTCAAACACACCAGTCTGGGAAATAGCTCTTGGAATGGCTACAGATGCAAGGAAATGACGGATAATTTTCTTGGGGACCCCCCCCCCCCCCCACAGCGGCGTGCCCCGTCTCTGCGGTCAATGCCTTCATTTTGCAGCGCCCCCCTTTTCAAAATTCCTAGATCCGCCCCTGATAATAATGCAATATCTATCTACATGTTGTTATTTTTCTATAAAGTGGGCCAATCTCGGGAGCGGTTTATTATGCTCAAAAGGAATATATCTGAAAGTGAGAATAATACAGGGTTTATTTCATCAACATAAAAACATAAAAAATATTTAAATTACACTCCATTATATACATTGAGTTAATATCATGTAACACAAGGGGCTTAGTCTATCAGATTAACGTCTAATTTGTGTACTAATTTTTAATTTCATATTTTGCTGTCGACATTGGAACATAAAATCAGTTTCCTCTGGCTTTACAGAGGCCCGTAGCTAGCGGGGAGGGAAATTGGCGCACCCTTTCCATTGGACGCAATACGAAGCAAAATGACCAACGCGCCCAACCAATGCCACTTGATATTATGGGCGCTTCCCCAATCATTTCGTTATATATGACGCGCCCCGCAAATGGTGGGGCGCCTCATAATGAATCGCACGATTAACACCACGATTTGATCGATGGGACAAGCCTTATCCCGGAGGGGCGCCCATAATAACATCATTGGTGGGGCGTCTTATAATGACAATATATTATTGTCAGGCGGCACATAATGAAAAATGACGAGTGAGATTGGTTGGACGATGTCTACCATAAGAAAGACAACTGGAGATTGTAGGAAATTTTCCAGGTCAAATTCGCGATGGGAAGGAGATTGATTGAAGCCCGTGCCAGGCATGATAATCTTCAAAGTTCAACCAAGTCGCACTCTTACCCGATTCCGAAACTTTTCGTTTTCTCATAAATTATTATAGGTACGGTAAAGTTTGTTTTATCACATGAGCATTACTATTTCTATGTCACAGATTTGAATAATTCATTATTTGAGCAATGATTGTCTTGTTCGCCCAGGCGGCCCAGTCGAATATTGAAACCATCATTTAATGAACAGAGCAGAAAATCTTGTAAAGACTGTTTAGTTGAAGCCACAGCACTTAACGTTAGCTGGTGTATAAATGTCTGGAGGAATCAAGTCTTTCATCAGAATATAACTATAAAGTGGAATAGGGAGGTCGACCTGGGTAATCTTTCTACTGATACCTGAACGCATTAATTGCCTAATGGAATTTCTACAGATAGATTTTAAACTGAGAACTTTGTCTTCAATATCGAAAACATCGAGAAACACATCCTTATCTTGAAATGAATGTCCACATGCTAATAGTAACAGACCAATTGTCATCTCTTTTGTTTTATCGGGTTTAAATTGAAAACCAGGCTTTAAAAACCCTTCCAAATCTTCATCACGAATTACACAATTTGCATAAATAAGATACTGAATAATTTTATCATCTAGACAATTAAGGGCTTTTTCAAGCAAACTCTCGTCCATGTGATCAATGACGTTTATATCTGCTCCTCGGGAAACTAGCAGTTTAAATGAATCAAATGATTGTGTCTGATGGAAATAATAATGAAGGGCGGAACAACCGTCCAGGTCGACTCTGTTCAAGTCACATCCGGCATCAATCAACATTTCACAGGTTTCTGGATCGCCTTGTTGCATCGCCAACATCAACGGGGTTCGGCCCTCGTTAGTCTGCGCATCGCATGTAGCCGATGCATTCAACAGAAGTTTAACACAATTGTTACGTCGATGTCTAGGACTCGTGTTCACACAATAATGGAGAGCAGTCTGTCCAAAACAATCTTTTTGATTTACATCAGCTTTCGCGTCTATTAAAAACTTTGCACACGTAATGTACGAGTAATTAACGGCGTACATCAATGGTGTTCTTCCCGACAATGTAACTGTATTAACGTTAGCACCGGCATCGATCAACAGACGTAGACAACGCTCTCTGGAACCGCGTGGAAGGAATGTGTTTTGCCAAAAACAATAATGTATGGCTGCATTTCCAACATAATTGCTTCTATTGACAACATATTTCTCTTTACTTAAAATTGTTTCAACCAGAGCATGATTCTGGTGTCGACTAGCCCGCATCAATCGGGTCATGTGACCTTGACTTCTGTGTCGCCTGTGACAGTTACCCATTTTACGACCCACACTGGTAAATCATTGAGGTTAACTGGTCTCTTAAGTTAAATACCGACTTGAACATTCTGCCTTACCACCTGACAAATCAACGTCAAACGAGACTGGAAACTAGACTAGGCCCATCGGTGTACTGGTTGACAAATGACAACGTAAACTAATAGCAGATTTCGTAAATGCCACGGAAAATCAATGTTTTTCTGGATTTTTCTCAAAATTGTCTTACTCCAAACATTCAAAATCCCGTTCCAATTTCTGATCCGTAAAAATCCCATTTAGATTTTCACGGCTATCATCAAAACAAAAACAGTCTTGTTTGCAGCCTTAAAATTAAAGGAAATATTTGGACACACCACATCAACAACTTATCTAAGACGTGTGAACTAAGATATAGCAAACTAATTCGATGCCAAACGAACGTTGGGATTCTCTGAGGAGCCGAAGATCTACAAACAATTGCAGCGACTTAACGCCGTGAACTGCTAATAACTGTTTCAAAAACCCGCACCATTAATCCCGAACTGCATGATTATGTTCTACTGGAGTCCACAGTCATTTGTTCCTCGTACAGTGTTCATAATGATTCTTAAAACCCTGTTCCAATTAATTTTCTTGCAATGTAAATTATTATTATTCTTTTTTTGGCGAGCCAGAGTTATCTCCCCTTGTACGGATGAGAAAAGAATCGAGGACCAGATTTGGGACGTGCTATAATATTTCCCAAACTATGGCCCATGTTATCAAATACTACAGATAAAATTACAGTCACGATTGTCGAATCTCATATCGATTAAGTTCGTAGCGTTTTCATGTGCCTATTATGGAAATTATAAGCATCAGGGGCTAAGTGAAAATGACATACGTCTTTGAGTTTTTGCACCCCCTGAGTTAGCCTATTTTGCACCCTCCCAACATTCATGTTTTTCCAATGTAGTTTTCAACGCTGTAATCACAATCATTTTGCTCAGCTTGTCTCAAACATATACCGTGGCTCAGATATGTTCCCACACATTCTAAAATTCTTCAGCGCTGGGTGGGGATGGGGTGGGAACCCCTGGTTACTAACGATATTAATATTAGGTTTTGTGCCCCCTTGTTTATAGTGTAAAGCACTCTGGGATTATTCTATTAAACTGTAGTCACGAACGTGAGAGTTAAGTTGCCTGATCCAGGATGTTTTTTTAAGACAATCTAAACAAAACTAATGGTTTGGATACATCCTGAACAGTTTTTTTTATGAATAGCACGATTATTATCGACATGGTCGACTAATTTCACAATATCCTATTCAGACACAGGACGGAAGTTAGTGCCCTGGGAAGTATATTTTGAGTGGGCAGATTTTAAATTCTATGGGGTGGGTAGTACCAAAATACCCCCCCCCCCCACCACCTCCCGGCCTTAGGAAATCGCTATATCTGCGATAATATACCTAGACCTACTACTCTTGGCGGCTGAAATACATAGCTGTGCAAGTACATGCTATATTGGTTCATTGCAGATTTCGTTTTTCCACTTTTCTTATCTGTCACCATTCTCTTAACTCCTTTCTGCGGGTTATTGCACACAAGTAACTATTCGATTAAATAATCGCCTGCATTTTGCAAGAAAAGGGATGGAGAAGGGCTAAAATAAACAGGGCTCATCCTCTCATTGTTAAGTTTCATTAGAATGGGACAATAATGGTAGCCCACCTGGAGGGTCTACTAAATCCATACATCTTTCAAAGTTTGCGTAAAAAAGCAGGGCCTCTATAGGGCGTAGCTCTAGAATGTAAGGTCGAACTCATCGTGAAAGGTCCAAAAACTTCATTCATATTTCACATTTTGTGTAAAAAGTAGGGGCAGGTGCGCACGAAAATTGAACTCACCAAAGAACTAGTGATACTCATTTTAAAGGAGCTAAATCGCTAATATTTTGGACCTAGAAATTGACAAAAATGGGTCGCAACGTATATAATAATGTAATATGAATGTATATAAACTGATTTACATTCAATCGTTTCTGTTTTTACTGTAATTTCTAATCAGTTATGTTCGGCGAAATACGCCAGAAGTCTCATGTGAATGGCAATCTTTGGCGTCTGGTTTTTCCAGTCTACACCTATGGTATTTATTGCGCATGCTCTCCAGATAAGAATATAGCGTCACCATTTGACATGACTTGTGGAATATGTCTATGCCTGTTCTTTGAGTCCCTTGTTCCAAATGGCGCTGAAACGCATTATGGTTCACGATTCGTGTACCAATGGTAAAATGTTTATTTTGTCTTCAATATTGGATATCAGAAGCCCATCCTCTCCCTGTAAGATCACAAGACCAATGTTGATTTGAATTGACAAATAATTCGTGTTTTCAATGTCGAAGATTTTTGATGATATTGAGTTAGAGACTTAGCTACTTTAAGTTTCATCTAAATCAAATAAAATTGTGACCTCTGGATGGTCCACAACCTGGGTATTACATGCTTTTATTATACTATTTACGTAAAGGGGAGTAGCTATTTGACGGGAAGTGTCCGTCCGATGTTCAGGAAATTCGGACTCTAACCATAACTATACTGTAGCGGTGATATATTTGAACAGTTTTGAAAAAGGATAAAAATTGTGACCTCTAGAAGGTCCATAAGCTAGAAACGTGATATTTTGTACAATCAGGGGGTTACAAACCAAAAAATTACGACCCAATACGCGCCAATATCAAAATTGGATAAAAAAAAATTCGAACAGCTGGATTGTCTACAACCTGGGTATTACGGTTAGATCCAAATATTTATGGAAGGGTATCGCTACAATGCTCTGCTACAATGTCTTTTCCAATGATTATATGTAAAAAGTACAATGTACAAAGTCCTAATACCGGTAATGATAAAGTCAAAATACCTCTAAGGCAAGAGTTAAAATGTACAACGTCAAATGTTAAAGGTCAAATGACAAATGTTTTGTTGGAAAATGCTTTTTGACGTGTCTACATTTTACATTTCTCTCATTACATTTTACATTTGCGCTCTGCCACATCACATTTGTCCTTCACGCTTTCTACATAGCATCTTTCGCACAGCATCATATTTCATGGAATGGGAGATACGTTTCACAAATATTAGTGATATATTTTACTATCTAAAATAAAATAACATCATTCATGTTTAAAGGGATAAAAGTCAAGCCATCCTTCTTGAGTTAATGAATCTTTAAACCCAGTTTTAAGGTGTAAATTTATTGATATTTCATTCTTGGGGTCTATACTTGACGTAACAACATCTGCGCCATCCTCAAACACCATTTTAACTAGATTGGAAAGGATGATTTTAGAATATCCCTTTCCTCGTTTTTCTGGAAGAATTCTCAGCATACCGACTGTGCCTAATTGGGTTTGCATCATATATCCTATCAACGAATCATCCACGTCGTATAGAGCTACGGTTTTATAATGGTCGATAAGGTAGTAAAAATAATCCGGTGTGACTTCGTTTGCATAATTCCAGGATGACAACATAATATCGACTGTATCGTGTGGTATAGGTTTCAACTTCAAACCTGGTGAAACTGGGCTGAAATAACATGTTAGAAAATGTCATAACTGTTCTGCAACCAAAGTGTACGTACGAAGTGAACAGGGAGAGAGGGGGAAAGAGAAATGGGTTTAACGTCCACTCGACACAAACTAGGTAATTTTGGGTCTAACATGGTTTAATTTTAGCAGTGTGGGGGGGGGGGGAGAAAACCAAGGAGGTTAGACAGGCGGCCCTACTCCTTGTCACATTCAAGCGGGGATTCGAAACCACGCCACTTGACTCAATTACAGACCACTAGACCCCATCCCAACGAAGCACACAGTTTTGTAGAGGCAATGTGCCAAGCGTACATTATTTATACTAGTTGAAACTTTGGACTCGCGTGACGTATTTCATTGCAAAGCACGTGCGGGTGTCTGTTTTTTAAGTTGTTTAATGGTCTCGAGCTTAAGACATTGCGTAATACGTCCTTCGTGTATTGTTTCTATATACATGTATTACTTAGGGGGGTTGGATGGCCGAATGGTTAGCACGTGCGTGCTGTATCATAAGGCCTGTCATTGAGTCAACTAGCGTGGTTTCGAATTCCCGGTTGTACGTGACAAGGCTCGCCTGTCCAACCTCGTGGGTTTTCTCCGGGTCCTCCGGTTTCCTCCAACTGCTAAAGACCGCTACGCGCAATCGAATTATTGAAATAAAATTAAACCATATGTAAGTCCCGAAATGACCTAGTTTCTCTCTCTCTCTCTCTCTCTCTCTCTCTCTCTCTCTCTCTCTCACACAGACACACACACCCACACACACACACATGTATTACTTAAAGGAGCTAAATCGCTAACATTTGGGACCTAGAAATTGACAAAAGTGGGTCGCAACGCATATAATACTGTAATATGAATGTATATAAACTGATTTACATTCAATGGTTTCCGTTTTTACTCCAATTTCAAATCAGTTATGTTAGGCGAAATAAGCCAGCTGTCTCAAGCGAGTGCAAATTTCTAGCGTCTGGTTATTCCAGTCTATATACGCCGTTTGATTTTGTGCAATGTGTCTAGCCTCGTCCCTCGAGTCTCTTGATACAACTGGGGCTGAAGCGCATTAATGTTTATTTTGCCTTAAATATTGGATATCAAAAGTCTATCTTTTCCTGGTAAGATCCCAACATGAATGTTGATTTAATTTGACAAATAAATCGTGTTTTGAATGTTGAAGATTTTGGATTATATTGAGTTAGAGACTTAGCTACTTTAATGTCTCGCTCTCGACCTTTAAACAACACTTAATGGTTTTAAATCACTGACCGAAATCATGGTAATGAATATTTAATTTGACTATTCAGACTAGCTGGTCAAACTTATAATTTGATGGCATAATCTACTAGACTATTAAATATTATAATTATTAAGCATATCTTATTATTAAATATTAAATCTTGTAATTTGCAAGCATAATTTATTTAACTTAATAAAAAAAATGGAGGGTCTAGAGCACAAGTGATCTAACTACAAAAATCACATTTTTAGAAAATTGACCTCAAAGTCTAAACCATGTGCATTTCACACCACCATTGGTACCTAATTCAAATTGTTACTGAATATTATAGACGTTGAGGGCTATCTCTGTCCATGTGCTCACTTCAATCTGACTTTCATAAAAAAAAAAGCTACAGGCGGACGAACCCTGGAACCTTTCATTACCAAACCAAAATAATAATTACGAACAGTTTACCAGTGTTATTTCGATGAAACTGTAACTAGGGTTAATATGATGACGAAATGGTAAAATTGACTACCTACAATTAAGGAGGAAGATATCGTGAAGATGAATTACTGTGGCGAGACCCAAGGCAGTGGTTAGATAGCTTTCAAACGGGAAATTGATGTGGATATAAACCTGAAAATCTGTCCTGGCGATCAAAATCATGGGGGGACAGAGACCTATTTGTCCACCCCCCCCCCCCTCCGTTCCCCCCCCCCCCCGCTAAATCCACGCCCATGCAAGGGTGTAGAAAGGAATGCAAATAAATGGTAGACTTAAATAATATAATATATACGTATCGGGGTTGATAAGCAAATTAACCATGTTTATATGTGTGTCAACGAATCATATTGTTATTTTGAACCAAAGAGGATAGATTACTGTTTATATTATCATTTTCATGTGGACGTATTATGTCGTCGCCCTGTCCGTTCATATGTCTCTCCGTCCGTCTGTCTGTTTAATTTTTTGTGGACCCTCTACAGGTCATAATTTTATCTGCTTTTGACGAACCTTTAATTATGGCTTTATATCCAAAAGATCGCAGTTCTTTTCGACATTGGGATGTATCGGATTATAACTTCATGGATTATGGCGACATCATTGTACGAAAAATCATACTTTTGCTGAAACTATAAATATATGTTTATAACTCAAAGATCACGGTTCTTTTCGATATTGCCGCATATCGCACCGTAACTGCCATTATTAACAGTTGGCCCAACTACAGAAAGATCACTATACCACAATCAACTTCGGAGCATTTAGGCCATGAATTTTTAACCATCCTCCCTAGCATTAATAATTCCGCTACATATTAGATCCCTTGACATGAAATACATTATTAGTCAACGAATATGGCCAACTAAATAGCTCAAAATATGACAATTGGTAGTTAGATCACTTGTGCTCTAGACCCTCCAATCGTAATTTGAGTGCATTACTTATTAAACTATCAAATATTATAATCTGATGATGTGATAAAGATATCCACTAATGAATAATATAATGTAATAATTATAATACTAACTATTACATATTGTAATTTGAATGTAAAATTATCAAACTATTAAATCTTGAATTTGATTGTAAAACTATTAAATATTGTAATTTTTATTGTACAACTTACGAAACTATTAAATATTGTAATTTTGTTGTACCATTTACGAAACTATTCTATCTGGTAATTTGCTTGTATAACTTACTATGCTTGGATTTGATTGAAATTTGACAGCAATTTGATTGTAAATTTTACAAAATTATTTGGTTGTACAACTTACGACTCTATTATATTTTGAATTTGATAATAAAAATTGCAAAATTGTCAAATATTGTAATTTGATTGTAAAACTTACAAAACTATTAAATCTTGTAACTTGATTGTATAGCATTTTGTAGGGTCAACAGGTTTTATGTAACCAATATTTTTCTGTTCAACAGCTTTGTATATCACATTCCAGTTGAACTCTTGTAATCCTGAACAAAAATTAAAGGTAATTATCTGTAGAAATCATGACATAAGAAAAAGTTTGAATGTGTGAGATAGATCTTTAACCAAAAACATCCAGCAGGTTCCCACATTCCAGGGGTGACGATCGCAATAATGACAAGAAAGGGGTTCTAGTTGTTGAGGTAGTACAATAAGTCTACGTTCACACGTGAAACATTGGCGTGCGCTTACAAGAACCCTTAACAGTTAAATTTCTAAGAGAAGTAAATGGAAAAGCCGGTTTTTGGCCACCATTTTGCTCATTCCAATTTGCACAATTAATTACACTTGATAAAAACATACGTATGTTAGTCTTCGAATTGCTCTTAATACCAGGGAAAGGCCCATCAAAACTCATTACATTCCAGACACAAACCATAGACACTATGCAACCACATAGTGCAACTTACCTATTAATAGCCCTTCTTTTTCGGGGTCTATGACGTCATGAGACAATAGTACATCCTCTAATTGCTGTTGTTTATTTGCTTTCGTGTAAAATGTATAATGATTCTTTCGTAGTATATGCTGAAATATACAAAATAAACATTTGAAATACAATATAAGAAGAAATATTAAAGGACTCACCCCGATTTTAACATAGTTTCAGAAATAAAAATTCGTGTACGCATGCATGAAATTTAAGCTCCAAAATATTGAGAAATGGTGTATTTACCTTGATTCAAAATTTCAGCTATTTATTAACATGACAGGACCATAGTCAACTCTCGATGCCATCGAATGACTACGATTTTAAGTAGATTACAACGGTTCGGCCATTTAATGATTTAATTTAAAAATGGAGAAGCGAGGCTAAGACTCGAATGGCAAGTACGATCAATGCACACATCTTGTCAAAACTACAATTATAGATTACTTCGCTCAAGATGAATTAATTTGAATGGAATTTTCAAAATATTAATTTTGCATTATCTATTTTTGAAATGGTATAGCGAGAAGGGCAAGCTCTTTATTTATATCGTACATAATGGCCCTTTAATCTTATTATGGCTTACCGATACTGATACCGCTTCGCTATTGATTATCATTGTTTGAAAAGTTCATTTTATATTTGGTGTTGCCTTTTATTTGATGGACTTTTGTCTTTGATTACACCTTAGGATTCACTATTAAGAATATTTCAATTAGGATGATTTCAGGGGCCCCATTTACTTAAGTCTGCCAGGATCCCATTCACCCGAGCCTATTTCTTACCGGTTGAAGTCCCACTTGTTCAAGTATAACCACATTAAATTCAGGCCATTTATCTACCATTATCTGTACTTCAGGTATTTTACCACTAATCACATTTTCTACCAAATGAACTATCTGAAATAACAAAAATCATCATACAATGATGATATGGTGGCTTAAAAACATTTTCTACTATTATCTGAAATGATAAAATGATAAAAAAAAATCATATTATATACAATGATACAATACTAATTATATGGTGGCTTATAACATTTTGTAGTATTTAACCTATCGGGGATGCAATAATAACTAGAGCATCGCTAACGCTGCAATATACGCCCACATTCCTGCTTTCATTGATATGGTACTTTTTAAAACGAAGAGAATGAAAAATGGAATATGAAATAGCTGCAATATGGCAAGAGGTAAAGAAGGCTAGGCGTTGGGTTTGTTTGCCAAATAGTTGCTGTCTTTATGGTATAAAAGAAATAAATATGCAAAGTTCAAAGATGATCTATTCAGATTTGCAGCCTCTATATGATAACTACAAAAATTGGGCGTGGCTTTGCCCCCGGGGGCTGGATTTGGAACAATATAAATAGGTACCGCCTTATTATTGAAATGATTGATATGCTGAATTTTAACAAAATCTGTTAATTATAGCAAGCTGTAGAGTATTTACAGACAAAGACATTATGAATGTGGACGTATAAAAATCATCATCAGACACACACATGTTTACTGAAATGAAATGAAATGGTGTTTAGTGTCCTACTTTTCTGCTCCATCCGGGCTAATGCGGGCGTACGCCATATAGTGTGCTATGATAGAAATCTTGCCCTACGGCCTACTCTTATTTCAAATTCCAACTGTCGGGATTTCGTACAATCCGAAAGACTAGGCACTGTTTCTTCCCAGGCCCTCCATCCTACACCACTGGCAAAGGGAAACCACACCGGAAAATATCAAAGAACTTTCGCAGCCAACACTTGGATTGAAACCGTGAAAATATAATGTTGTAACCGAAATTAAAAAACAAATTAGTAATTAATATTGGTTCATTTCAATCAGTAGTGCCATCTTGTTTCACCGAACATAATTGATTGGAAATTACATTTTTTTTTATAATTGAATATAAATCGCTTAATGTACATTCAAATTACATTAATATGTGCTTTTCGAACTATTTTTGTCTATTTAAATCAGATATTAATGTAAATTTAATGTAAATATAAAGTAAATGTAACGTAAATATAAAGATAACGAAAATATAACGTTAATTTAACACCATTAAAATTAATGATGGTTATATGACCAATCATTTTAACGCTGAATTAACTGAAGTTGTCTTCGGTTTAATGAATATAATATGACTCCATCAAGTGTTGACGCGGATACAGTTGAGCCACGCATTTTGATACATATTATCTGAATTTATATCACGGTTAGAAAACATATTCTTTGTAATCTACATAAATTTTAAAATGATATTTCAATGGCATTTGTTTCTGGGGAAGACAAGTAACACACGTGTCATATAAGGACATCAATAGACCGTTGGAATTCAAAGAAGAGTAGGCAGACAAATGTCAAAATCCCCAATCCTCACGTAACCACAAAAATACAAATTATCCTAATTAATGATTAAATTACATGCTGTCTTTTATGTTGTAGTGACACAAAATAATTTCTTTGAGTCGGCTTCACATGACCAGACTGCATGCCACTGTGATTCATAAATTGCGTATGACTAGCATTTGGTCTTAATTCATTCTATTTCGTTTATTGTGATCGTAATGTTGGAATGGTATGTGCTTTGTTTGCCATTTGATGCCAGGATATTCTTTATTTTTCTACAATTTCGAGTCCTGTTTGTTCGAGTATACTTCTGATAATATGATGAGCTCTTGAATCAAGAAAGGGGATTGTTTGACAGGTTTAAAGGTTCGGTATTGACACCGCTAGATGCTACGCTGACAGGTTAATAGACGAAGGGTTGACTTTTAAAGGAGCTAAACATCTAACTCAACATTTTCCATGACATTCGATGTGAAAAACACGAATTAGAATTCAATATTGGTCCATTTCAATCAATATTGGTGTTTTTATCGATCCGTGAAAATATGAAATGCTAATGAATAATGAACATTTTATAATTAATATACAAGTCGTGTAAATACATAAGTCGTACAGGCCCCTATTCCATAGTTTCGGGTACCATTTGTAATGAACAAAGAAACACATATCCTACGAGACAATGCGGAAGTAATTACTGTTTGAAAAACGGCAAAATAATAATAAAAGGCTATAGACTAAGCAGAAGCAGACGACAAAATTGAATATAAACCACTTTATGTACATTTATATACATTAATTTGCGATCCATTTTCGTCCAAAAAATAGAGCCATGCGCCCTTAAATTCAGTAAAGACTTTTCGTAAGATGATTTTCTACTGAGCAAAACCGTGATTTAATTGTATTGACGGCTAACTAAACGTTACAGTTTATATTGTTCGTGGTAAGTCGTGGCGTTAACTAATAACTGACCAACAAAAAGAACATAACCTACCTGATGTGCTCCAATATAATCATCCCCCAACAGTCTCAATAATTGTGGATAGTCAGAGGGTTTGAGTATTTCTAACATCTTGAAGTGAAGTTTAACTGACCTAGAATAATGTCGATATAATGTGGTACAATCAGTACTTAAGGTATATCTAATCTCAAACACTGCCCGCTTATTTATACACACACACCTATAATTTATACAAATAAAGACGCTCTCAAATAACGCAATAATTCATCCAGTTATGAAACCTTTCATTAAAGAGGCAAACTCAGATAGACAAAAACGGAATGGGGTTTATCTTCTCGTCAAGACAATACATCGGTCATCTTTTCTTGCTGTAGTCACTTGAACAGTTGAGAACCTACTGAAACTAATAAAAACTTAAGTTCCAGTTCCCCTACGCTCGGAGGGAGCGCTGGGCCCTGAAGCAACCTATTTTAAAGGTGTTTTTTTTATTAGTGTTTATTTTCATAAATAAGGCAACAGAACCATGAGGCAATAGGATAAAGCACTTAAAGTACTCAATATCATCCAAAGTCTTCCACATGGAAAACATGAATTATTTGTCAATTTAAATCAACATTGATGTTGTGATCTTGCCGGGAAAAGATGGGCCTCTGATATCCAATATTTAAGACATTGGAAGTGTACTGAAAAATGCACCATCTTTTATTTTCCAAATATTGATCAAAATTTTCTAGAATTTAAACCATAATGTAATCATGCCGTATGGTACAAATGGAATGTTTGGAAATATGAAAACTGAAATGGCTGCCACTAAATGACGTTTTGTGTCATTCTAATACTGTTCTCTATATTTCACTTTGTGGTAAAAATAGCTTCATTGTAGGATTTTTTCACGGCGTGCACATCATTTTTGTACCCCTCTAAATGGAGATGCTTATCCCACGGCCATTAAAGTTAAACATCATAAAGTCGGAATTTCGGCAGATATACTTAAAGGGACAATAACACTCTTGCTGGCTTGATAGCTCCAGAAAATAAAAAAATTGCCTTATTCTAAGTACTAGATGTGTTAGTGTCCTACCTGTTGTGTAAATTATCCATTAAATCCTATTTTACTTGTCCAGAGGGTTCAAAAATATTTTTAATTCCAAGTCACATTTGAAAAGCTTTACGTCAGGCTTTTCAAATCATTTAGTTGAATTTTTCCAAATTTTTAAATTAGGTGTGTTAAGATGAAATTTGTATCATCAATTAATTGGAATGTTGTAAAATAGTACAATTTGTTGACCAGAATAAAGATTGGGACATATTATTCAGTTACAAAAAGAGTGGTATTGAGCCTTTAATGATGATACTGATGACATAATGAAGATTATAATAGACACATTAAATATTTATTTTTATTTATTTATAACAAAATGGACAATAGAGGTGATAATATAAAGTTACATGATATAATAAGATAAGATGAGAGAAAAAGTAATGATGTCATGAATGATCAGCCTCTTGAGGATAACCCATAAAAACCTGCTTTAATTAAAACTAGGTTTATTTCCAATGGGCTCCTTGTAATAATAAAAATATTAGCAAAAATATGAAGAAAACTTCCGTCACTTTTCATTCTGCGCCATTCACTCCACAAGACTGAGCCGCTAATGCTAAAGAACATGTATTAAAGTTTGGTGGTGATCATTTAAAACCAGTTTCTAGTAAAATGGCTTTAATAGCTATAAGTATGTTAGATATTTGGTTTACAGTATTCTTATTTACATGTACATCTATTATATTCTATAGGTTAATACGAGGTTGTTTTATTTATTCTGTAGGAAATCAAATATATTTAGAGAGAAATGGGATTTAACGTCCACTCGACACAAACTAGGTCATTTCGGGACTAACATATGGCTTAATTTTATTTCAATAATTCGCTTGCGCATAGGGGTCTTTAGCAGTGGGAGGAAACCGGAGGACCCGGAGAAAACCCACGAGATTGGACAGGCGACCCTACTCCTTGTCACGTACAACAGGAGATTCGAAACCACCCCAGTTGACTCAATGACAGGCCGTATGATACAGCACGCACGTGCTAACCATTCGGCCATCCAACCCCCCAAACCAAATATAACTAGAGAAAAGAAAAAAGACTCAAATATATGTTTCATATTATTATATATGTCAGAATAATATATATTTTTATCAATACATACATTTAATGATGATCCGAATACGAAAACGTGTAAGTAACCAACAAAATAGGAATAATGTTGTTGTTAGCACAAAATTTTGAAGTTACTGCAGTGTATATATTAAAGGGGATAAGCTTCTAAATTAAAAACACGAATTAGAATTCAATGTTGGTCCATTTCAATCAACATTAATGTTGTCGTCTTGCCGTGAAAATATGAAATATCAACTATTTGAGACACAATGGACATTTTAAAATCACTAAACGACTCGTGTATTCTACCAATATAATGGTTTCGATCGTAATTTGTTATGAAAAAAGAAAAACATACCCAGGAAGACAACGCGGGAGTAATTAAAAATGACTGATTCACAAACGACAAAATAATTATTTAAAAAAACCCATGTAGAATGGACTAAGCAGGTGGAAACCACTGTTGTTAGATTTTGACAGTTTGAGTATTTCACCAAACGTGTTGATACCCGTCTATAATTCTTGTTCCCATTCTGGGCCACGGATGATCTTTTGATAAGGGGCCAGATATGAACCACTTTGAAAATTCTTCCAAAGAATGGTTTATAATGTCAGTAATAGATGGAAGCATATAAGTTAAGCATTCTCAATTAATCTACCTCCCAGTTTGTAGGTTTATAACGGATCTACTAATTATTATTAAAACCATGGAAAAACAGGCTGAAAACGGAGCTTAAAGGCCTACTGTATAATAACTTGGCAAGGTCATCTATGTGTGCTTTCTTCAGAAGAGGTGACGTAAGAAATTACAAAGAGGTATCATTTGCTTAACGAGTATTCACTGATATAGGACAGTTCTTAAGGGCAAGGTAAAGTGACAATAATTGCCACAACACCTGAAACGGAGGGTCCTAAAAACATTCACAACACCTTTAGGGCCTTTATTTTGGTATCTAAATGTGCTTCAGATGATACTCAACAATAAAAAATGAATGAGAATAAAAAAATAATGTCTTTGGAATTTGTAACTTTGGAAAATATTAAGCAAATATACCATTCAGCACTGTGCAGCTACAGGGTAAACAGCACAACATGGGAAATCGCAAAGTCTCACAGAGATACATACACTACAACCATCAAGACTTCAACTTTTAGCACACCAAGTCCATATAATCAAATATTTTTTTTTTAAAAAATCCTCCACTTTTTAAGGGACTACTTTCAGACGTTTCGTATGGAGTACCATCATAAATATCATTTGGATTATATGTTTCGGGTCTGTATGGAAAATAATAAATACATCATGTGTTTAACGTCAACTCGGCGCCCACTAAATCGTTTAGAGACGAACATGTGATTCAATAATTATTTCAATAATTCGCTTGAACGTGTGTGTGTGTGATGGGGTGGGGTGGGGGTGGCCGAATGGTTGTACGTGACAAGGAGTAGGGTCGCCTGTCTAACCTTGTGGGTTTTCTCCGGGTCCTCCAGTTTCCTCCCACTGCTAAAGACCCCTACGCAGGAGCGAATTTTTGAAATAAAATTGAACCATATGTTATTCCCGAAATGACCTAATTTGTGTCGAGTTGGCGTTAAACTCCATTTCTCTCTCCCTCTCTCTTGCACGTAGGGGTCGTTAGCAGTGGGGAAGAAACTGGGGTACAAGGCCAAAAAAAACACATTGTTGGACAAGCGACCCTACTCCCTTGTTTATGCGGGGAATCGAAACCACGCCACTAGAATCAATGACAGATCTTGTGATATCACGCGCACGCGTTAAACCACTAGACCACCCAACCCCGTGTAAAACGCATTATAATTTGTATATTGTATATATACCGACACGGGATAATTGTTTTATAATAGGCCTACATAATAAATTAAATTGTTGTAATTTTGTTTTTTTATCAGACATTTTTGGCAGATAAAATATTCCAGTTGGCGAAGAATAAATATGAATAATTTTTTTAAAATAAAAATTATTATTCATTTTGGCGGAAAAGAAATGAAAGCCAGTGTGAGCCCAGATTGCACGTATTCAAATGTGACCTGGTAAATTGAGACTTCAACAACTTCCGAGGCGAAACTCGAAAAGTCGACAGTACGACAGCAAGCTAAAATGATAGGTCGCTAATAGCGCGTTGTGTTTATTTCCTAATTTCTACTGTTCGAGTTGCATTATGGCTTGGTATGCGTGTTGGTGCCTTCTTACTGACATCAATAAATACAAAAATATGACTAAGACGAAAGTCGACACGGTACACAAGCCAAAATGCAAGTCGAAAATAAGAAATTAGGAAAAAAAAGAGGGGCGCTGTTATCGCAGTGTATTATTTCTTAATTTCCTATTTTCGAGTTCATTTTTGCTTGTATAGCGTGCTGTCGCCTCACATTTTGTCGTAACTTCTACTTTTCGTTTTTTCGACTTTCTTGTTTTGAAGAGGCGAAAAGTAGAAATTATGAATGGAAGTGTTGCTGGCATCAATGAGTTCATGCATGACCTTATTTTAATATTATCCAATCCCGTAAATGACACCTCATTTGTATTTTGATATGAATTTTCTGCAGTTTAAATTAAAAAATTAAAAATTTGTATTTAAAATTAACACTTTGCTCATTGATATTATCATCAGTTCAATGACATAACTAGATGTTTGGAGACGAAAGCTACGTTCGAAAATATTTACATTTATACAACAGTGAAGTTTTTTATTACTGAACGGAATACGACATAATTGTATGTATGGTGATGTAAATGAAACCTTTACATATCGATATATATAATGTTCCGCTAATTAAGCGTTGTCAGTTTAACGATTCTCCGCATCACTCGTCTAAAGGTTTTTAGTAGAGGTATGAAGGATCATTTTCAAGATTGAAAAAGGAAATGTCGGACGCCAACCGCATGGAGCAAGGAAGTGGAAATCTCACTCTACATGAAAACAGGAAAGCAACTCGAAAATCTAAGATTCGACTACCGTACTACAAATATCAGAGTATCAGTAGAGATATAATAGCTGTCCCAACTTTTATCGTTTTCTCTGTAGGTGTAAGCTCGATTGGACAAGAAAGACATGAAATTAAATTTGGTTTAACGACCTACTGTTTTGCTCTGGGCTAATGAAGACAGGCATACGCCATACAGTGTGCTATGAGGGAAATGTATCTTATATGGAATTCCAACGGCCAAGGGATCTTTTACGTGCACGCCAATGTATACACGGGATCTCGGTTTTTCGTCCCATCCGAACGACTAGTCAGCAGCCATTGTCAGGCCATCCGTCCTGTACCACTGACAAGGGGAAACCACGTCAGAAAATCCCGATGAACACGCGACCTCCAGGCTAGCGAACGAGCGTCATACCCACTTAGCCGCCGTGGCTCCCCGATTGGTCAAGAAAGTGATGAAATTGAAATTTTCGTTTACATGATAACACGCGGGTTTACGATTTAAAGGGGTATTGACAGTGAAAAAGTGTCCAATGTTAGAGTGATTTTTGCACCGGAATTGAGGTGTATTTTTGCGTCACGGCCGTACTTTTGCGTCACGGCCGTACTCAGCCCTAAATCACAATCACCGGGCCCCTGCTCAGCGTACATGAAATGTTCCCTTTTTCGAATCAGTTTCTAATCAACCCTAAATCACAATCATCAGGTCCCTGTTCAGCGTATATGAAATGTTTCCTTTTTCGAATCAGTTTTTAATCAATTTATCGTATCATTTACTGTAGACTGGTATTTGAATATACATGAACTGAATTTCACAAGTTGCACCTGTTTACTCACAATACTTGCATTTGACCCATTTCGGGTCAAAAAATTAAAATTGGAAAGTTCAATTGAAAACGAAAGATATGGAAAACGGCGCATGAGTATAGCTACTCACATACTCATTATCACCAGGCCGTTGAGGGGAGCGAGGCGAAAAGTGTTTCGACATTACCCCCATGACCATCACACTTCTAAGTGTTTTATTTATTTTCTGTCTTTCGGGCCCCTAAGCTTTGAAGACATTAACATAAAAATCAGAAAAAGGTATGTGAGCAATAAGTTTAAGTAAGAAAAGAATATCGGTAGATAGTAAAATAGATTAGAATGAGAATATATCTTGAGAATTAATATGATTCACTTTCCTTATATGGACCACGGGGGCCCTAAACATGGCCTTGTGGTAATCCATAACAATTGTGTACTGTTGAATATATAGTAACTTCACGCGTTCTGTGTATCGGTTATAAAATCTTGTTTTATTTTCTGTAATAAATCCGGTGATTGGTAAATATCCAAAGCCGTTAAAGCCAAAGCTTTACCTTGCTGTAATGTAAAAGGCTGGGCTGCTGGTGAACCTAAAAGAAAAACAAATGGCTTTATCATTTATTATCACAATTTTAGTAAGGGCATTACATGACAAAGTTAATAAATAAAAAATTCCATGAATCTTTTACAGAAATAGATTACGATGGAGTGGAAATATGTATAATTACAAGATCGGTTAGCAATCCATTGCTAATACTTTTTCCTTGTAATCGGAGAACTCTTGAAATATGACTCTATACTCCATATTAGTCCATGCCATCGCTTCATCGCCATTGTCATGGGCGATGAAGAGTGTACTTTATAACCCAATAATACATTCTACAGTAGATATCGCTTGTGTGATATATTTCATAATCTACTGCGATATCTCCTAGGAGATATCGCTTTACATGAATTTGATTGGTCAGTTGAAAACGAACTACATTTTTTATTTTCAAAGAACAGTTCATTTCTTATTAAAAGTAACTTTTTTAAAATTAAAAATGAACTATTGTTATTCAATTGACCTTGATGGACACACTAAGTCAATATAAAGGACTTTGCAATGGTTGAATTGCTGTCAAAAAATGATGTATCACTACGCCGTAATGTTCAGTAAAAGTGAAATCTACAGCAAATCTCGGCAGAGCCTCGTTTTTTGTTACTTTATCAACTTGTGTTGATATTTTTTGATATCAAAAAAGACTGGTAGGAGATTCTCTATATACCAGTAGGCAGTTCATAAGAATTACAATATTGTGTAATATATGGAAGAAGGCAATTGGATGGTTATTATTTACCAGCAGCTGCTGTGAAGTCAGTGGTATGGTTAGCAGCTAGAGTTCCCATGTGAAAACAAGGATGAATACTTGGTACCACTGTTGATACGTTTCCCATATCAGTTGATCCTAGAGGACTTTGTTTTACAGATTCATCCATACTAAATTCAACACCAACTGATGAGGCATTCTTCTCGTATAATTCACATAATGTATTATTGTACAACATAGCACTGTATGGATGCTCACCAAACGCATATTCCACCTAAATAATTTAAAATGTTAAATATAAATAAATTAAAAACTTGGAATATAGCTTTATCGGTGACATGATACAAACTGGCATGCTCGTTTAGACCAGTCTTCACAAAAACAAATTTAAGTATTACACAAACAAGCATGGAAACTGTGTCAGGCCTTTAATCTGTACTGACGTCAGAAAATTGAAGATTTCTGAGAAAGGGTCACCAACATTATAATATCCAAATATTTTGTGGATTACATAGATTTCAAATATTTCCGGGTTATAGAATTCCGTGACATATTAATGATATATTGAGGAGTTCTTACCTTACAACCGGTTGCTTCAGCAGCACTTTCTACACATTTCACTATTTTAGTTTCAAGAATTTTTAGCTCCGAGTCTTTTGGTGCCCGCACATAGTATTCTAGTTCTGTTTGATCGGGAATGATGTTTGGTTTAACTCCACCGTTGGTAATAACACCTTAAACAGAATAAGATCAAATCTTTTGATTTTGACATACAACAAAAATAACATTTGATTCCACCATAAGATCGATACATTTTTTACGATTAAATTTCATTATAATCTGCCTGCAATCTTTCTTCTGATAGTCCTGAATTCGAATTATAACATTTTATTCTATAATAAGACTCACTATTTTATCAGAAACGTATACACCGTGAGTTTATCTACCCTGTCGGTGGGGTGGGTGTGATCTCTCTTTTCAGAAATAGCTTCAGATAAAAGTCATACGAATGACTGAAAGGATTTTTTTTTACCAATTGTTCATGTTTTACTGTTTGCACGCCTTTGCAACTGATCAAACACAGTACTGAAGCACGGGGTCAACCTTATGGGTATTGTGTGCCGTTTGTAAACTCACGTAAGGGCTATTAGATGTATACAATTGGTAAGTTAAAGAGTATATATTTTAGCGATGGATTGACGGAATGATATCAGATATATGTGTCTGTAAGACCAAGTCTATAGGATAATTGTCGGTGGTTGTAGTTAAATGTTTTAGCCTCACCTTTGAAATAAAAAGAATGGATAAAATTTGTTTACCATGAACTCTCCATGTTGGTTTAAATTGTTGTCTAAGACAGGATATATTTTGGTAACAGAGAACGGCAGCATCAAGAGCGTTAATTCCATCCCACGGAAACCCTGCAGCATGTGAAGCTTTACCAATATATTTGATCATCAACCTAGAACAAAATGGTGGCACCAATACACATTAATGTCACTCTCAATTTATAAATCGTATCTCGAAGTCTCTTAGGATTGGTTTGTGGTTTCGAATTAGTTCAAATCGTGCATTTTAAACAAAGGAGCGATTATTCATTATTGAGTTCCCAAAATATTTGTGATCTCATAGAAAGTCTAGATTTAAAGGGCGAATGTTTTGGAAATATGAACATACTAACCTGTTTGCAGCTAAAATTGGTATTTTAGTAACGGTGGCAGATGTTGGATGAGCCATCATAGCAACATCAAACGTTTTAAAAGCGCCATGTTTCATTAAAATAGCTTTACCTGCCCAACTCTCTTCCGCAGGTGTACCCAGTATAGTTAGCTACAATATATTAATTAGCTTGATTCTGAATAATGTCCAAAAACTGTCCTTTACATGAAGTTTCATACAAATACCATACGCAATAGACTAAATGGCTCACCAACCACGCAACTCCTCATGCATTAAACCATAATGAAAATTTAGACAGCATCAAACGAGTCCAGTGCAATTTTCGCGAATTCGTACAATTCCAACTGGCAACCAGATGTGGGCGGATTAAGGCCCCTGTGAGTCAGTAGACGCTGAGGATAAGGGTCCAAATTGAGTTACAAGAATTAATTGTGGGAATTTTCACACATAGCCGTAGGCAGCCAAAGTAGATTGGGATGGCGCGGGGGATGGGGGATTGGGTGTACGTATTTAAAAGTCGTCACCTTTGTTCGCTTTGGTAGCTTGTCAAGTCTCAGTTCTTTACGGGATTGTTCAGTGGGTAATAAGAAAGACCCATGTCGTAGATGAATTTAGAACCAAGAAGGAACCATATCGGAATTCGTTATTTTCGATCGCAAATCACCATGTTATTCCCTACTTATGGTTCGATTTATGAAATCGTGTGAACGCAACAACAGTCCGAGTTTACGATAAAATTCTTGTTTAGCATGCTCATTGGGATATAAAGAAGAACCATATCGATTTTCAAGCATTTCTGAGTTCTTATTTCGAAAGGGTTTTGCGGATCGTTTTTCCGTTGACATTTTAACTGTATTAACTACCGCCAATGTCGGAAACTTTGTTGTTGACCATTGATCCACCTTTAGTTTCAAAGAAGAACTAGCTTCGGCGTGGAAAATCCACACCGTTCCAATCGCAACTTAAAAGATCTATTTTAAAAACATTAACGGTTTGATCATAGGTTTAAAAGGGACACAATATTATTATTTGGAAAAATTTTGAGGGTTTCGCAGGTATATAGTTTCTATATAGAAATAACCCATTCGTGGAAAGTGATCCATTCACCTGTCCCAATTTAGTATCTGACTTTTCAAGAATTTCTTTGATTCCAAGACCTGCAGCAATACCAAGAAATAGATGGAGGGATACATTTCGCTCCAATCATATTTGTTTCTTGTTTTATTTTTTCAGATTAAGATAGCCTATGTTACTGGTATCAAAGATGTATGTGATAAGTAGTGGTGGCCTTAATACGTGAAATCTAACTGAAAGGGGTAAATGTAGATAAGGGGGAGATCTGTGAAATTTCCCATGGGCTTTGAGAGTGGAGAAAGGGTAAGATCAGTTAACTCAACTAAGAAATTAACACCGGAAAGAGGTATACTATGGTAAGAATTTATTTAGTCACTTTATACTATAGAATATGTAATAACTTCACGCGTTCTGTGTATCGGTGATAAAATCTTGTTTTATTTTCTGTAATAAATCCGTTGAATGGTAAATATCTAAAGCGGTTAAAGCCAAAGCTTTACCTTGCTGTAATGTAAAAGTCTGAGCTGTTGGTGAACCTGAAATAAAAAGATTGTTGATAATTTCTGGTGACCATCATAACGGATACATGATATGGCATGGATAAGGGTCCAAATTGAGTTACAAGAATTAATTGTGGGAATTTTCACACATAGCCGTAGGCAGCCAAAGTAGATTGGGATGGCGCGGGGGATGGGGGATTGGGTATACGTATTTAAAAGTCGTCACCTTTGTTCGCTTTGGTAGCTTGTCAAGTCTCAGTTCTTTACGGGATTGTTCAGTGGGTAATAAGAAAGACCCATGTCGTAGATGAATTTAGAACCAAGAAGGAACCATATCGGAATTCGTTATTTTCGATCGCAAATCACCATGTTATTCCCTATTTATGGTTCGATTTATGAAATCGTGTGAACGCAACAACAGTCCGAGTTCACGATAAAATTCTTGTTTAGCATGCTCATTGGGATATAAAGAAGAACCATATCGATTTTCAAGCTTTTCTGAGTTCTTATTTCGAAAGGGTTTTGCGGATCGTTTTTCCGTTGACATTTTAACTGTATTAACTACCGCCAATGTCGGAAACTTTGTTGTTGACCATTAATCCACCTTTAGTTTCAAAGAAGAACTAGCTTCGGCGTGGAAAATCCACACCGTTCCAATCGCAACTTAAAAGATCTATTTTAAAAACATTAACGGTTTGATCATAGGTTTAAAAGGGACACAATATTATTATTTGGAAAATTTTTGAGGGTTTCGCAGGTATATAGTTTCTATATAGAAATAACCCATTCGTGGAAAGTGATCCATTCACCTGTCCCAATTTAGTATCTGACTTTTCAAGAATTTCTTTGATTCCAAGACCTGCAGCAATACCAACTTCAGCAATCAGATTATGTCCACAGGCATGACCAATTTCTGCTAGAGCATCATATTCACATATCACAGCAATATGAGGTTTCGATGGATCCACGTCACCGAAAGTTGCTTTAAAGGCAGTTTCTATTTTATAATGTTTTTCAACCTTAAAACCAGCTTTCTCAAGAAAATCCGTGAGCACAGTATGAGCAGAGTATTCCTTAAATCCCAGCTCTGGATTTTTCCATATTTGTTGACTAAGACTGTTCAATTCTACGGCATATCTGTCGACTGTTTCAATAACACTGGATCTTAAATCTGCCATATCGTTAGATTTCGACACTGGTTTAGATCTTTAAGTTACTGAGCAGTTGAATTGGTATTAAATGCAGGCTTTATCTACATGACTAACAAAGATGCCTATGAATAAATAAAGAAAATAATAATGCATCGATGTTAAGTCTCATTCAAAATATGTACCGATAACCCTTGATCTCCCGAAGATAAATACTAATTTATTTACGTGTGAATAAACAGTCTACATGATTTAAACCATATCTACTGTCCTTTTGTGTAGCAGTATAAGTAATGATAAACATTACTTGCATAGTTACTAGATAGTAGAATAGGTTTGTATTGTTTTGGTAAATGGATTTGATTGTAAATCAGTGTCTGTGTTAATTGTTATTTTGAACTCGTGGTGCTGAAGGGCACCCCCGTGGTATAAGAGCCTGTCACGTTTTCTAGTCTTTTCCCTTCTACTCTCGTGGACAGTTCAATTAAAGTCTTATTTCTTAGATTTCGTAGTCACTTGTGAACGGAGCGGGATGAAACTTGTTAGGGAAATTATTTGGAACAGTTGCAAAGCACAGTAAGTTGAGCGGGAACCAGGTCGACTGGTTTGGCGTTCTCCGAACAGTTTTTATGGGTGGTCGGCAATAGGTATAATTTACCAACCCACATGTATCGAGCGATCTTTTTGACTTATGTGCTCATCGTATTCGTTCTTCAGAACAGGGCTATGTGAATAGTCTCCAGCAATGAACCTATTATAACATGTACAGTCATGCCTATTTTAACCGCCGGGATTAGGTATTTAGTAGATATATCCCCGCAGATATACTTGAAAATCTACTCTAGGATACAGCAATTAATTGTCAAACATTTCCCAAAGGCCATCCTCCTTTCCTACCCCCATCGTAGAATTTAGAGCCTGCCAACCCACTCAAAATATATTCCCTGTTCATATGGCAAAGAATTAATTGGGGTGATATTTTGATTTAAGCCCTGGGTGGAGAAAATCATCCAATTTAACTTTCAACTGCTATTTCCCAGCCGTTCATGAAATGAATCAGCCATCCACGGCTGAAACTGGCTGGAAACCAGGTTTGTCCTAGCTCGAGTCGAACTTATTTATTTAATCACCTTTATAAAATATACGTACCAATGGTAAAATGTTTATTTTGTCTTAAAAATTGGATATCAGAAGCCTACCTTTTCCCGGTAAGATCACAACATCAATGTTGATTTGAATCGACAAATAATTCGCGTTTGCAACGTGTAAGACTTTAGATGATATTGAGTTAGAGACTTAGCTACTTTAAGAAATTGATGGAGGGATACATTTCGCTCCAATCATATTTTTTTCTTGTTTTAATTTTTAAGATTAAGAGAGAGAGAGAGAGAAATGGGGTTTAACGTCCACTCGACACAAACTAGGTATTTCGGGACTAACATATGGTTTATTTTTTTTACATAATTCGCTTGCGCGTAGGGTCTTTAGCAGTGGGAGGAAACCGGAGGACCCGGAGAAAACCCACGAGGTTGGACAGACGACCCTACTCCTTGTCACGTACAACCGGGGATTCGAAACCACGCCAGTCGACTCAATGACAGACTTTATGATACAGCGCGCGCACACTAACCATTCAGCCATCCAACCCCCCTTCAGATTAAGATAGCGTATGTTTCTGGTATCAAAGATGTATGTGATAAGTAGTGGTGGTCTTAATACGTGAAATCTAACTGAAAGGGGTAAATGTAGATAAGGGGGAGATCTGTCAAATTTCCCAGGGGCTTTGTGAGTGGAGAAAGGGTAAGATCAGTTAACTCAACTAAGAAATTAACACCGGAAAGAGGTATACTATGGTAAGAATTTATTTAGTCACTTTATACTATAGAATCAATCTGGTTAAAACACAGATCCTATTTCGTTTCGTTTTTATGGTTGAAAATTTCGTTTTAATTTGTCTTTACTACACCAGGATCTGGAAGAGTTGTTATTTAATTCGTGTTCTGAATGGTGTCGGGGATAAGCCAATGAAACGGTCTGTTACGGCGAGTTTTAGGCGTGTTTTGCACGGAACTGTGGGTAATCCACTAGTAACATCAATGCTGATTGCTTAATCATATGTCTGACATCATAAGGTCAAAAGTCGGTCTTTTGATCCCTGACGTGACCTATCGCTATAACTTGTCAGATCTTCATGAAGTGTAGGCCATCGAAAGTATAAAAAAAACGAAACGAAATATAGATCTGTATTTTAATCAGATTGACTATAGAATATGTAATAACTTCACGCGTTCTGTGTATCGGTGATAAAATCTTGTTTTATTTTCTGTAATAAATCCGTTGATTGGTAAATATCTAAAGCGGTTAAAGCCAAAGCTTTACCTTGCTGTAATGTAAAAGTCTGAGCTGCTGGTGAACCTGAAATAAAAAGATTGTTGATAATTTCTGGTGACGATCATAACGGGTACATGATATGGCATGGAAAGACTCTTTTTCAGAAATATTTACGATGGGTTGGATTACCCGGTTTGGAAACACTCCAAATCTAACTTTGTTTTCTTCTCGGAATTGGATAACACTAAATTACCACGAGGTTTCATTTGGCTTCTGAAATATGAGTCTTTACTCCATACCATCGGTTCATTTGGTAGTAGATGTTTAATCGTGTCATGCGCGATGAAGAGGGTATTATATCAGTAGGCAATTCACATGTCTAATATATTATGGAACAAGATAATAGGAAATTTACCGGCAGCTGTCGTGAAGTCCGTTGTATGATTAGCAGCTAGAGTTCCCATATGAAAACAAGGATGGATACTTGGTACCACTGTTGATACATTTCCCATATCAGTTGATCCTAGAGGACTTTGTTTTATAGATTCATCCATACTAAATTCAACACCAACTGATGAGGCATTCTTCTCGTATAATTCACATAATGTATTATTGTATAACATAGCACTGTATGGATGCTCACCAAACTCATATTCCACCTGGAAAAAGTTCAATATAAATGACTTGGAAACTTTAAATATAGCTTTTTCGGTGACATGCTCGTTTGGAAAAGTCTTCATAAAAGACAATTTAAGAGATATCACACGTCATAATAAGGAAACTGTATGGCTACCAGTCGAGCTTGCACAAAGACGTCTAATCTGGACTAACGCCAGGAAACTTCACCAGCATTATAATATCCTAACATTTTGCGGATAACAGAAATGTCAAAACATTAGGGAGTTTTTACATGTACCTTTATAATATAGTGCGGGTGGAATTCCCAGACATACTGATGATGTATTCAAGAGTTCTTACCTTACAACCAGTTGCTTGAGCAGCACTTTCTATACACTTCACTATTTTAGCCTCAAGAATTTTTAGCTCCGAGTCTTTTGGTGCCCGCACTGAGTATTCTAGTTCTGTTTGATCGGGAATGATGTTTGGTTTAACTCCACCGTTGGTAATAACACCTTAAACAGAATGAGATCTACTCTTTTGATTATCCTTAACACGAAAGACAACATTTGAAACTTTTATCACGAGAAATGGTGAGTTTTTTTCAAAGCTGGATTCCATTCTACTATGTCTATGTCTGTGATACGTATTTTCGGGAAGCCTCGGTAGCTCGATGAATATCTCGCTAGCCCCTGGGGGTTCCAGTTTCCCTTTGTCAGTAGTGCAAAATAGGGGGGGGGGTATGACAAATAAAGGTGCCTAGTCGTTCGAAGAACGTAGTAACTATTTCTCTAAAAGCATCTTACGACTGGTCCAACCGATAAGTTTCAAATATTCTGCATACAATCTAATTTTTACAATCTAATTTTAGCACTCAAATGGCGGTTGTAGCTCAATATATTAGCTTTGAAATAAAAAGAATGGATAAAATTTGTTTACCATGAACTCTCCATGTTGGTTTAAATTGTTGTCTAAGACAGGATATATTTTGGTAACAGAGAACGGCAGCATCCAGAGCGTTAATTCCATCCCATGGAAACCCTGCAGCATGTGAAGCTTTACCAATATATTTGATCATCAATCTAGAAAAAAATGGCGGCACAACTTTTAAATCGTATCTCGCATTCTCGTAGAATTGGTTGGTGGTTTCGGGTTAGTTTTAAGCATGTAAAACAACGAAACGACAATTTTAGTTCCCAAAATACTTGTTATCTGATATAATATTTCATCATAAACCTAGAAAGAAATGACTGCACAAATCATACCTCACAGTCTGGTAGGATTAGTTGGTCGTTTCAGGTTTGTACTGAATCATGCATGTAAAATTCAGGAACGATAATTTTAGTTCCAAAAACATTTGTTGTGAATAATCATCGTAACGGGTTCTCATATATGGCAATACACAGTGTGCTAGACTTTAATAAAGAGTGACATTTAGAATGGGCGAGAAATATGACCACACTTACTTGCTTCTGGCTAAAATTGGTATTTTAGTAACGGTGGCAGGTGTTGGATGAGCCATCATAGCAACATCAAACGTTTTAAAAGCGCCGTGTTTCATTAAAATAATTTTACCTCCTCCACCCTCTTCAGCAGGGGTACCCAATACAGTTAACTGCAATATAGTATATAACTCCATTCTTAACCATGTCCAATAACTATCGACTCCATGAACATCAGTGCGATTATCATTTATATTAGATCCTAAATGGGGTGGGGATGGATTGCCGAATGGTTAGCACGTGCGCGTTGCATCAACTGGCGTGGTTTAGATTCCCAAGTTATACGTGACAAGGAGTAGGGTTGCCTGCCCAACCTCGTGGATTTTCTATGGGTTCCCCGGTTTCCTCCCACTGCTAAAGATCCCTATGAAATAAAATTGAACCATATGTTAGTCCCGAAATGACCTAGTTTATGTCGAGTGGACGTTAACCGCCATTTCTCTCTTTCTCTCTCTGCGCTTCGTACGTTACCCCCCTCTCTCTCTCTCTCTCTCTGTCTCTCTCTCTCTCTGTCAGATCCTAAGTGGGGGACCATGGCGGTTCAATGAGCCTGACAATTGCTCACAATCCAGAGGGGTCCCAAGACCGAGCCTAATGTGGGCCGAGAAAGTTCCGCTAGATATTCCAGTCGGGTTTACTGTTGTAAGTGTTGGTGAACGGGGACTCTGGCAAGGAGAAGCGACTAGTCGTTGTGATACAACATTAGTCGGAGAGTTAACCCCTTTTCATTTCATTTCAGATCCTAAATGTATCGCCAACCCCAAAACTCCAAAGGGTGCTATTAATTCAAGCACAAAATGGAGAAAACAGAATCAAAAGAATCAGAACCCCGTGGGTGAATCAGTACATATAAGATCTGGTTCCAGTTTTTATGTAGCTGGCAACCAGTGGCGTATTACGAACCTTGTGTAGGCCTACCCAGATGCACTCATCCTTTGGTTTACAACAATTTTGTTTTTTTGGACAAGTATCATAGTTCCGATATAGTGTCTATATCGAAATAAAACATATTTATATTAAAATATTGTTTTGGTCGTAATTTACCTGTCCCAATTTAGTATCTGACTTTTCAAGAATGTCTTTGATCCCAAGACCTGCAGCAATACCAACTTCCGCAATTAGATTATGTCCACAGGCATGACCGATCCCAGGCAGAGCATCATATTCACATATCACAGCAATATGAGGTTTCGATGGATCCACGTCACCGAAAGTTGCTTTAAAGGCAGTTTCTATTTTATAATGTTTTTCAACTTTAAACCCGGCTTTCTCAAGAAAATCCGTGAGCACAGTATGAGCTGAATATTCCTTAAATCCCAGCTCTGGATTTTTCCATATTTGTTGACTAAGATTGTTCAATTCTACGGCATATCTGTCGACTGTTTCAATAACACTGGATCTTAAATCTGCCATATCGTTAGATTTCGACATTGCTTTAGATCCGTTAGTTACTGAGCAGTTGTAAAAGTTATTCCAAGTACGTTTAGCTAAGAGTTTATTAGCTGATGATCTTAATCTGCAAGATAACGAAGCAAAAAAGGGCTAAGGCTAACATCGGGATGAACTGTGGCCTCCTTTTCCAGTTATGTCTATGAATAAATAAAGGGATTAATAAAGGACTGACACTTGTCTTGGCGCATAAACATATTGATGACCTTTGACCTTCCGAATTACATAATACGAATTATGAATAAACATTTTACCGCTTATACTAGAATGTCCTAATGGCGGTGGTATTGGGGTGGGGGTGGGGGCGTCAGGGTCGAACATACAAAATACAAAAATTAATGTAAGTACTTGTCATTGAAAGATAGCCATTTCAAAACTCCATGCCATTTAATTTTCTCCTGTCTGATCGATATTAATGCACAATCATTCCTATTGTGTTCCTTGTTTTGGGCATAAACCAAATGGTTTATTTCGCAGATAATTTTTTAAACATGATTGCATCATCCAACATGATATAGTCAACACATACATGCGTATAAGCTGCTGTTTATATACAAATTTTACAATTATAGATTCTGTGCTTTTTGTCAGTGCAGAGATAATGTAACAGTGCAAAGCATGATTGGGACATACTCGAACGCGGTTTACCTGATTTCCGCGGAAAGGTGTCGCCCTCGGCTTGTTAATCAATGTTTTGTAAAGATCCGACCACGATTGTGTTATCACTTCACCGAAAAATGATAACGACAGACAAAACACGATTAACTAATATTAGACCGGAGGTCAGGCCAAGCTTAGTATTATTCTAGTTCATAACCAAAATACGAGATCATATAGCAAATATAGCAAATATAGCAATAGATACCCTGTGCTATACAGACTAAGGCGAAAAAGAACAAAATAAAATCTTTCAAATAAAACCTTTGATAAGAATTACTATCATGCTCTCAATGTATATATCAAGCTAAATACACAAAATTACTCACTTGGAGCAAATTAACACATTAGCTTAAAACTATAACACATACCTATGGAAAAACAAAATAGTTTATACTAGCTATAGCACGTTTCACACTAACTACGTGAACTAGTTAAAAGCCATCCCACTACATTGATCTTAAACTGTATGAAACGTTTCGCTCTGTTAAATTACCCTCTCCTGGATGTGTATTTCAAATCCTTTGTTCCATGCGGATTCATGTTATTCTGGTGGTATATATATTGAATATTTCTCATTTAGAAAGTATGGATAGCTTACTTGTTAAATGATATCATAGTTATGAAACAGCTAACGATATGTACATCCACATGTTTATCTAATTCCAATTGCTAATAACACTATACATAAATATATATATATATATATATAAAGCGGTATGTAGGCTATTGTGACCTACTTCATATACTGCATAAACAATACCATTATTATGTGTTTATGTTATTTATTATTTTACAACCACTGTGGCCGGATTTGTGTTTATTTTATTTCATCAATAAAATTCCTCGTGCATTTACATTCATATACTAGCCTTTTGAGATCATACTGGAATTTGAATTAAAATTTTGCACTTTCTTTGCTGTCATTTGTATATATATATATTGCTTTCCACGTCATAAGACCCAGTGGCGTAACTAGCGAGGGGATGGGAGCAGACAGGCATTGAATCTGGGGTGGAGCTGGGGCCGTACTGGGGGCAAAATCAGTATATGAGGGTCCCTTAGTCAATGCCAAAGGGCCCCACGTGAATGTAATTGGATTTGGACCCATACTACTCGTAGGGGCCCCTTAATTAAAGCCAGAGGGCCCAAAGTTAATATAATTGCATGGACCCATACTACTCATAGGCCCACTGTGAGTCCTTTAATCGAAGTCAGAGGGGCCCCACATTAATACATTTGGGCCCAGACTATTGGTATGCGTAGGGAGCCACTCGTTGGTCTATGAAAGTAATTGGGTCCACACTGCACGTAGGGTCCCCTAATCAAAGTCAGAGGGGATCCAATTTAATGTAATTAAGATCAACATCAGATTGACTGTGGTCTGTACACAGCTATTTGCATCTCAGTAGTCAGAAGAGTTGGTAATTGACTTCGTTCGACTAAGGCATTCGGGCATTTTCAGCTATGCTCTCACTTATTATTTGCGGGGATAAAAGGTAATCACGTAGGTACAACACTTAACAAGAAAAATATGAAGTACTAACAAGTCGAATAAAAAAAAATTATTCGACCAATTTAATGGTGTTTTGGAGGAAAATAAGGTGAAATAAATCTCCTGATGACTATATTATGATTAAGATTACAAGTAAGATAAGCAATGCGACTGTTTGCGAATAACGTCTTCTGATAACATCATCACAGTGTCAATTTAACAGGATTTAAGATAAGGAGAATTCCCTTTAAAAATATACATATATACAGTATTAACATTTCCAACAAGTAATGTGATTATAAAACATGGATAACAATGATCGAGATCACGTTTAAAGCCATCATGTAGTGGATAATATAATATAATGGTGTATCAACATCTCTATTAATTTTGGCGGCTCTTATTTCTGTTTCTTGTCCTGGTCATCATCCTCGTCTTCCTTCGTATATTGTTTAATCTCGTACGCTGTGTCTAGCTTTGTTCCATACATGTTAAGCACCAAACTATCAAACCAGGCAGATGGTATACAGGACCGAATTCTTGCTATCCACTAGAAAGTAGAAGAAAAATACAAATAAAAGATAAATGAATGATATGTACAACTTAGTTTCCCGCCAAAATAATTAGTATAAAGGCATGGTCTTGTGCAGACCAAATGAATATCCATTTACTTTAGAAACCATGACTGACGGTAACAAAAATATCGGGTTAAAGGTGATGAGACTATTCCATTACATTATGTTCTATCAAATGCTGCCTGTAGACGATGCTGGTGTTAGCCATTGCTACTCGTTTGTTTAGACCTAATCCCGGGATCTCTTGGCCTTTTGTTTCAGAGATATGGAGTTAGTCCACTATTGGTGGGTTGGAGTGGGAATTAAATATAAAACACAAATTTGTCATCTAACCGGGTTCCACAACATTTCGTCCAACACTATAGATGCCTTCGGCTTTTCTTTCAACATCAGATACACACGATATATTTTCCCTCCTCAACATGAAACAGTTCAGGTTTTACAAACATGGTCATAAATTTCAACAGTGTTGCAGCGACCATCCGACATATAACCTGGGGCCTTATTCATGAAAAGTTAAACTAGAATATTTTAAGAATTCAGGCTTTTTCAATGGTTGAAGGTCAAAATCCGTTAATAAAGTTCACCTCTTAGCCAATGAAATCGTTGCTTTCTAAAATATAATAGTTTTATTTTCGTGGATAATGCTCATGCATGCAGTGATAAAAGTGCGTCCCAAACTGCTAACGACATTGTGATTACTGCTAAGATATTTGGAAATATTAATTTGAAATTCCATACTTACTTTTGAAGTGTTTAACAGTCGATGACTATCACCAACAATATATCTAGCCGTATGATGCTCAAGTAAAATGGCGTCTGTTACAGCTTCACAGACATCTGGATGATTTAAGTGGCTATTTTTATTAATAAATTCATTACACATTCCCGAAATATAGTCCTCTCCGTACGTTTCTAAAATATCTTCACTGGCTTTAAGTTTCATTTCTTCGCAACTCTGTTTTAAAGCTTTACTCTGAAATAATAAATAAATTAGGTTCATATTCCGTCTCCTCGTGTGTGATAAAGCTATCCGATTCTTCTGGGAAGAACCATGACCATTTACAGACTTGGTTACCGGGTAACGAGTACGACGAAAAGTAAGTTTCGACTGAGATAAATAATAGGGATTACGTTCATTCTACTCTAGCATTGCAGCATCTAGCATTGCAGCAATTACATATGTTAGTCTCAAAAGATCGATGTGTTGTGTTGAAAAGACATTAAACCCATGTCATTCCTATACGATCTTCATTTAATTTAGGTGTAGCAAAAGTGAAAAGAAATTCCCTTGAACGTCTAGTCCTTTTACGTTCTAAGGAAGATCTTCATGTTCCCCTTATGGAAATAGAAATCGGCATGCTCTGGTTATCATAAATTTAGAACCCACCAATCATAAAGAGAGCTGGTAAATGAAGTCTACATGTTTTGTTTATCATAAATTTTAGAACCCACCAATCATAAAGAGAGCTGGTAAATGAAATCTACATGTTTTGGTTATATATTTAGAAAACCTACCGATTGGGAAGAGAGTTGATAACTAAGACTAGGTTCTACCAGAGATACCTTTACCCCAAACTTGACCATTTCTAATCTTAGAGATTCGGTAAAACCTTCCACACCGTATTTACTAGCACTGAAGGCGGAACCGTTAGGAATTCCCATCAATCCACCTACTGACGATACATTCACAATACGACCTGAAATACAATGTATCATATTTTATCAAACAAATGAATTAAATTAGTGTTAATATTAATTGAAACACAAATGTCAAGATTTCTTCTACGTCAGTGATTCTCAACCGGTCAGCCGCGAAATTTTGGACGGCACACGAAAACCATGTGATCCTAATTGAGTATTCACTGGTGTCTACTGATAAGTTCATAGGTGTGTTTTTCTTTATTTAGTTCGAGTCATTCTATGTATCTATGACTAGTCTGTGTCTACAGTTGTATGCCGTCTATGATTTGCCATGTTTTTATTTTACAAAATTCAAATATTTTTCATAAATATTTAGCCAGGTATGCCGCTATTTTTTCATTATTTCATTGTTCCAAGGTGTGCAGTTGGCAAAACTGTTGAGACCAACTGTTCCACGTAACAATGCTTTTTACTTGTCATGCCTTCTCTCCATAATCTACTGAAAAAAGAAAACTGGCTGGAAAACCCCGAGGGTCGAACTTAAGAAAACTTGTCAGTGAGCAGACAAAGACAATAAGATGGAAATGTACCTTGTGATAAACGTATTAAGGGTAAGAATGTTTGAGTAACTCTGATCGTTCCCATCAGATTGACGTCAATAATAGTTTTATATTGTTCTATAGTAGTCAACTCAACATCTCCAATCAACGCATCACTCGCATTGTTTACAACTGCCCACAGATCTGAAGATAAAAACATATTCAAATTAAATAACAATATTCTTCATTAACTCGAGATTTAAAAACGATTTGGGACAGGTTTATGGAGTCGAAGGCAGAATAAATACTTGTCCTAACTCTGTGACATTACTTTCCGTTAAAACATCGAGGAGAGCCGCAGATCAAATATAGGAAAGGTCAAATCATATTACCGTCCCCGGTGTCCCCCACAAACGAGCGCCCCGAATCACCCAGTCCATTCGGACTCCGCTCTCAAATGCTTTCCTGACAATTGTTTAATTGACATAAACCTGTAAAGTAGGACTCACATTACATGGCTAAATTTGTTATCTATTATTCCATTTCGATAAATCAAATATTTTGAGTTTGTTTTTAATCGTCTGTTTTCCCGCTGTTCTGAAATCCCGCGTAAACCTAAAATCCCGCGTAAAGCTCAAACTCAGTTGAATTCAAATACAACATGGTATGGTATTATATGGGCCATTTAAATATTTGGGCAACCTGGCCGCTTAGACTAAATGGAAATCCAGAACGTGGACCTAAGAATGGCAGAGAATGGACAGAGTGTTATAAATTGGCTATCAAGAAATGGAATGGGGGCATTTGGCAGCTGGGTAGAGAAATACATCTTAAAGTAGCTAAGTCTCTAACTCAACATTATCAAAAATATTCGACATTGAAAACACGAATTATTTGTCAATTTAAATCAACATTGATGTTGTGACCTTACAGGGAAAAGATGGGCTTCTAATGTCCAATAATTAAGACAAAATAAACATTTTACCTTTGGTACACGAATCGTGTACCATGGTGCATTTCAGCGCCATTTTTAACAAGGGACTCGTAGAAAGAGGCTAGATATATTCCACAAGTCATGTCAATCGGTGACGTCATATTCTTATCTGGAGAGCATGCGCAATAAATACTATCGGTATAGAGTGGAATAACCAGACGATAGAGATTGCAATTCGATTGAGACTTCTGGCGTATTTCGCCGAACATAACTGATTAGAAATTGTAGTAAAAACAGAAACGATTTAATGTAAATCAGTTTATATACATTCACATTACATTATTATATGCGTTGCGACCCATTTGGGTCAATTTCTAGATCCAAAATATTAGGGATTTGGCTCCTTTAACACATACTTATGGTAGAATAATTTACAAAGGACTTTATAATCTATAATAAAGTTCATACAATCAGTAATTTATTTGGATGCGGCCTCGATGAATATTTTCTCACCGTTTTCAAGCAAGGACTATACCTACCATCTTCTCCTAGTTGATTTTTAACTTCATTAAAACACTGACTACAACTTGTATCTGATGTTACGTCTAATTCTAATACTCTTAGTTTATCACTACAGTTCTTTTTTAAAATATTAACACCATTTGAATTAACAGATTTAAAGGTGGCAAGAACACGAAAACCTTTGCTATCTAGTGATCTAACTAACTCTAAGCCTGCTTCTATAGAAAAATATACAAAAATTAATCATATTAGAGTATGGAAATTTATATTAACTGGGGTGACAGAAAAGATTAAGATTCATAACTTTCTTGTTACCTCTTGATCGTATGACTATACGTATATAGGTCCTTAAGGGGGTGGAAACGTGCTCAAGATTGTGGTGTTTTATTCCTGGAATAATAGGATTTAGTTCCAATAGAAACCATGACCCAGGTAACAAATGATGCACCATCCCAACCTTGTTAACGTTCTTTCAATTTCCACCTTTTAGTTATTCAAAATAAGATACATTTATCTTAAAGATACATTATGGGAGATAAGATAAAGAGATGGCAGTTCTCACTATAATAGTTAAAAACTAGATAGTGTAAAGATAATTTGCTGAAAATTTCAGTCAAATTGATCCACTATGAGCCGAGAAAGAAGCCGGTGAAATTTTTGCATAGTCTCGGTTATCATTACTAAAATCATTAATATAAACAGCATAGTCTCTATTATCCGCTTTTTCTGATTTAATTATCGTTGGCCGTTAGCGGCATATAGGAATCTAATCCAGCCTACATCGAAGGCTAGCCTTAACATCGAGAGTTTATTATGGTCTAAAGAAAGACTTGTAATAAGCAGATTTTGCTCTTGCATTCTGCATGTTTAAATGTAGAAATTGGTCCATCTGATTTGTTAACCAGAATTCGGTTTATTTTCAGAGTTTGGCTCAGTTTGGGCTTAAATTGCCGGCTTTTGCATACAAAATTAGTTATATCTCTACTTTGGCTTAATCTGTGGAACTGCAATATTGAATGTGAACAGATAACCATTGCTGAAAAAACTCAGTGCAAGGTATTTAAACAAAGGGGCACATTGATACTTTACCCAAAACGTATTGCTACGACAAGACTATGAAACGCTGTGGGTGTTTTAATAATTCTTGTTTGAAGAAATGTAGTACGGACATATATCGTGCTAGTGCAGGACAGAGGGTCTGACAAGGACAGCTGTCTAGTTGTTCAGATGGGACGAAAAACCAAAGTCCCGTTTACACACAGGCGTACACGTAAAAGAACCCTTTGATATAAGAGTAGGCCGTAGCGCCGTTTTCCGGGCAAAATTTCCCGCATAGCACACTGCATGGCGTATGCCCGTCCCAATTGGCCCAGTCGGAGCAGAAAACGAGGATGTTAAATCCCATTTCATTTCATTTCGTTTCTATCGCGCTAATTTACCGTTCTTATGGATACAACTGAGTTAACTCATCATACATACCTGTTTCACAACCAGTTATTAAAACTGTTTTATTTTTAACTGGAAGCCTAGAGCGTGTTATTCTTCTAATAACCATCAATAAAATCGTCATTAGAGATATACTGATACATATCATAGACATAGATCGTTTAAATATAACCATAACAGCCCCTGATACCACAATCAGGTATAAAACTTCTAATAATGTAGCATCCTCCATATTCTATAAAACAATATCAAATGTTATATTAATGAACTCAAAATTTGCCTTGACTCCCCATTGCTCTGGGAAAATGTCTGGATAGAATTCTACATTGTATTCAGTAGCGTGTTCACGAAGGGTGGGGTTGAATGTTGTTCTGAAAGGTTCGTTAATTTGTTTTTTTTAAGTAAGAAAGGGATTTGGGTGCCTGTTTGTTAAGCTCCAATTATTATACGATTCTATTACTTGAGAAGATGCATTATCTAGCAATCTAATGACGTGGAACACTTTGGATAACCTGCCTGGTCAATTTGTCATTTGTATTGATTACATTTTACAGAATTTAGAGATCAATTGAGTGACCAATAAACTTTGTTTTCAGTAGATAATTAATAGGATGTTAGTCTGGGATTACGAAATATGTTCATCCAGTGGCGTGTTCAGAATTTGAGTAGTGGGGGGCCTAAGATGGAGACGTCAAGTTTGGTGTGCGGTCTGGGGGGATTACCCTATAATTTGATCAAATCAGAAGCTGTAAGACAAGATTCCTGCTCATTTAGATACATGCATGTGTAAGGATTAGAGTGGAGCGAGGTTCCACGTGTTTGTTTGTTCGACGTTATTTGGATGAATGTAGGAGCCTGCGTGAGCAGGGGAGGGTCCGCACCCTGTCAGTTTAACCCATAGACCATATCTACCAAGTCCTGTACGTATTATCTCCCACTAAACCACTGTAGGGGCGCGGCTGTAACGAGGAAAATAATATCTTTCAATATTAGCATTAATCGGCTTCAGACCATGGACCTAATAGACTTCAGGCATTATGCTTAGTCACAGCTTAATGTAATTTTTGAAAGAGATTTTCCACCTTACAGGCTACTGTGCACTAAACCCCCATCCCAATCCCCGAACACACTACTTTGAAGCAGGTAACACCGCTAATTGAAATGTCGTGGGTAATTAACCCAAGATAAATTGGATGTATTGTGAAATCATGTTGGGTTGGCTTTTCCACGAAAGTTCTATGTATCAAGGATAGGCGAAAAAATATTGCTTCCAAAAGTTCAAAAGCTACTTCTTAGTTTGTTATACACATTCGGGGTAAGAGTGGGGGGAAATAGCTAATAACACTCATTATTTATCTATCTGTTCAATATAATATATGGTCTCAAGCATTAGATTGGTATAATGATAGTCGTGAGTCAGCGAGTCGTCTTGTCTACAATATTAACCATATATAGCAGTTTCTGTGTCTCAATTATAACCATTTAATAAGACGTTCCAAACTCCTATACTACACACCAATGACATACATGCATGTTATTTCAACAAATAAACTAGGCTACATACCTTATATATTAGATCTTTATTCGTAAAAAGGTCAACTGAATTTAAGCATATCCTCCTTCAAGCAAGTTGTTTCACAAGTTTGTATAAAACGTGTCTAGTTGTATAAAGTGGGGGGAAAGACTGTTGACATTCTTGTTCCCTCAGGTGTAACGTAATACAATCAACTCCGTTCAAATACCTGTGTATACACAACCAGTCGAGTATTCATTTTTACTGCAGTACAAACTTCATTTAAATGGATTGTAGCCTTACGTTGTCCATAAAATAGGCTAATTTGATAAAGCTACATGCCAAGAATTCAAATAGCTGACTGTTAGGTTCAAATGAACAATTTTTTGTTGTTTTTGTTTAAGTTAAATGAAAGTTTATACAACACTCCAATGACAAGATGATTATATTTCAAATATGTTCTTGAAATCAAATGCTAGTAGCCTAATATTTTACTCTATGCTTATATTTTAGAATTGCTGTTTTTCCCTAAATTATACTTTTCAGGATCTCCTAATAACAATCAACAGAGCTGGGCTATAAATGGTAAAATATTTAAATTCACTGAAAGGCACAAGACATTTTAAAATCCATATCATGGTTTGCGTTTGTTACAATTGTTTTCCTGAAACACTGTCAAAGGTTAAAATTGTCTGATATCTCTTTGCATATTGTGACATGTCTACCTATTTTCCACAATAAACTCAAAAGTATGGCTATGGTATATTTTATTTATTTAAAAAGATAAATGTTTCTGAGATATTTCAAATGTGGTCCTGTGGTTTTCATAATTTTAAAACTATATCTTTCATGAATTTAAAGAAAATCATATATACATTTGCTATGATCTAGAATAAAATGTATTTCCCCATATCCAAATATTTTGAAGGCAGAAATTGTCAAATATTTTGATTTTGTGGTGGGATGGGGATTAAGAGTGGGTTTTGGTGTACATTTTCTGTCTAGGTTTTGAGAGTAGTGTTGTTTTTATTGGGCTTTAACTACTTTGTTTTTACAGAATTATCTGCCTTGAAATACCAAAATTATAAACTCAAAATTTACTTGCATTTTCTGCAATTGCCAATAGTCAGTGGTAAATTGGATCCAAGTTGAGTTCAACATAGCCGCTGCATTAATGAGTCTACTAGGGAAATACCAAGCCTAACCCTTTTTTAAAAGACTCAACTTGGATCCAATTTACCTATATTATATTATATGTTCTAGAATTCTTTTGGTAGCTTTATACATGGACCAATTTAAGCAGTAGGAGCAGGACAATCACCGAACATAAAGAACACCACTTAAAACCCACAGGACTAATATAGGGACAATTCATAAAATTATTATATTGAGTGTGGCCAGTCATAAGTGTTCACTTCATGCCAATCAGTCTATCAGACAATCACTAATAATTATAGTACACTTTTCAAATAAACAAAATTCAGCTTGCAATATTTTTTATTACAACAATACATCATGACATAAACAAAAGAATTTGGATAATAAATAACGTATTTAATAGGCCTATTTAAAAGAAACACAAATTCACTTGAAGTGTCTGTAGGATGATCTTTTTGGAATCACCAGCCCCGTTGCACAAGGTCGCCATTATACGAATAAAAATATCTCATATTATCCTGTGAGATACTTTCTTCCAAACTGTTGAACTTTCTTTTCAAACGCCGGTGATTTAATTGGTGTATTAATTTCATAAAATGGGTTCATTGCGTGTTTGACGTAAGTGTCATAAACCTCTGTGAAAAAGTTTTTAATGCCATCTTCATTTTTAATTTCATGTAACATCAACAGTCTCATTTTCCCAGCGGTAACAAAAGCCGACACAAACCACTCATTGAATTTGTCAACGATTTTCAGATACATATTGTTCGTCGACCACATTTGTTCATCAACAAGATCCAGTGCAGCATGAGCAATAAACTGGTTTAGATGACGATGGTCGTCCTTCTTTGGGTCATTTGTTTTGTTTGGTGCAATAAACTCCATTTCAAAAATAGGATTGTCATGATGACCAACAATAACAAAATAATAATTTCCTGTCATATTGTTAATTGAGTCGTTTAAACTGTTTCAAATCATTCAACACAATGAAACAGTTATTAATGAGTTGTGAAAATGGGGAGTCGACCCGAAGTCCAAAATGGGCGAAACGTCAACCATTACTGAAAGGGAAATCACTCTGGTTCGAGTTTAAAGGGAAGTGACGTCACTTAGTTTCATCGATAGCGTCAAAATGGCTGAAAAAACAAGCACGATGTCGAACGGAGGATTCTGGAATGCTCCTAAGGCTAATTATAGTCCACAAACACAAAATTTGTTGAAAGGTTAGATTAATATTTAATGCTACTTTCCAGAGTTATAAATGGCAAATCCGCGAAGAGGGTATTTGAGAGATAAGGAAAGGTCTTGACTCGTCAACCCGTGTTCGGTCACGGCTCACGCCGTCACCGTCAATGCTCAATCAATGCCAATGGGCATGGCAAATATGGAGTTGCTTTGATGTAGCTTAATGTAGGTCGATCGAAGAGAACCTTCTGGATTTTTCAATGCATGATTCGCAAAATTGGTCGATTTTTTTCAATCGAAGTAAATAAAAATAAAATAAACTAAAGTTCAATTTGTTGACTGAAAAATCATGTATACTGTTTTGATTTGTAAATTTGTGTTGTTAATTTATCCATGGCTAGTCTCCAGGCCTGGAAATAACGGTTTTAGATGTGCCAGACAAAATGTCAGGCACTAATGAAATAGTTCCCGACATTTTCAACTTAGTGCCGGACATGTATAATTTGTAATATCAATAAAAAAAGACAAATCAGTGCCGGACAAAATGACAGGCACCAGAGGTTTTGTGCCTGACAAAGCCTGAATCTGTACCTGACATTGTCTGTGATAGGTGCCTTATTTCCAGGCTTGTAAGTCTCTTTATTAACTCAATATCAATTAATCATCCAAAATCTGTGAATGACTGAAAACACAAATAATTTGTCAATTTAAATCAACATTGATGTTGTGATCTTACCGGGAAAAGATAGGCTTCTGATATGCAATATTTAAGACAAAATAAACATTTTACCATCGGTACCCAAATCTTAACTCCAGCATGATGGGTTATATGTTTTAATTTTATATTTCAGAGATGATGAATGAATCAAAATTGACAAATTTTCAACAAAGACATCTAGAAAAGTCATTGAGAGGTAAGTATTGTATTGTATAAAACTTAATTCTAAGGAAATAATTAATGTGCATACCCTGAGACTGGTTTTAAAAGAGAGATATCTGTAGGCCTGTTGAGGTATTATCACTTTTAGACAGAAATTAATTATCCACTATATACTATATTAATTTAATTTATGCTATTGAAACTCACTATATGCTATTTAAGTGTAATTAATGTTAAATTATCTATATGATATATGGTATGCTTCTGAGCTTATTTGTTTACAATCTAATTTGAACATCCACTATCTGTCATGGACAATTAATTGATTAAAATTAATTTGATTAACCATCTTATCATAGTCTTTGTTTAAAACAACCATTTTCAATCATGTTAACTTGATAAATTTATTATTTACGTATTAATTGCACAGTAATTTTGAAACTGCCTAATATGTGTTATTGATTACAGGTGGTTCAAGCTTACCAGTACAGTGTGCACCAACTTCTAGTGCAAGACCAAAGATACAGAAAAAACCTCAAAAACAAAGTAAAATCATTAATCCTAAGTAAGTTTCAAATAAATCTTGTTTTACTTTTAAAGATGAAAATTCATCAGCAAAAATATTGTGCAAAAGAACGCCTTTTTGTTGCTCAAGCTCTTAGCACCCATTTACTATTACAGTAAGAGTAAGCAAAACAAAATGTTTTAAACTTCTGGAGGTATGACCCTTGAATATTATGTTTATTTCAGAACTTATAAAGGTGGTGTAAGAACTAAAGATACCATGGAAGCACAGGGAGCCTTTGAAAAGCCAGAATACATTCTGCCACATAAAGGTAAGAACTTGTATGTGTAAAGACAAATTTATCATACATTTATTGTTGTAACACACACAAAACCCAGAAGTTTGATGTGCCATATTTACATATGGTGTGGGAGTTTGGGATTCCATAACAATCACAACTCTCATCCCGTTCTGTTGAAAAGTTTACAGTGTAACGCTACCATGATGCATCTTGTTATCTAGTTCATCAATTTGCCTATAATAATACCTATTAAAGTATTAATTAAGTTGCCTTACATAATATTTACCTTGTTTTTTTGAGAAAACGGGCAAACCCTCATCAAAACTTTACCGGAAATAAACATACTAATAACTTGTTTTTCTAGTTACAAGATCAACAAGAGAAAAAGAAAAGTTAGCAAATATTATGGCATTTGGAGAAGATGTTGATAAATCAAAGAAAGGAAAAGTAAAGAGAGTAGAACTACCTGAAGAAGATGAAGTAGTAATTGACAGATTTGATGAATGTATGTACAGTTATTTTAACTAACGCCCTAGTTGATTACGCTGTATTTTGTCCCATGATTTTATTTACGTGTTTGCAGGAAAGGAAATAAAGATACATTATTTAAGATTTAGATAAATAGCTTACAGTTCTCGCTATAATAGTTTACAAATAGATAATAAAACAGGAATATATCGAAAATTTCAGTACAATTACTGTACACTGGGCAAAGTGATCAGTGTTTGAAGTTTTGAGAAGAATAACATAGTCTCGATTTTCATTGCTACCATTGTTACAATAATAAACAAAGTATTGATTATCCATTTTTAAATTAAATTATTAAATGGCAATCAAATTTTAATCCATTAAATATTTTGACCATCTGATGATCTAGAGAGTTTATTATTATGGGCTTGTCACATGAATATTAGCCTAAAGAATAATATTTATAACATTTGAGGCCAAAGAAAGACTTGCAATGAGTAGATTTAGCTCTTATAGAATGTGTCTTTAATAAAGGGACAGAAAGAAATAAGAATATTAATTTTGAACCAGTTTTTGATATAGGTTGTAGCTACAGGTATGCCCATAACAATCAGCTAATGGTATAATCTGTAGACATGACCAAGATGTGATTTACGAGCTAAGTAAAAGATCAAATTTGTATTGTGTGGCAGTGCCAGAATTTATTACTAAATCTTTATAAATTGTGTTAAACTACCAATATAATTATATACCTGTATTTGTTTTATTCCAGTAAAATGTGAAGTAGAAGATAGACAGAATTTTTTGAAAGATATGATTCAATTAGGAAGAGGAAAAGAATTTAAACATGTTATTGATACAGAAATATCTCAAGTGAGTAGTTTTAAGCATATCATTGTCAGAAAATACTGCTTAGTTTGACATGTTTAACAGGTGTACTAACCCAAACTGCGAGCAGTAGTTTCAGGCGGTTTCGAAAATGTGCTACAAATTTCAGTAAAAAAAAGATCACTGAGGTGCTAAAAGGTTAAAAATCAATCGGATCTATCCATGGTAAGACAAGCTTCTCCCAAGTTTCTTGCCTACTTAATATTGCTACACAAAAATGATTAATGAAATAATGATACAACCGGTTATACAAAATGGGTTCAGTTTAAGTTGACATTGTTTTCTGATTAATTAAAAATGAAACGTCTTTTGTTTTATTTTAGTTGGTGAGAGAAATGGAACTAATAGATAAAAAGAGGTCAAAGGAGCTAGAAGTTTTAATACAGAAAAAAGAGAGAGAGAATAACAAACTCAGTGACTCGTGACATGTCTCATCAACAATATAGCGATAATTAATCAAAAATCAAAACTACATACGCCACTCACACTCTTGAACACTGGTACTGTGTGACCTGGTGATGACTTTATAAACCATTCTAAAATAGGATGCTTAGTGAGTGGTACATATTAGTTCCTTTCAACAGAAACAAGACATTCTAAAACCGAATGCTTACATTAATTTTATTATTATCAGTTCCTTGATATTTAACACAAAACAAGTCATTTTAAATCCAAATGCTAATATTCATTACATTAATATCAGTTCCTTGATATTTAACACAAAAGAAGTCATTTAAATCTGAATGCTAACATTCATTACATTGATATTTAACATAAAACAAGTCATTTTAAATCTGAATGCTTACATTCATTACATTAATATCAGTTTCTTGATATTCAATATAAAACAAATTATTCTGAAATGTAATGCTAACAGGATGATGTCAATTTATTAATTTTCAATGCAAATTGAAAGTGTCGTCATCATACTCCAGTTCATGAAACATATTCTGATCCGCTTGACTGAAATGGTGTGGGCTTTAAATTGTATATCAGAGCTTTCAATTCAGGTAAGAATTTAGGCAGCTGGTTAATTTTTGCTATTCAGATTAGCAAGATAATATTTCCAAAATATATGAAAAAGTAGAATATATATTGTTTCACATTCCAAGTGTTTTTACACATAAAAAGTATTCTTTGTCTTCTAAAGTTTAATGTTTTTAAAAATCTAGATATACTACAATTTTTAGAATACATTTCACAGAAGTAAGGATTACATTTTATATTTATCCTCTTTGAAAATATTTTATGGTCATATTATTATTGTTTTATTAGTGAATTAGTAATGTATTTGCCGGAATGTCATATGATGATAGTATCAATTTTTGTTTATACCAAAAATCATACATTTTTCGGACAGTGTCTAATTTTTTAGATCTTAATGTTTAACATTTAATAAAGAAATCAAAATAAATAATCTTCTGGCTTTTATTCAATATGATTGAAAGAAGGCTCATTAAGAGAGTTTACTCAACACTTGTATGTGGCACTGGCTTGTTTATATCATCTGCAGAGTATGTCCAATGTTGAGAAATTTTCATTTTATTATATCTTTGTAACTACTGAATGGAGGAACATTAGAGGTTATTCCTTATAGAAATTCAACTTTTACAATGTTGTAGTTTGCCAGGCATTTAAAATCCCTTAAATGACAATTGGCAGCTTTGATAATGTATTAAGAGTTTATGGTCCCTCAAGTACCCTATTAGTTTTAATTACTGAATTGTATTGTATCATACAGTTTAATTGACCACTATACATCAAATGTATTTCATTTCCATTACATCATTATCTATTTGTCTTATTTTTTTATTAAGTTTTAATTTATAATAAATTCACTGATCATTGTATTTGTTTAAATTAAATACAGACATTTTATATCAAATTGATTTTTTTTTTTGTGTTTGTTCACATAGTCATTTAATAAAGATAGGATTATGGTTGGTAGTTTAGGAATGAGTTAATGAAATGGAATTTAACAGGCTAATGAAGACAGTGTGCCATCAGGAAAATTCTTGCCAGGACATCAATTGAATTATGGTTGTCAAGGGTTCTTTTACCTGCATGCCAAGGTGTACACACACACACAGGATCTTAGTCCCATCTAAACAATTAGATGTTCCTTGCCAGGCCCTCTGTCCTGCACCACTGACAAGCCTTGCTGGAAAATTCTGGGGGCCTTTCTCAACCAACACCGGACCTTCGAGTTAGTGAGTCAGTGCCTTACACACTGAGCCGCCACTGCTGTTGGGTCTTCAACTGCACTATGAATGTTTGGCTGTTTTATTGTCCTTTCATAAATATGGGGTTCAGTTCAGTCAGAATAAAGTTTGTCACAAAATGACCAAGTTGAGTGGAAACTATAAATCCCAGTGCATTTTGCTAGGAGCCTCAGGGGCAAAGTACAAGCAGTATGTTGAAATATAAACCAAATAAACGAGTAAATAATAAAAATAGTTTTATTTTTTTTTTCAATACATTTTTTAAAAATTAAAATAATTCAATTTTAATAATTAGAAATGTCACCAGGACATATATTTTATTTAGGAAATAGTCTCCCTTTCTGGAAAAATTTAGGTAGACCATGAAAGTAACACAAAATTCTTGGGAGATATTCTCCATTTAGAGAATGTTGGATTTATCATTTTGTTCACAGTACATTGACATAATGCCAGCAAATATATAAATAATTTGATCCAGATTACATAAATATGTGACAATATAAAATATTGTACTTATGTACAGGAAGCATCTTAATGAAAAAATGCATGGAGAAAAAAACCTAAACATTAATAAAACTGGCAAGACAACAATTGATGATTTTACACATCAAGTTAGAACATGGAGATCAACTGAACCAGTGAATTGTTCACTTTGTTCTCCCTTTCTCTACTCTAGCACTATACTCATTTTTCTTCAATAGAGCGATTAATTTGGCATGTCAAATAAATATTGTTCTCTGATAAGTTTTAGCTGAACCCCTTTGCTTTTCTTACTATATTGCATAAAACTAGAAAAGATTTGGGTGTAGTGAAGAGACTATTACCACTATGGAGAATAAATAGTATTAAAAAGATTTCAGGGAACAATTACCAATTGGAAATCTGTGGTTCTAAAACAATACCAATCAATTTTTCTAAACATTTAGAATGGTTTAAATATTTATAAAAATTTCACAATAGAACATAGATATGAATAGTTTTATAACATTATGATACATATATTGTTTAATAAGAATGGCACAATATAAGAGACAAATTATGCAATATGACTTAAAGCAGGATATATTTAATATGCATTATAACCACTCTGGAAAATTATTTTGCTTACCACTTATTAAATATAGACATATATTATATTTAACAAACATTATTTGATGTAATACTATTTGATATTATTCAACAATGGGATGATCTATTTCTTCACAAAAATATATTATTTAACATTATGAATAAGAAATATAAATTTAAAATATTGGAAAAAATATCAGTCTTCTTCTGGGAATGCTTCTGCAGATATTTAAATATTCACACAACTAATAATGTAATAGTTGATAAAGGAATGTATATAATTGTGGTTTAGACGTTTCTTGAGGCTACAGGGCATTGTCCAATTGCCTGTATATTCATTCTGCCTTATGCCAAATGATATCCCTGGAATGAACTAAATCATCTGAAATAATCAGACCTCTTTGATTTGGGTATATAAAATGGTCAACTTTATCATTGACTTGTTTTGAGGGATGACAAAGAAACAAGTGGACTTCTGCAAAAATTTAATCTAACACTAATCTAAATAACACATCAGGTTAACCCAATTGAATACATTATTTTAACCTGAATAAAATAGGTTTATCTCCTTTGAATATTATTCAATATTATTACTATAGTATAGTTTTCTATAATGTCCTTGTATATCAAATATAAGGGTCTCTCTATATGCCAAGTGTAGTCAGTGGATGTCAACATAAGCATCATATTGAAGCCCTAGTGTATTATTATGCAGACTGAGTTCAGCAAATCAATGTAGTAAGAAAATAACCAACCTGTATTTGTTCAATGTCAACCGTGTGAATATTCAGTAAATAGCATATAGTGAATACAAGCTGTACCATGTAAAACAATACTTAGGGAATGACAGGTGACAATCCTAGTACTGTAAAGTCTATTAAATGAGCAGACAGAGATTTATTTCAGTGAATAAAACTAGATAATTCATTATAGTCTGGTGCATTAATCTTAAGCTCTGTGGGACACTTTTTTTTTGAAGATTTACAAACTTTCTCCTAATCTCCTTCCATTTTTTCCGTAACGTATATTAAAGGAGCAGACCCAGATATATTTCAGTGAATAATTAATTATAGTCCTGTGCATTTATCGGAAGCTCTGCAAGACCTATTTGAAGAAATACAAATCTTCTGTTTCAAACTGATGAAGGCCAAAAGTTTCCAAATTCCATTCAGTGTAGGTATCTGGTCTATCAATTTCCTTGTGGGGTTATCGACCATCTCCAAATGACTCAATATTTAGATTTGAAACTGACAATATCTGAATAGGATATATCTTAACATAATTAAATTGATTTTTATTTACACTGTCCTCTCAATATGGAATTGCCTTTTTAAAGGATTAACCAACCCAAATTTATATCTGAATACCAACATCTTTGGGTAAAGATTAAGAATCTGGGATTGAACCTTTAAACCTTAAGTTAGCATTGTAAACCCAAATTTATGAAGGCCTACTTTGGGTTAAATGTATATGAACACACCCTTAACAAGAATTTCTTTCCTTACAAAGTAAATATACATAATTTAATATTGATCAATGTACAAAATTACAATATCAAGCACTGTTACAGTTTTACATAAAGTAACAATGCTTTCTTTCTCTTACATTTTATTGCACTATATATATATATTTATATTTATATGGCATGCATTATAGACAATATGTTTGTGGTAAATTGCCCTCTAAAGCTAACGATCTACCAGAAAAAAACTTGATAATCATGAACAAATGTTGTGGACAGCAGAAGCTAAAAATTCACTGAGCACAATCTCTGCTTGACTATTTGACTATCATACTTCCCATAGACTGTTTAAAAGGGTATCACAAGTATTCAAACATCAACCAAACAGTGAAAATTTAATCTAGCATAGTTTAACCGAACACATGTTACAGGAAATCTGGTTTATTGAAAGATAGTAAAGATCAGACTTTTTACTTGGCCGGCCAGCCGGTCATTTGATGTATTTTGTTTATTTCAGTTTAGAAAAATACACATTATTTTTTTTAGCATTATCCTATTTTAGATATATTGATTTGTTTTACACATAAAAACTATAAATTTGAAACTATTTATTGTGTTTTAATGTGAAATTCTTTGAAGATATAATTCCATGGCAAGAAATTGACGGACAGGTAGGTTCTCCAGCTAGTCAGTTTCACTGTCAGTCAGTCAGGACTTCTGAAACAAAAGCCCTTGTATAGACTACTGATAGCATCACTGTCAAACTCAAAAGTTGTGGCTGATTAATCCAGATTTAGTCTCTTTTAATCATGACACGTTTAGCTCTATAGGGCATTTTACACTAGATAATAAACAAGGTAATATAAAATCACATGTAATAAGTTAATGAGACAAATGTTATAGATTATTAATAGTCTTCAGGCTATCAGATTTACAGGAACATCTTGACAGAAGTTATAGGTGTTTTATTTCTTATTTTTCTTTTTCTTCTTGTTAATCTTTGTTTCAACGGGTTCTTCTCTACCATCACCTTTTGCATACCCTGTTAAAATAAATAATGTATACATGAATGAATTAAGACTAAAGGTATAAATTGGAAGGGGCCTCTACCTATCTTACATACATTTGTCCAAACTTAAAGGACAATATTGGGTCAGTCATTATAAAATATGTGATAGAGCGCATTAAATACATCCCAAATATAATTTTAACACAGAGATCATTGCTATAACAAGCACGTGAAGAAACGGGTAGTGACGTCAAACATGACAAACACGAGTTGTCCTTCTATATAACTGACTGAAGTAACGAGCAATAACAGACAAACGATCGAATTTCATTTCACTGATAATTCAGTTGAAGATGAAAAGTTGTTATATGAGACGAGGAGAGGATATCTGACAATTCAAAAAAAGAATTGGCTGTCAGTAGATAAAAGATAACGAACAAATTAGAAAAAGTCTGTGCATTACCATGTTTTTATTAAGAACAGAATGAATAAAAACTCGGGAATGCACAGATTTTTCTATTTTTCTTGTGTCTCTTATCTAGTGACAGCCAATTCTATTTTTGAATTGTGAGATACCCTCTCAGCGTCCCATATAATAACTTTTCAACTTCAATGGAATTATCAGTGAAATGAAATTCGATCATTTGTCTGCTATCGCTCGTTACTTCAGTCAGTTATATAGAAGGACAACTCGTGTTTGTCATGTTTGGCGTCACTTCTCGTTTCTTCACGCGCTTGTTACACGTCTCCCGTAGCAATGATCTCTATGTTAAAATTATATTTGAAATGTATTTAACCAGTTCTATCACATATGTAATAATGACTGACACCAATATTGTCCTTTAACAGGATATGCACAGGTCACAATTTCATGGAATACAATACTGTTTATTATATTGTTTTCTCTAGAATTCTCTAGACTTTATCAGGCATCATTTGTTTGATAAATACTAGATAATTTTAGTTGAAATGTCACTCAGTAATAAACAGTAATAGTATTCCAAAATATTGTGCCCATTATCACTCTAGTTCAATTAGTAAGTATTTTTTTGTCTCAAGCTGTGAAATAGTTGTCAAACAGTCACACATAGCTTCCCCTAAAACATAAACCGAGTATGTACATGTTTCTTTAGTACACAAAATATATGCAGTTTGTCTTCATAAACCATCCTAATATTCTTCCATAAAGGGGACAATTTGAAACTTAATAAAAAGAAAGTTTAATTATCATCAAATTAAGCAAATAATCTAAAGGGAAATTCCATGAAAACCCTCTACCAATTGCACAGAAGATCAAAAATAATAGGAACAAAGGTAAAATTAAAGCCCCAACATTCCATAATAAAAGTTAAACATAGAGAATAGGAATCAAGACAAAACATAACTGATAGTACTTTTATTTTTAAAAACAATCTGGTAAGAAAATCTAATTTAAGTTATGGTCATTTAAAGGGGCATAATGGGAGATAAGATAGAGTTGACAGTTCTTGCTATAATAGTTTAAAAAATAGATAACGTAAATAGGCTAACCTCGATCATCATCATTACTAACGTCGCACGTCGGTACAAGAAAAAAACAAAGTCTCAATTATCCATTTAAATGTTTAATTATCCTTCACAAAATGTATTTCAATCCGCTAAATATCGCAGGCAAGCGATGGCACTGAGAGCTGATTATGGTCTGGATAAGTTAATTAATGTCTAATTAAAAACTTAGATAACATTTCAGGCCTAAAGAAAGACCTGAAATAGGCAGATTTAGCTCTTGCACGATGTATGTTTACACTAGTTTCTATTCATTTTATTTATATATCAATATATTAAGGATAAGAAAATACAGAACATAGAAATTAAACAGAAAACCATTTGTCATTAATGAGATAGTTTTTTTTAAGAATATATTATTGTAAACCTGGTCCAACATGCTATTATAAAAAATATACCTCTAGAACAGGGTAGGACCAATTAAAGCCTTAAAACATTTTAAACACCCTAACCCTGGATCATTTGCGGTGATCTTTCTTTGTCTCCTTAATGCCAGCACTAATATAAAGGGATATTAATAAATATTATGTCTACAAGCTACCGCTAGGTCTAGTAATATAGCAACAGTAACTGTATAAATATCTACAAATCTATCACATGGTTTAGGAAAGTAGCAACATTAACTGTATAAATGTCTACAAGGAAAGTAAGTAACTATATAAATGTCTACAACCTATCACTTGGTTTAGGAAAGTAGTATTTCTATAATCTAGAAATTGATATTGTAATGACACGTAATACCACAAGGTATTGCTACAAGGAAATTGATATCAAGCAGTTCATCACCCATTTAAAATAAGTCTGGCATGACTACAGTTAAGTATTGCCATAATGTTATGTTACAAAACACCCAAATAATGAATGATTTAATATTTTAGTTTGAGTGATAGATAACTGCTGATGTAAATGTCCTTCTATAGATATCACTAATGAACTTACCTTTTGCTTGTAAAACTTTGGCAATATCTCGATCTTCTTCTTCATATCTATACAAATATAAACACAACTAATACATTTAATAAGCCATCTAGGAGAATGTTGTGTTCACTGCTTAACTGTTCACTGGTTAGACACACATATATGCCACTTAAAACTGTAAAAATTCCATATAATGTAATAAATTGTGCATGTACTAAGATAGATAATACTGCCAATTTCTAGTGAACTCAGAAAAACTGCCTGTTTGAAACCAGGTTGCGAGCTGTATTTTTAATCTGGTTTATTTGCTTCACCTTTTGTGATTAGAGACAGAACTAAACTAGCTTAACAATTGATGGCTATTTAAAACCACTTAATTGTTATTTCGAATTCCAACTGTCAAGAGTTCTTTTTGTCCCATCTGAACAACTAGACACTGTCCTTGTCAGGCCCTCTGTCCTGTACCACTGGCAAGGGGAAGCTGTGCTGGAAAATACTGAAAACATTCTCGGCCAACACCAGGAGTGAACCCAAGACCTCCTGGTTAACAAGCCAGCATCTTACTCACTCAGCCACCGTGGCTCCCTAAAAAATATAATGAATTCCCACCTTATTCTATCTTCATCCATACTGTCAATTATACCACTTCTTTGATTAATAACATCTATCTTTTTATTGATTAATTCATCTTCTTCATCACGTTCATCTTGTGTTTTATCGCAATCTATAAATATGTCAAAATTATCAAATGTCCAAAAACTTCAATCAAAGATGAAGTCTTGTCTTTTTATTTTTGTGAAACTTCCATTTGAGGCTAGAAGAAAGAATTGTTTTAGGAAGATTTAGCTCTTCCGTAATGCATCTGTAATAGTTCCCTGTAAAATATATTAAATAACTTACCTGGAATAGATATCAAAAAACGTAAACGACTGTCAATACTGTCTTGTTCATCTTCAAGTTCCTGTTCTTTATTTCTACAAAGACAAAATTAAATTACATTTCTTTATCTCCTTACTACCACAGCATATAAATGTATATTAAAACCAGAAATCAGTCCACACAAATTAGAATAATTTATTGTCACTTAGCATCACAATATGTTTTAACATTGACCAACCACTAGTTGAATTAAAATAAGATACCAAAGAAAGTTACACCTTTTAGAAATGTTAGATCAGAAAGTTAAAATCTGAAATGTATTGTACATGTACTTACATATAAATAAAGTCTGCTTCCTTTCTGACTAATTCATTCTTTTCATTTATAAGTTTAAACCATTCGTTCATTAGATCATCTTCCCCCTCGGAAGTAGTGGCTGAAAATAAAAAGATAAATATTTATCTAAATAGTGAAGAATTAACAATCAACATGAAATAATAGTACAAGCATTTACTGATGAGTGACTGCATATCTGGTTAGTAAATGATGAAAACATTTTGCTGAAGACAACATACCGGTAACTTGTTTTAATACTTAAAATGGATATCTTTTAATAAAATTTTTGTCACTAGATTTTTCTATACAATTGAGATCTACCTCCTAAAAAAAGGAGGAGGAAAAAATGGGAGTTAAAAAAATGGGTAATAAATAATATAAGAAATGGATAAGGTTTTCAAAAAGTAAAAAAAAAATAAAAAAATAAAAAAAATAAATGAATTTGGGGATAAATTCTTAAAAAAAATAATCCCATTTCAGTTTTGAATTACTTATAAAATTTCATAAAAGAAATATTTGTAAGTCAAGAATAAATAAATTATGAACATTAACCCTATTAAAGCTGGATTTCTTTGACGATCATTTTAAATTTTGAGAACATAGAAACTTAGTATCAGAAATAAAAAGATATAGTAAGTATATGTATTGCGCATGTGCTGGAGAAATGTGAAAGTATGAAAATTGGGAACATAAATATATTTCTCTTTTTCTGGAACAAACATTAAATGTCAATGCCACTAAGAATTTTGCCCGAAGAGCGGGGTTTCCAAATCTTCTCCTCAGGCTATGATACATGTATCTACACCCAAATATAAGGATAGGCACTGTTTCCAAATGACAAGACACACATTCCTTGTTGGTACACTCTCTGTCAGTAAAAAAAACCCCAAATGTCTTCACATCAGGCCAGGCTGTTTCGAATGTACACAACAGTTAACTAATTACAGAACAGAAACAAAAAAATTATAAAATTTCTCAAAGAAACCCAGCTTTGAACCCCTATCAATTACAGACAATGCTTTGGAATCATCTCATACTATATTACATATGGTTATCATAAAATACTAATTCATGCATACATGTACATCAGGCAAATATATCCTTATATGGTTAACTTATTCACATGGCAACTCATCTATAAATATAGTTTCATGGTTATAATATTCAACACATTTTCTGTATTTTCAGCATATTTTTTGTTTTGAACTAAAAGCATTTTCGTGGTAACATTAGTCAAAATATTTTCTGTATTTTTGGCATCTATTTCTTGTTTTACAAATTTTTTATGGACAGATACCATTCTGAATTCAGTATCTTACTTGGTTGATCAAATAGTGAATTCAATTTTACAAGATTAAATTTTTCTACAAGAAATATGGTACTAAATTGAGAAAGAGGTCTATGATTTCCAATCTGGAATCTATGTGTTTTGTTAATAAAATACTGTGACCAAAAATCATGTTGCAGTATATTGTGTAAAGTGTTTCAACATACTGCGAAATCCATTTTTCATAAATATTGAAATGACAAATTTCGTATTGCAATACATATTGTAGAAGAAGCACCTTGCAATAGATCTTTTTTTTTTTTTTTCGACAGATCTATTTCTAATGAAATATAATTTGTAGATGAGTTAACTAATTAACTTTGCATTCAATATATCACATTCATGTAGAATATCTTAATAATATCCATCCCTTAACAACAGTATCATAACCATTAATCTTCATCTATACTACAGATATATTGTCAGGTTATTTTTAAAATATGAACAAGATAAAAAATCATATTATTTAATATTAAAACCATCCTCACAATATAATATTTTAATATTGAAATAAGAAAAATAAGTTGGGGGGGAGGGACGGGGGGACAAGAAGTGGGGTTTCAAAAAAAATTCTAATGGTATGCTAATCATAAGTGAGTTATTGTTACAGAAAGAAATGAAATGAAATGGGGTTTAACGTCCTACTGTTCTGCTCCTAAACTGGGCTAATGAAGACGGGCATACGCCATACAGTGTGCTATGAGGGAAATTTTGCCTGGGCAGCGGCGCTACTGCTTACTCTTATATCGAATTCCAACTGCCAAGGGATCTTTTACGTGCACTCCAATGTGTTCACGGGACCTCGGTTTTTCGTCCTATCCGAACGACTAGACAGCTGTCCTTGTCAGGCCATGTTACAGAAAGAAAGTCCCACCATTTTAAAGATATCTTAACGGTATTGGTATTTATTTTAGGCAATATTTACTACATCTATATGCTGATCAGCATTAATCTATTTACCGGTTTAATCTTGAACCCAAAAATCATGGAACAAAGATATGACATCTTTATGCTATGATTTTCTGCATTATAAATCTAGATTTACCGATGTAATCTTAGCCAAATAAATCATGGAACAAATATTCATTTGGGCTTCAACCCAATACAATAAATATATGATACAGTAGTCCATAATTTATCAGAACAGATTTTGGTGCACAGCTTATAACATTTTTGAAACAATTTTGTGAAAGAGACTAGCAAATACAGTGCAAACGAGTAAAGCAGACTGGAGGTTGACATTGAACATACCATTAGAATACAAAATCTGCCACGGAGGCATGACAACAGCTTGAATTTTACAAAATAAAGGACGTGGGAAAGGGGAATGAAATGAAATGAGTTTTAATTTTTTACTTTTCTGCACCAAAGATGGACATATGCAATACAGTAGGCTACGAGGGAAATTGTATCTGGAAGGCGTCGCTATGGTCTACTCTTATTTCATATTCCAAGGAATTATTTATGTGCACTCCACAGATTATCATGTCTGAAAGTTTCTTCTTCGATTATCAAGCCATGGTTAAGAATAATAACAATGACATAAATAAAGATTTTTTTTCCTTATCTTGTTCCTTGTTTGTCTGCCTGATTATTTAGTAGCTTGTTTTTAAATTCAGAATTTGCAAAGTTTCAAAATTGTGCATAATTGTATTGATTGTTTTTTTCTAAAAAAAATAAATATAGTTTTACTTCATATAGCTGCACGGTATGTATGAGCCTTTCACACCAAATTAATTACTGGGATGACTCCACCAAGAATCAATCAGGTAAAAACTATCTTTCTGACTTATGGAATGGAAATGGGTTTAAGAACTTGTCAACACAATACCTCGGTTATCATGGATATTCTTGTCTATGTTCATATGAGCAATGTCTGAGAGGTAAAATTTCAGTTTTTTGTCCCATAATGCCTAGACACACTTTCCAGGTCAGCCCCGAAGGCACTACACCTGATAAGTGGGGAGGTGACTTAAAAAAAATATCCTGAAGTTGCTTCTTAGCCCAATTGGAGCATTTTCTTTGTAGTTAAGAGTCCAGTGTCCTAGTTGGTCTACCAGGGTCCCAAACTTATGGAATTATCCGCGTAAGTTGTTGTTTGAGAAGGAGCCGAGCTGTAGTCACATAGCCTATCAATGTAATAGGTCTATGACATAACTTTTTAAAGCTTTCAATTTGATCAACATGTAAAACACCACACCAACATCACCAAAGACAAAATTAAGCTATGACATTCAGGACAAATAAAACATAAAATATGTTAGTACACAAAATATATACACACCACAATACTACTATTCACTCAGTTCTACAATAAAATCAAATACTTTCATTTAACTAAAATAGATTCCATACGGCTCAAACTAAATTTGTTATGTTGTTATGGATTTGCTTGGTAAAATAACTGACCTAATGCTGGGCGATATGATAGAGAGAAATGAGGTTTATAGGTATCAAATTTTTCTTAGGTTTCAAGGATCATCTTATTAAGTATCAAGGATCGTGTTTTAAGAATCAAGGATCATTATTTAAGTATCAAGGATCAATCTGCAAGGAAAACACAATGTACATGTACGTATGTATACTGAACTCGTCAGACTTTACAGAACTGTTATATATAAAGATTATCAGGATATAGATTTTAGATGAATGCCTTTATTTATTGAATTGAGTGTTGAACATGGAATGCAAATACAGTATTTCTTTCTTGGTTTTCTCATCAAAAAAGGTTAAAATAATGTTTTATTTTTTCGGTATTGAAAACAAAGATCAATATAGCTAACACTATTATTTATATGAAGTTATTTGTTGAAAATCCTAAATATCGCCCAGCCCTAAGAAGACCTTAATGTCTGTTGTAAAACCTGCTGCCATTGCTTGTAAAATAAATTCAAAAATTTCAAAACTAAAAAGAAAGATTTTAAATTGAGTTACATGATGTAATGAAATAAAGGTGTTTAATATGAGATATTAGGGATAATGATATTATAATACAAATGTTTCATGGACAATTTTAAATTTAAGATGATTATGAATGATGACTTTATTATTAGTGGGTATGGTGCATGAAAGCATTTATTTTCAATGTGTATGATACATGAATGATGATGAATCTATTTTCAATGTGTATGGTACATGAATGATATTCTTTAAGTGGCATTTAGCGATCAGGGAACAAATTAACAGAACACAGTTTTTATGGGATACAATCACTAGTTTACTAAATTGTCATTTGTGCTTGATAACGATAAGAGGATACTTGTCGAAACGTCGTGCTTTTAGAATAAACTAGTGATTGTATCCCATAAAAACTGTGTTCTGTTAATTTGTTCCCTGATCGCTAAATGCCACTTAAAGAATATGTTCAACGTCAATATGGGGATGTGGCAACTAAGTGTGTTCGCCAGATTAGTAAACTTGAAGATAAATATATAAGAGTGTGTAATAACTTAACCTTTCTCATGAGATGTAGAGACAGTGAAATTGTTTCTATTACTGTTATTCTTAATCCATGCAGATGGTTTCTTATTAATTTCATATATATTGTCCACAAGTTTACTAAATTGTCATTTGTGCTTGATAACGATAAGAGGATACTTGTCGAAACGTCAGGCTTTTAGAATAAACTAGTGATTGTATCCCATAAAAACTGTGTTCTGTACATGAATGATGGTTGTCTTATTAATGTGTATGGCACATGAATGATGATTGTCTTATTAATGTGTATGGTACATGTATGATGATTGTATTTTTAATGTGTATGGTACATGAATGATGATTGTAATATTAATGTGTATGATACATGAATGATGATTGTGTATACATGTGAATGCTGATTGTAATATTAATGTGTAAAGTACATGAATGGTGACTGTATATTTAATGTGTATGGTATGAATGATAAAAGAATGTAATGCATACATTTTTTTTCGATTCAATTTCCACATAAAACTGTATTATGGATGTAAATAAGACATGACAAATTACCGAAACCTGACTTTATTCTTTTTTTACATGATACTAATTTTTGAATGCAAAATGTCGATAAGTTCAGTGAATATTGAGTTTGTATATAAATCGATATGCTCACTGAATGTTAAGCCTATCTGTAAAATCGATATGTTCACTGAATGTTGACGTTATATGTAAAATCAATAAATTCACTGACTGTTGAAGTATTATGTAAAATTGATATGGTCACAGAATGTTGACGTTATATGCAAATATCGATAAGTTCACTGAATGTTGAGGTTATATGTAAAATATTGATATTCTCACTAAGCAAAGTATTGATAAGTTCACTGAATGTATGAAAGATATCGATAATTCTTGCATGTTAATGGGATGCTAATATTGATATGTCGGAGACTCTATATAAAAACACTTAAAAATAATAAAAAAAGAAAGATTACAACACCAACATGCATGATGATAAAATGACAAGAAGATTACACACTAGTAGATGAGGTTATAGAAAGTTACCCGAGATAAATGAAATTTTGTGATCTCCTTCTGTCATCTGAAATGGTTAGAGAGCAAACAAGCAAGGTTATAGAATGATATATGAATTTGTTACATGATTATCTCACTAATAAACACAACATATTAATTATTATTATTATTATAGTATAAACAAGTCAATGGAATAATGGTAATAAGATTCTAAATTTTCAGTATCTCAAAGATTTTAAGCCTGAGGTCACACCAATTTAAATATTTGTTCTTCGGAAACACCTATCAAAATTTTGCCTGCTATATTTTTTTTGTGAAAAAAACTAATTTAAAAAAAAAAAAGTACTTTGTTGCTCTTCTCAAAATGTATTATTTCTTATTTTGTGAAGTTCTGAAATTTTAAACAAAACATATGACGTATTTATTTATTGAGACTACGCAGAACTAGAATGCGGAATGGTAGGACGTTTAACCCCATTTCATTTCCTTTCATTTCACAAAGAACTAGAAATTAAATTTGTTTGGCCTTTGAAGTCTGGACTCCATTCCTAAATGCTGATTAGAGCTCAAGTAATACTCTTTTAGTTTGACCAGGTCAGCATCATGGAAAACTTGTATGTCTAAACTTAATGATACAAGCTAGTAATACATATTATTATTACAATTATCTGTTAATATTTCGGTTAAGTAATTTCAATATTCTAGTTAAATTTAAACATTTGATATGAATGACTTGTTTATACTTTGGTTGGATATACTACAAACATATGTAGGTAATTAAATTACATACGAATCTATAGATGATAACTATATATATACTAAATCTACTGTTAACGCCAAGCAAATGATTTGATTTTATTTTAAACAGATATGAATAGTTTCTCCCATATCAAATATTAATAATTAATCCATTAAAATCTTTTTAAAATGCTTTTGAAATAAACATTTAAACATACATAGCAACATTACAACAGGTATGAGAACATCAAGACAACTACAAAATACAGTTTACAAATGTTGTGACATTGAAGTGATGATCTGTTTTCTAGCAGAAAAAAAACAACTACTACAGTTGAAAATTGACAATGACAAATTAATAATACTGAAAAACTGAAGTTATCTAGGTACTAATAAGTACATATAAAGCCATGATAGAGAGAAGATATACACTTTTTTTTGTAACAAATACCGGTACACGATTTTCGTTTTGCTCTCTTTTTAGAAATTTCAACTCGGTTCGTAATTGTTTAGCCTTAGCTTGTTATAAATGATCCTACTGGCCAATGGATATTCTTAGAATCTCACTTGATTGTTGGAATACTTTGAAGACAACCATATTGTTTATGGTGATGTCTTTTTTCAGGTCAGTTGGGAAGATAAGAATATTAATTCATCAAGATCCCTGTTGTGTACAATGCGGCGTGTCAGAATTTCGATCTCAACTGGCCAAAATAGACTCCCATATTGTTTATAAGATCTAGAATATCTGTACTATAAAGTAATCCAGCTGCGAAGTATATTAAACATCAACAATAAGATAATTGTCATACCATTAAAATTTTCTTAAAACTATGTTTTTTTGTTTTTTTATAATTTTCTTATCTTTGTTTATTTTATATGTGTGTGAGCCTTTTTTAAAATGTTTGTATCATAATCCTACTTAATTGTTAATTCTGACGTAAAGAAGTAAAAATGTTTGCATTCTAAAACTAAACAATAATAATAATAATTGTCATATCAATATTTTCTTATAAACAAATTATTATTTTTAGTATCATACTTAGTTGTATGTGTGTAAGCCTTGAGTAAAACTTGAAAGATGTTACAAAGATATAGCAAAGTGCGTTAAATAAATCACATGCATTAAATTAATCTTAAATTGGTGAAGATGCAAATATGTGTATGATGCGAGTGAGCATTCCGTAAAGTGTGTTTGGTTTTAGCAGTCAACATGATTTAGATAATGACAAAAAAAATAGTAACATCATAATTTTGTTTCGAAACCTTACCACTTCTTATCGTATCCTCCAGTTGCCTTCCCCTGAGTTCCAGTTCTGTCAATTTATTGTCAATGTTGATTAAATTATCTCGTATCTCATTATGACTATAACGTCTTGGTGATATCTGTAGAGAAAATAATAGATATATATATGCAATGCTACAACAAAACTGTGATGTAATAATTCACTTAAAGTTACAATTTCATATTTTCTAAGAAAGTCAAAACATAATTATTTCTATGTCTTTTGCTCAATAGGTTGTCAACTCACTATTATACGATCATAGGTGTCATTCTCACACTTAAAAACTCATTTACACCGGAAATAATAACACAATTACCCCCCTTGTTTTATATTCTCCACCATGGAGTAGTTATCTTCAAACATTGGAATTTGAAGATGAAAATGATATTTTTGCCAATTTCTCAACTGGCAATAGTGAATTATAGGATTAATAGGACTGTTTATAGATACCATCTATTTTAAGACTTTATTTTAATAAATTTTAAAAATATAACTTAAAAATATGAAATTGCAACTTTAAAAGCTAACTTTTGACCTAGTCATCAATAAAATGGGGTTAAATGTTCTACAAAAAGAAAATTTATTTGAAGAACTTACATCTACTTTAAGAGGTGGTGGTCTTGGTGGAGTTAGTTTCTTATCTGTGTGGTTATTTTTATTCCTGTTGTTCAATTCGGTACTGTTATTGGAGTCAAAGCTATTATCAAAATTAAATTTAACAACAGGAGTGATTTTACGTAATGGAGGTGCTGATGGATTAACTGGTTGTGAGATATCTGGATAAACTTTATATTTGTTGTCATGGTTCTTCTTGTCAACCTCCATTTGATTCACAGATCGGAATCCATTATTGATAAATGTTTCGGGACTTTTGGTTTTTGGTCTTTCTGGCACCTCTCTGTTATCAACTGGAGAAACTGGCTTATCAGGTAATTTGCTACCCATATAAGGAGATCTGGGTGTTTCTGGAAGGCGTCTGCTTTCTGTGACATTCGTTGTAACTTTATCTCTTTTGCTGACATCATTTATATTTGCCTTACTGTCATCTGAGGATTTTACGTGCCTAGTTTTTTCAAATTCAGGGTCCACAAAATCTTTATTTTTCGCCATTCTTTTAGCTGCTTCCCGTTGCCATGTTAATTTTCCATCATCATTACTAGAATTATCCAGTACTGACTTTGGTCTTGCTTTATCAGTTCTCAAGGCCTCCAAATTTCGTTTCCAAGATGGCACTTCATCATCAAGTTGATCCAGTATAGAAACAGACTTGGGTCTGTCAGTTTTGTTTTTGTCCAACTGAGTTTTCCAAGATGGAGTTTCTGGTTTGTATTTACTATTATTATTGGACGTATCTAATATGCCGGATACAGACTTTGGTCTTTCTTGATTTGATTTGTTCAGTAAGTTTAGGACAGGAGCTGATGGGTTGGTTCTGTCTTTACCTCCCCGGCGCAAAACTACTTCAGGTTCGTTTTCAGGAGATTTTGCTAGTCTATTATCTCTGGGGCTGTTTTCGGTTGGACTCTTCTGGCGGACACCTGCTAAACTTTTCAATAAACCACCAAGCACATTTGAACCATTAGAAGTTGGGGACGGACTGACTAGAACTGCCACAGCTTCAGGAGATGTCTGAGGATTCATGGCTTTATGGACAGCTTCATCAATACCCATTGCATCTTCCTTTTTTTCCTTGATAGTTAGTCTTGGAGGTTTTGGTGGCCCCTCTGATCGTCCTAAAACATGAGTGTCCTGTGACACAATATTTAACGTGCTTCTAGGGGGTAAAGGTGGAACTGTTTCTTCCTTCCTTTTCTCAAGGTAAGATTTTCTAGGCAATGGAGGGACATCTTCTGATACTTTAGCTTTTGATGTTGTGACTTTACTCTGTGGTTGTGTAAACTTTGATTTAGATGTGACAGCAGAAGAAGTGGTTGTAGTTGATGGTGGTGGGGATACAGGTAATGGGGGAGGGGCTTCTTGTGGTCTTGCGGTTTTATTAGTATTTGTTCCATTGATTGGTTGTCTCTTGGTCACCACTGGAGACAAAGGCCTGCCAGGAGACTTGGATCTAGTAGGAGATTTAGATCGACCTGGAGATTTAGATCGAACTGGAGATTTAGCTCGAACTGGAGATTTGGGTCTTGTTGGAGTTTTAGACCTTTCGTCTTTAACCTTTTCTTCTATTTTTGTAATATTATGAACAGACCTTGGTGCTGCAGATGGTCTCAAATTAACTGAAGTTTTCACATTACTTGTTTCAGAAGTATCCATGTCTTCTTCATGACGATTAGTTTTTAATATACCCCTGGGTTTTGGTACAGGTGACAGAGCAGTTTTTGCTGGTTCAGTTTTTTGTTTAGAACTGATATAGGAAGAGTCTTTATTATATCTATTACTTGTATCATTGTCTTTAGGTTTAGTAACATCAGGTTTAGTTTCATATTTTTTAGGATAAATTGAACTCTTTTCACTGTCCATTTCACTTTTAGCACTAATTTTCGAAAGTTCTGTGTTAATTCCAGTACCAGACTGATATTTGTCTTTACTTTTGAATTCATATGGTTTATTAATTGTAATGTCATTGTCTTTTTTTAATCTACTCACACCCATGTCTTTTTCATGTTTTTCTAAATTCTTTTTGTACGAATTTAGCACGCTGCTAGAGAAATTCTGATCAGACAGTATATTTGAAGTGCTACTTGTTGACAAACTAGTGTCTTGAGTCGATTTACTTAACACTGACTTAGTACCAATATCTCTACTAATGTCCAAATATTTGCGTTGATCGGACGGCTTATTGGAAGCTTTACTTGTAGACACACTAGTGTCTTGAGTTGATTTACTTAAAACTGATTTACTACCAATATCTTTACTAATGTCCAAATATTTGCGCTGATCAGATAGTTTATTTGAAGCACTATTTGAAGACACGCTAGTATCCTGGGTCGATTTACTTAACACAGATTTAGTACCGATATCTTTACTATTGTCCAAATATTTGCGCTGATCAGATAGTTTATTGGAAGCACTATTTGAAGACACACTAGTGTCTTGAGTCGATTTATTTAACACTGACTTAGTACCAATATCTTTACTGGCGTCCAAATATTTACGTTGTGAGAATGGAGATTTTGCACCATTTGCTTCTCGTCTATCAACTTCCCATGGTTTTTGTGTCACTGATTTTTCAGTCTTTTCTGTTATGTATGAATTATGCATTTGTTTTTTGGTAATTACAGGAGACGATGGATCCACTTCCATCTTTTCGAAATTCTTTGACGAATTTGAAACTGACTTATTCTCTTTCTCTTTATCACCTGATTCGTGATATTTTTTCAGGAAATCTCGGAGACCACTATTAGGTGTTTCTATTTTGGGTTCTCGAGATCTCTCTTCCAGTAACCTCGTCATTTCTCGTGCTTTTGATTCCACCACCTGCGAGGATTTCTTTTCGGGTTCATTTTTTGATTTTGTTAATTGCACACTACCACCAGATGACCATTTCGATTTATTGTCTAATATATTAGAGTTTGTACTTTTATTAATGTCCTGACTAGAATTGGAAACAACTTTTAATGAAGTTTTATCTTCGTATTTCGATTTAGGAGTAGAGGTTAGGATAGGCTTTGGCTTATCGCCTGACAAGGAGTTATCCAGACCAGCTTCTCGAGCTAAGAAATCCATAGCTAGATTATGATATTTATTTGGTGTTTTTGAAACAGAAGTATTGTTGCCAACAGCTGACACACCATTAGTTTCAGGAAAAAGTGACTTCTTTCCTCCCAATTTGGAATCACCATTTGTCACATGATCCAATTTTCTGACTTTTGAAGAAGGGTCATCCTTGTTAGCTGAATTGTAGACTTTATTAGTAGGTGACATAACACTATGTCTAAAACACAATCTGTGGTAGAGTTTGTTATTGTCCACGTGTCTCTCTAATAAATACACTTTACCATCACAAATTGTACACTTATCTCCTAAAGTTCCTGTCTTGGATTTCTAGAATAAAAAAGAATCAAGAATTAAAAACAAAGAAATCATTTTACCCATCTAATCATGAAATAAAAAGGTTGCCAGCAATGAAACATACACCCACAACAGCAAATGTCAATTATTATGTAAATATAAATAAGCAAAATCCTTATACTGTGTAACAATATTGGCAAATTGAAAAGACTCCAAGACATAATCAAGGGCAATAACACTTCTAGTAATTATCTCCTTAGGAGATATCGCTTTACATGAATTTGATTGGTCAGTTGAAAAGGAACTACTTTTTTTAATTTTCAAAGAATAGTTCATTTCTTATTTAAAGTAACTTTTTTTTTAATTAAAAATGAACTATTGTTATTCAATTGACCTTGATGGAAACACTGGGTCAATATAAAGGACTTTGCAATGGTTGGATTGCTGTCAAAAAATGATGTATCACTACGCCATAATGTTCAGTAAAAGTTAAATCTACAGCAAAGAATGATATTTATCTATTTGAGCATGTAAGAAGGGATTGGGTGATAAATAAAATCTCCTACTCGTCTTTTTTGTTACTTTATCAACTTGTGTTGATATTTTTTATATCAAAAAAGACTGGTAGGAGATTCTCTATATATATCAATCTAACAGTGATAATTATTATTACATGTATCAATTTAACAATGATAATTATCAATCTAACTCTGTATTAACTCTAAACCATGGATGCCTCCATACCCTAGTGACAAGGTCAAGGTTTTTAATAATGTTGAAAATAACTTACATTGGACCCGATACCATTTTGTTCCTTAGAAGTTGTCATTCTTTTATTAGGAGCTGATGCATCATCTGACGTCAATCGTTTCAAAGAGTTACTGCCCTTTGCACCAGCTTTATTAACACCAGGACCACCCACTGTGATGATAAAATATAAATGAAATGAAATAAAATAGGGTTTAACAATAACATCCCACTTTTCTGCACCAACTGGCCATGTAGTGTGCTATAGGAGAATTTTTGCCCGGACAATGATGCTACAGCCTACTCTTATTTCAAATTCCTTTTGACTGGCACTGAAATATTATCTATAATATTTGCCCAAATTTGAAAATGAAAATTGCCATAATATTTATGTTTCAACCAAGATCAGTCAAAAAATAGTATAGAGAACACCATGACATATTTTTAATGCTGTTATTCAGAAACTGTCTGCATGTGGAAGGAAGGTAAGACACAAATAACTATATAGTAAAATATTCAGTTTTATTGAGTGTGCCTTATGTATTTAGTTAAAAGGGAATAAGCTGATTTTCACAAGATATCACTTACACTCTGGTTTATTACAGAAATAATTATAATATTGAGATACGTAGGTTATTATGCTTAATTTATCTGGTTTCTTCATTCTAACCATATCAGGTGCATCTAGAAATGCTGGAATATCTAAGTCCTTTTCTGCAACTTCAAATGCCTGCAAATACAAATCAGTGATAATTTGTTTCCATTTAAACGCAAACATTATTAAAACCAAGAATACACTAATGTGTGTAGAAAGTTTCATAAAGATATCTTGAATGACTTGTGACATGTGCTCTAGAAACAAAAAAGGTGCAGAAGAATAGAGCCTATTTCAATATCCATCCTTAATTCGTTCAGTATAACAATTTCAGGTTTAAAACATTTTAATTTTTCGGCAGAATATTAGTTTTTACATACCAACTGATTATTTTCTAATATATTTTCTTTAGATAGGGAATCAAAGTCACTGAAAAGACAAAATAAATATTATTAATAAATTCAGAAAAATAGAATACACAAAACTTTTTAAAAGTTATGAATGATAATTTAATAATTATAGGTCATATTTGTGATTATTAATTATTTTTGACAGGTCAGCTGTCATAGTATATTGATGATGTGTCAGTATATGATATATGGTATAAATGTATACTAGCACAGTATCAGTTGGCATATTAAAGATACATTATGGGAGATTTGATAAAGAGTTGGCAGTTCTCACTATAATAGTTAAAAACTAGATAATGTAAAGGGAATTTGCTGAAAATTTCAGTCAAATTGATCCAATATGAACCGAGAACTAAGCGAATGAAATTTCTGCCTAGCCTCGGTCATCATTACTAAAGTCAGTACGATAAACAGCATATTCTCGATCATCCATTTAATTGTTAAATTCATATTTACAGAGCCACATTTCATTTGTCACAACTGATTGACAAATGCACACTATTATTCTAAAAGTCAAGATGGGCTTATCTTAAAATATATACTTTACACTTGACAGTATGAGCATACGTATGTATTTTAAAGATTTGTTAATATATTTCTTAAAGATACATTTCCATGAAAGTTTTTATTGGGTAGCTATTTCTAATGTTACTAATATGCAATAAATAGAACATTATAATATACAGTTTTATTCTATTAAGTCACTGGTCTAATGTTCCGAGTAAACATAAATCCAAATTGAAATGAAATGGAGTTAAGCATCATACTTTTCTACACCAAACAAGCTAATAAAGATGGGCATATGCCATGCAGCATGTTCCGAGCGAAATTTTGCCTGGACTGTGTCACTACAGACTGGCCTTACTTTGAATTCCTACTGTCAAGAGTTCTTTTAAGTGAACAGCAACCTGTACACAGGACCTTGTTTTTTTTCGACCTTTCCGAATGACTAAACAATGTTCTTTGCTAGGTCTTCCTTCCTGCACCAATAACAAAAGGCAGCCACGCTGAAAAAACCCCAGTTAACTTTCTCATCTCTGGTTAGCGAGCCAGCACCAAAAATTAGTTATTCTTGGGTAGGGTCCTGTGCTCTTGTCTCTGTCATATTTTCCAGCCTGACTGGCAGTGAAACTGACCAGCTGGAGAACTTATCAGTCTATTTAAATGTAATAAAATGAAGAATTTTAAAACATTTAACCTTTAAAACTATCAATACAGTCAAATTTATAGCTTGTATGTGTAAAATTGATCACTTAAATATATTAAAAACATTGGGGTAATGCTAAAAATTGTCTTTCTTTGGAGAAATATAATGCTAATCTGCTCAAGGTAAACTTAAGCTGGCAAAACTGAAAGCTCTTGTAAACTATTCCCCATTTTCAATTTAACAACAATGTAAATCAGGACTTATATATCAGATAAACAATGAGATCAAAAGTTGACCATATTTAATAGTATACAGTGTAAGTAAAATGGTATGTAAAGTCAAGGTTATCTGTTTACATACAAATTATCTATGATAAGTATCTTAAAGCTTAGTAAAGTTTACATCCTAAATCTTCTACTATATCTATATGTTTATCCCTATCTCTATTTACATTAGTCACTACACTCCCACACTTTAAGGTCATAAACTCCCCAAATTAAACCCCTTATTTATTGTAAACAATAGGTAGATTTGGTTGAGTTATTAGTATCACGAGTATATGACATACTGCTACACTACTCATATCATTGTTCCCATTCATTCATTGTAAAAGAAATGACTAATATGCTGTAGTTATATTTGATTGTTTCCAGATGTATATGATTATAGGTACGCAGTAGTCCATACATATCACACTTTTCACAAGTCATGATTTCAGTGTTTCACAAATATTGCGCAACATGCTTTACAGAAATGACTCTTTTTTGATCGTTATTTGTATTTTTAAGACAATATCTCAAATTGATTATTTAACATTTTATTAAGAAAAGAAAACAAAACTATCAACAACCTTTAGACAACCATCCAGCTTAGGAAAAATAGGATTAAAAAAATACAATCAAAAGATTTTACACAACATTTATGGTTGGTGCTGGCTTGTTTATATTTCAAATGCAGAATTTTAATTCATCATATTATCTTTGTAAATCTTATGTATGCCATTATAGATACAGTCATACATATCACACGTTCATGATATCTGTTTCATGATTACAAGATATGGAAATAAAATTGCGAAATATGCTATATATAAAATAAAGAGAACTCTTCTGCTATGTCTGAATTTTGAATAACCATTTACAAAATTAAAACATAATCCAGCTTTATGTAATCCTTATTGAAATACTTCAAAAGCATTTTGAAATAAATTAATTTATGTCTAAGAGGTTATGACGTATATGAACATCATTTGAGAAATGTTCACACGGAACTGATATTGTTTTTGCTTTGGGTTATTTTAGGAAAATCTGAACTTCATGAGTAACAACAGGCATAAAATAACCAAGTCAAGTTATATATTGCAGGCAATTATTATATTCGTGGTTTATGATCTTACATGTATATTTCAAAACTTATCTTATGTAAATGTTAACAATTGTATGAAAATTTCATTTATCATTTTCACAGCTTAATCCATGCTAAAATGTACTCAAATTGACTACTTAACATTTAATTCAGAAAACAAACCAAAAATACAATGTTAGATTATCTCCCATCTTGTATTAAATGATGATCAGTGGCTTTAAAAAAAAAACCAAAAAAACAAATCTATTTTAGTTTGGGAAATTAAACTTTTTACACAGAAAGTATTTTATAATGTACATGTATAAATAGACTAAACTGGATCTAAAAAAAACCCAAAACTTATTTAAATTCTAGAAATGCATAACAGTATGTATAAAAACATTCAAGAGGATTAATGTCATTCCATGATGACATTTATAGACAATAACTATTTAAGATATTTCTTCTCTTACTATTATAAATAGGTTAAAATCACCCAACCAATACTTCCCAATGACCACTTGAGATTTTCTTTGAATAACATGTCTAAATGTAATTAAAGACGTGGGATTAAATAAGGACCCAGGTGACCTCTAGGTTGACTCATATTATTTAACAAGTAGACCCCTTACTTTACACTGGGTTGACAGTTTATCAAACACAATCCTCCATGTTATATATAATAATACGTCAGGCAGTGTAACTACTCTTGATCGTGTAGATATGGTGGGAAAATAATATATTCCTGGCCCTAACATTGTAAACATACCTAGTCATTTAAATTTTTTACACCTGTATACAAACCACAAAGGTACATGTAGCTAGCTTCTAGGTATAAATATGTGGGTGTTATGAGTATCATGATATGTACCAAAATGAAATGGATTTTAATGTCCTAATTTTCTGCACCAACTGAGCTAATGAAGACAGGCATATACCATGTAGTGTGCTATGATTGAAATTTTGTCTGAACAGTGGCGTTTCAGTATTCTCTATTAAATTCCAGTTGCCAATGGTTCTTTTTACATTCAAGCTAACTCGTACAGGGGACCTCTGTCTTTTGAACAACAAAGGACTAGACATTGTTCCTTGCTACTAGCTATAAATATGTGGGTGTTAGCATCATAAAGTTGACTTATTACAATTTAAACTATACTAAAAGTTGACCTTTAACAAATTTCACATACCAAAGAATATTAAAAGTAAAAGATGTCCTGTAATATATTATGTGTACTTAATGCTCACAATATACTTAAAGTATAATGACTATTATAGCTACCGGTATGAAATGGTATAAGGTGTTCTGGAAATACATGTAGTAAATATATCATTCTTGTGTATAATACCAATCATTAAATAGGGCAATGATATGGACTTGAATGAAGTACAAAAATGAAAAAAATAAATTCTGGTATATGTTAATAATTCCTCATTATTTTCTTAACTCTAAAATATGATATCTCTTGTATTTGGATCTTGTCTATGAATATAACAATGACAGACATTTTTTTGATGATAAAAAGTGTAGCAGAGATTGAGATTGCCATTAGATGATGATTTCGTCAGGATAATCTTGCCTGCTGGATTTCCTATAAAAAAAAGGTATTTAAAGCTTGTAATAACATGCTTGTTGCAACCTATTGATTAATTTGGAAGAATGTTTGCGGTTAACAAGGTTATTGATGTGACAATGACACATATTCGATTTCATTTCCCTAAGACCACAGGATTTCCAATTGGATCAGATTTTCAAGATGACGGACATGACACTCTCAGGGCATAATGACATGTCTTCTGAGTCAGTTTTTTTACTTGCTGTGATTCACACTTCTGATTCAATTTGTGAAAAAAAAATGAAATCTGCAGCTGACAAAATAAATGTAAATTGATTGATGTTACACGCTGTTCGTGAGAAGGATGCAGACTACATATTATCTGAAACTGTTGCCTATAAAGCCCAGTGTGATACACATCCTGGTTTATTTCAAACTTAGGAAATACTTTCAACAGTATTTTTTCTACATATCCTAAAACCAGGCTCCAAATTCTAATTTAGTGCTTACAAAAATATTCATATATTTTCATTCAAATAACATTTCATAGCTATTCAATCCATAATTCAATGTTACTTAAAACCAGTGGAATTTAATCATTTTTATTTTTACCCCAAAAGCTAATAAAATAAACTAACATTTAGAAAACCTACAAGGATGAGCAAGCGACTCCACTCATTGTCACGTTCACTTGGGGATCAAACCACGGCACTTGACTCAATGAAAGATTGTATCTAAAGTGTAAGTGTTGGATCACTCGACACCTCCACCCTGATTAGCAATGGAACAAATGACTTTCAATATTCGAATAGTAATATAAGCATTTGATGTGACTACTAATCTAATTACTGGTAAGATGAAAAACCTGCTAAATTAATTGACAGAATGATTTTAGTCCAGATGTCTTTGATTTAGATCAAGAGAATGTGTTGAATTTTAAGGTCTGCTATTATCTTTAATATATATAAATAATAATATTGATTTCCATGGTCTTCAAACAATAAATCACATGTAATAACATATGTCAATGATATTTGCTATAAATGTAGTTTTTATTATTGATCTTGGCTATCTAGAATCGACATATTTATTTGTTTTTCTGTTCATCAATAATCAATTAAATGTCAGGTATGATAAACAACCTAATCAAATATATCAATAATTTACCTGCTAGCTAAAATGAGAGAGAGAGAGTTTTACATGCACTCCACGCAAGCTAGGACATTTCAGGACTAACATATGGTTCATCCAGTATAAGAGAGGGGAATAAACTTAGTACCCCTGCATGGAACTCAAGAACTCTGAACATATTCTCCGACCATCTCTCCAAATATGATATAACTATACAGTTTTACTATAACTATACCGTTTCATACATTTTATTATATTTATATAATATGTATGTGTTTGCCATTTTAACTATGTATATACACACATTTGCACTCATATTATATATATAAATTATTTAGGGAGAGGGGTTTTACATAGGCTATGCTTGTTCCCCAACCCCATTCAGACAACCTGAATAAAAATATTGTTCATAAAAAAAACAAACCCCAAAAAACCATATGGTTCAATTTTATTTCAATAATTTACTTGCACATAAGGGTCTTTAACAGTGGGAGGAAATCGAAGGACCCAGAGAAACCCCACAAGGATGGACAGACGACCCTACTTCTTGTCAGTACAAGTGTGAGATAAAAACGTCACTTGACTAAATGACAGATCTTAAGATGTAAAGCGCATGTCTTAGACCATTCAGATTCCCAATCCCCCAATGTTTTCTGTACTTAGTAAACAATATTAATATTTCTGGTATATAATTTGATTGTCAGGTTAATTATATGTGGGACATCTAACACAGCAAAATAACACAAGCAAGTTTCCCAAATTATACATATATGTATATATTTATATTTTTTTTTTTATTGGCTTAATGTAATTTTGACCAAGACAATTTTTGAATAAACTCCCTGAAAATCACTTGTAAATTGAAAACATCGCTACATCTTACTGATGGTGAGGCAGATGTCGCAATTTTGGACATTTGAAAATCCCCAATGTAACTGTTGAGTCAAATCATGTCAAATTGAATAAAATTGTTAAAAACTTAAAATGTGCTAATTGCCTTTTTAAAATTACTTCATACAGTTTAATGAAGCTGTTATTATACACATTTTTCCATTGAAAGTTAAGACTTTGCCATCTTTTTTTTAGTCTTTTGTTTTATTAGATAAGAAATATTTAAGCATGGGAGTATTTTCGTGAGTTCTGTGTTAAAAACATAGTGAACCCAAGCCATTTTAACAGGCTGGTGTTTTAAGTTCTTCTTTTTAACAGACAGTCGTGTTGACAATAGTTTGAAGGGAGTCAATACAGGAATATAAATAGAGACGAACACCTTAACGCTATTAAACACGACTACATCCTTCTTCGCCTACCTGAGCAAATCTCAACAAACAGTGAAATAGTTGGAAAGGCCATTAGACAACACGTTCAACACGAGGACCCCTGCTAGTCAACGGAATACAAAGACAGCTAAAACAATTGTTGGTGCGGACAAAGTTAGATTCTTGTCCAGACATTGTTGAACCTATATAACAGACGGTGCCATGTTTCTATAGACAAGAGTGCAGTCTATAAATATTATTATTTATTTTTTTGGAAGGTGCATGCCAATTCCTTTACAAATAGACACAGGCCTTATAAATTCTACACTGATAAAGGCCAAACAATTTAATTTTTAGTGCTTTGGCACTTGATAAAAAAAAATAGCCATGTTAGTTGTGTGAACAATTTTTTGTTTAAAATTTCAAAACTTAAATATTTGTTCCCTAACAACAGAAATTCAAATTGGTGTGGCATAAAGATAAATATTTATAAGAAAAACTGATCAATGGAATTTATAATATGTACTGCTATGCAATGGGTGCGTATCCATATATACCATCTACAGGCTTATAGCTCCTTAAGGTCGAAAGTGCTGACTTGATCACAACTGCTCAATCACAACTTCTTCAAACCTTTTTCTACCCCCCCCCCTTTTTCTATTAAGGAAGGTAACTGCTAATTATATAATCACCATACAGACAGGTACATGGGTCATTTAATTCCAATGATCTAATTTTGCAAATAATAATGTCTATTTAACCTCTACACTTTGTGGGTTTGTTTTTTTTGGCCAAAAAAATATGCAGGTTTGTGTTATTTTATTTAAGTTCACCTCATGTACGGTTATGCAAACCTGACCTAGTCACCTAGTCATTATACTGTAAGTCGTGTTTTGTTAAAGGTCTGGATTGTATAGACTACAATAGAACAGAACGATGTGTCGTCTGTAAGATAATGCAACAGCGAGTGTGATTATCGTCAGCTTCTTCTTTGGACTTGTAACCTTTTCCTCTTCACAAATAACCAAATACCTCCCCGTAATCTTTTAATCTAACAAACCCGCCAAAAATCCAAAAATCAACTTACATCAAATCGGGTCTAAACCGATGGATGAGGGCACAAAATGCCAAGCCGTCACGCCATGAAGTTGACATGTCAGTGACATTTACATCTCTGTATCCCTCTGTCCTACGGGCGCACCACTGTTGCAGACCTCTTATTTTAGAAGCCATGTTGTATTGGCACTAAAGGCTTCAAAGTAGTCGACCTTTAACCTTTCAACTTGAAACTGTTAAATCCACATGATTGGCTGCCCTGAAAGAAAAACAGGAAATGAATAAGTTTGAAATAAACATTTGATATTTGCTGAAACATCAAAAAGGTTAATGGCTGTAATCATTTCAAATCTTTTCCGTTAACTCGACAATTTACGGGTTAAACTCCTGTAACTTTTCCCGTAATCCGTTTTATTGTGAAGATAATATATTTTCTTCAACCATATAAATAGTATAGTATAAATACAAAAAAAAATTCATTTTAGTAAATCTTTGTCACATATGTGTTGTTTACATACCACACAATATCTTAACACAAATACATATAAACGGAAATTTTCAAACTTTTAATACTAAAGCTGCATTTTTCGGCCAACATCTATTTGTTCATGGCATAATCCATGCTAAAATGTACTCCAATCGATTTTTTAACATTTAATTAAGGAAAAAAATTTAAAATATCAATGGCAGATAATCAATCTCCTTCCTGGCTTGGATTCAATCAATTGAAAAGAGGTCCAAGAGGTAACACTAACTTGTTTATATAGTCTACAGAGGATGTCAAATTCAATTCATAGTATCTTTGTAAACATTGAATGGAACTGAACCATAGTTAAACTGATATTTCTTTTAGAGATTCAACTTTCACAATATTGTAGTTTTCAAAGCTTTAAAAATCACTCAAATGATCATCAGCAGCATTAATAATGTCTTGGAAAAACTATGTTATGCAAGATACAAACATATTACTTTCGGTGACCGAACACAGCTTAATAATATCAGGATGCTGCATGTTTGATTGGCTTTATATGAATTGCATCCATGTATCCGTATATGATTTTCTACTGTTTTAAATAACAAACATCAAAATATCTAATGTTAATAAACTAGCTTGAATCAGGAGTTGTAATGGCAATAAACTAGCTTGAATCAGGAGTTGTAATGGCATGTTATGATGGAACAATTTATCCAATGACCTCTTAACATCATCATTGTAAACACAAAACAGTACCTCATCTGCAATAATTATAATTCTGCTTGCTGCGTTCTATGTCAATGACTAATAATCCTAACTCAGTAGAAACATTGAACTAAAAGTCTTCAAATCAGTTTAAATTAACATCAAATGACCAGTAGAGTACAAGGTGACCAAGTCTATTGATGTTCTTGATGACCCAGACAGGATGTGACATGTTCTATGTACAGATTGATATACTATAGCTGATTCTATCAGATATATTATCTGTGTATAAGCTTACTCTATATACATGTAATAATAGCATTATGATATAACTTAGATTATATAATCATTACAAGATTATAAAATTATGATGATCAGATCAGATCAAACGGCTAAATCTGCTGTTTGGTATTATATAGTTGCTCATGGGAGATTATTTCTAACAGTCTGCAATTTTACCAAGATTTAAATCAGAAAAACATGTAACACGAAGCATGGTCATACTTATTGCTGGTTAAATCCAATTTACTCCAAAATTTTTTTATAGACATGCATGTCTATAAACTGTCCAAGTACAGTCAAGAAAAGTGGAGACTAACCACAGATTACAGCTGAGAGGACAAACTTTGAAGGTCAACATGTCTGTTGCCCATCCGACAATATTTCTACTAAGCAATAAGGTACAACTACTAGAATAAGTTTCATACAGATATGTCTTGAACAGTTTATCAGATATGCTCTAGAACCAAGTAGTCTATTTCAATATCCTTGTCTTAACTTTGTTATGCACAGGATAAAAAAGGAAACCAGACAGTGGTGCTATAGCCCATTGTTTTTTCGATTCATAACTTCTAAAGTATAATTTACATGCTACAAAAGGTTGTCAATCCTTCCGAAAGACTAGACACTTATCCTTGCACCACTGAAAAGAGGAAATCCTAAATGGACCCTTCAGTTAGTGATCTAGTGACATACTCACTGAACCTTTCTATATACACATACTTGTAAAGTTACATACGGTCTGAAAATGTCCACTTTAATGTTAATTATTCTATTTTGATTTGCAACAATGCACAGTTTACTGTATGATTGTAAATGAAGATGGAAACCTGATATAAATGTAGCAACCTGTGGCAAGAACAAGCATTTTTACCAGATGTTTTAACTGGTGATTTTCTGCATCCAATCTGAACTCTTTATATTTTCAAACTGTCACCATGTGACCTGAAAAAGTTAACTTTCATTGTTGTAAGTACCAAATGTGTGTCTCTTGAAAGCTGTTCCAGATTTCTTTGTCCCAGTTTAAGATTCTGTTACTTCAAGTACAAACAACTTCTTCCTCTAAATAAGAATAGTTCAAGCCATTGTGGTGCATTCTAGCGATCCGTACATGTGGTTTGTGTATGAACAGAATTTGTACTGTTTGCCCTTTGAACTAATTACTTTTTAACAAAGCAAAAACTAGTTCTTTCCAATGTCTGGGCTTCAGCACTGAAAATCATGAGGCCTAGCTGCTATCAATGCAAGTTGTGGTTCAATCCCATGCTTGTATGTGATCAAGAAGGACTACACATTGTATACTTTCTTCAGGTAATTCCTACACACAAGGAAGGATCTATTGAAAAAGATAACCAGTAACAAAATGCCATCATGTAGTTAGTGATATTAGGAAATTCTCCATTTTCCAATAACCATAAACTAATTCTTTCAATGGCATTCAGTAATTGTACAGAAAATACACAGGACACAATTCTATACTTTGTTTGATAACAACTAGAGAAGCCTAGTTGAAATGTCTCTCAATAATTATATTCCATAGAACCATAAATAAATGATAATAATATCTCTATACACCGTATTATTGGACAGAGAAAATGAAATGAAATGAAATGAAATGGGGTTTAACATCCTACTGTTCACAAATTAATGATTATTGCATTAATATGTTTGTTTTAATAATGCCAAGGTCGTATAACTCAGCTAGTTTCCAATAAAGCTAGTATATTCTGTTTCTATCATACATATACTACACATATATGATAGAATACAAAAACACATAAATCAAATCAAGAATCAATTTCACACAAGTGACCTTCATCTATTCATACCTATACTGTACGGTATATATATATATATCTAAACAATTAACTCACCTAGTCAAGCTTATAAAATACGGCATGAATACAGAGATGTTCTACTTCTTGACTAACGGTCCAGGTTGTCATATTATATATAACTACCCTATACATGTATGTTATATAGATATATGTGGTATAAGCTTACTTATTGATTTTTATACCGTTAGCTCACATCCCGTCCATACCTGTCTTTCTTCATCAATAATAAATCTATATTTCACGCTTCAATGCATTTTTTTCACAACCACAAAATTACCAAAAAATAACAGGTAATAAATATCATAAAAAGGAAATAAATTGCACCAAAATTAATAATACCTATACAAATGTATTTATACCAGTATAAAAGGAAATAATTTGCATTAAAATTCAATAATACCTGTACAAATGTATTTATTTAAAAATATTTCATATCAAGAATTTATTTAATTTAGACTGAGATTATGAGTGAGGTACATATGAATGACAAAGGGGATTCACCTAGGTGAGTTACTCAAGCGTACTGGAAAACAAAACCTTCTTCATTTCAATAAATTATGGACATGATATAATTTTTAATAAATTTCATTTAAAATATATAATTTAATTCCAATGAATGTAGAATCAATATTTACAAAAAAATTTTTTTTTTCAGTTTATGCTGAACCAAAATTGAGGAAAAGGCATTCTTTTTTGGGGGGACAAATACACATCATGCATTTAAATTCAGGTAATAATGGCAATCATAGCCTTAACCCTAACCAGTTCGTGTTCAACTCTTGTCACTAAAACATTTTCTGCCCCTAAATATAGAGTTAGAGAGGAGAAAATATGTATGTTTAGATACAATATAAGAATATCCTAAAATAACTTTTAGACTTACCATTACCATGTAAATCCTGATTTTAGTTTAATAACTTATAAAACGCGTATATCACTAATAACACAAGCTTGTCATTTACGACAGTTGAATGCAACAACATGTTCAATTGAGGATTTTCTGGTTACTACATGTAAACTGACCACACTGAACTTAATACTAACAGTACAGGCTATTTACCTTAAAACTAGCTTCACTTTTAATTAATGATGTTTACAAACAAGCTTAACATTAATACTGTGGACTCAGCCCAAGGCAGTAATAGCACAGATTAACTTACAACAAAAAGGCCAAATATGGACCTGCGATGAAAATCAAATCGGACAACCACTTTTAGTTGTACAATAATATTTTGCTGTTTTCAAGAGCCACTACAAATCACAACAGTTTACAATAAAATATACAAAAGCAGAACATTTGCTTACTGGTTTAACTATATTTGGTTTCCTTTGTTAATATGTTTCAGGTCTAAGAACAATTTCAGGATTTTACAAGCCTGTTTGGTGAAACACCTGTGTGACTGGCTAGTAGTGTTGCCTAGTCAATCTGAGAATATATCAAACCAAGGTCCATCATATACACCACATATATATTGGCATGCATTTAAAAACAACATTTGACAATTCTAATTTAGTAAAGAGTATGCAGCAAATTGACTTTATACATATAGATGTATGACTCGTTAATTCAGTTTTTAAGTAAAAGAAATAATTAATTTACCTGACAACAGAAAGCTAATAATGTTAAACAACTAACCATTGCTACATCTTGATGTCTATCACAAGTGGTTGTTGTTTAGAAATGGTAGATAGATAACCTGTGCACCGATAACTTAAATCAATAACTATTACACAAACCAACTACAAATGTTAACAGGTACAATGTAGATAATGGACCCATAATATTAATAGTAGATTAATCACAAAGTTCTATGGAAGAAATTTACTGAATTTTATGCTTGAAAACGACAAGAGAATCAATAATCTTCTTCCATAGAACATTTTTGTGATAATTTAAAGGCTTGATGTATCATTTAGTCTAAATAGTAATCCCTTGCAAACTACAATATTGAAAAAGTTTAATCTCTAACAATAAACCTAACTCTCCACAATCAGAGGACCAGACTCTTTGTTACCTATTTAGGTTGTTTTCCGGTATTTAGTGTGTTTTCTGGTATTTAGTGGTTTTCCAGTGTTTTCCAGTATTCAGTATAACATGGTGTTTTCCGGTATATAGTATTGCCGATAAGAATATCAGTCCCAAAATAATTCAAATCCAATCAGTATTTACAATGCTATGATCAAATGAAATTTCATCAATCTATGCTGCTCGAGTGGAACAAGACACAGCCATCTTATTGACAGTGAAAAAACCTGATAGGCCTAATTTAAATCCAAGCTGGAAGATTATCTAGCATTGGTATTTTGATTTCTTATTAAAATGTTAAATAATCAATCTGAGTACATATTTAGCATGTATTAAATTGTGAGAAACATGATGTTTTAGCAAAAATGCAAATGAAGCATACCGCTTACAGTACATATTAATAGTGGATTAACTATACATGTACCTATCAAATTCTTACTCCCTTATGTCTTACCTTATCTGAAACAATGTGTTGGTAGACTGTGGATAACATTGGTTTAACCCTAATTAACTCTATTCTAATTGATAAGCTGACCTATTATCAGATCTGGACTTGTTAATTAATAAGTTATTGGATAGAAAGAACTTGAATAATTAAACAGTTCCAAGTGTGAAAAACAAAGTTGTTTGTCTTAAACAATGCCAAAATGGTGTAGACAGACTGGTATATGCTTATTTATCTTATACAAAATGTACTGGTGATAATTAATAACAATAATATTTCACAATATTTTGATAATACCAATCCTCAATTCAATTTTTGAACTTTGATCATAATTGCAGACCTTAATATACAGCCTATAATATAAGCATATCACGGTCATGTGATGCACATTGTATAAATCAAATAGATTGTAATATATATGGTGCTTATCTAGTTACACAACAATATAGGGAAGCCTGTTGCGACCATTTTATAATCGTGAAAACTTGATGGTGAGAAGTAGAAAGAATCTTGCTACGAGACATGACTTTCATTCCTGCAACTTTTTGCTGCCCCACCTTTAACAATCCTCATTTTCTTGCACCCTCATCCTCTTAACTTCATGGTACCTGGCTTTTGAAAATCCTCAGCAAGAATATAGGAATATTTTTTCTTCTACTCAAATGCGAGAAGTCCAAGTACGAGGAAGTCAAAGAAATATAATCTGGAGGTCTTGTCGCAGTTTTGGCCATGAAACTTCTTCTGGATTGTTTAGTGTGGGTTCCCCATGTTGGTGGTGCAGGAGGGAGGACCTGGCTTTAATATTCTGACATGGCAGTCCAATGTATGTACTTTTATAAAGCTTGTCTTATTCTGGTGTGCAGTGGTATGTTTAAAGATGCCTATGATTCCTCCTTTTTTTGCTTTTCACCAGGCATACCTAATCTCTATTAACCTGTATTAACTGTGCAGAATACTACTACTACTACTACTACTACTACTACTACTACTACTACTACTACTACTACTACTACTACTACTGTAGTTCTTTAACATCTGATTCCACAAAAAAGATATCGGGGACAATCTGCACAGAACTTTTTGTTGTCATAATCAATTACACCCCCGTTTAATAACTTGAGTCCTGCCTCTTCTGAAATCTTGAAAAAACATCCTGATGCATCTCTAACCAAATATGGAATAGTTTGTATACAGACAAAGATAGAAAAAGATGTCTAATTGTTGATTGTTTTAAATTACACCAGAAACCTGATTTTCAGGTGGTAAATAAAGAATGTACTGGATGTTACACACTGACTGATATTTGATCATCTAATATAAAGAGACAAAGAAGATTTAAATTAAATGTCTGATTGTTTTTATCTGGTAGAATGTACATCCTGACCAATAAAAATACATTTCTATTAATCTTTAAATCTTGTACATAAAGTAAATTCTTGTTTAAATGATATGTTGGTACAATGTACTATCTGATCATGGGAATCAGGGACCCAGTTCACAAGAATTAAAATATGACAATAAATATAATGATTTTAAAAATGGTGCCTTACTATGGCAACCGATATTAACATGTATTTTAATAGATTTTCAGTTTTTTGTGGTCCATGGTCCCAATGTACTTGAAATTTTGGGTTTATAATATTAAACAATCTTCAAGAAAAGAATAGAACATAATCCCGAGCTAAATTATGCACTGTAACAATTAAATGAGCAACAGACCTGTATGGGAACAAAGGCTATTATTCATAAAGGTTTTAGTTTTGAAAACATTTTACATTTGATCATGCATTTTATTAAGGCATCAGGTATGACAGATGGCTGAATAAATCAAATCTATTTTTCTGAATTGATTTTCTGTTATTGTTAACACCTGGATTCGGTTTTAAACCCCAAAAAAGTATATTGTCATAGTTGCCCATGAAGTCGATGATAATAAGCCAAATAAGATCCAGGCTGATATGAGCACAGATTGCAAGATATTATTTGGGCATCTTCACAGACATTAACTAAGACTGCCAATAATTAAAGTCTATTACCGCATACATGTATGTTTTAGGCAAGGTACTATATTGTAACATCATTAATGTAGGAGTCATATAACATATGATAGTAAACTGAATAAAATTAACGGTAGATCAACTCCTAGATAAGATTCAATCAGATTAAAAAAAAAACTCCCAACAAAATATTTTACCCAACACTTATGGTTGGCTAGTTTATAGTCGCAAAGGATGAATTTTCAGTTCATCATCATATCTTTGTAAATACTGAACAGAATTTAACTATTTTAAGACTGATAACCCTTTTAGAGATTCAACTTTCACAATACTGTTGTTTATAAAATCACTCAAATGATGATCAGCAGCAGCTTTAATAGCATTTCTATATTGACACAATGTGACAAAGTACTCCATAACTTTCATCAAAGTTAGACTATATTCTCTTATATAACATATTAACATTTACTCCGATGCAATAAACTTATTGGACCCGATATATTAATGATCTATGATATAAGATATACTGTCCACTACATATATTTAATTACACACTTAATCAATCCGGCATGCACTGACAATGCTGTTTATTAAATAGAATTCGCAGTCAGCTATACGAAGGTACATGTATATAAGACCCTGTGTTTTCTTTAGTTGAAAAGACTTAGGAGACTTGGTTTGGAGAGCAGAGACGAATTGAGACGAGCACATGGACTCACCCAAGTTCAGCCGCTGCTGTGGCAGCGGGATGGAATGGTTGTAATATAGTCATGCACCATGTTAACGTTATGGTTTATGTTCCTGATGTATTTAAGTTCCTGTTTGGTTTATGTTCCTATATTTATGTTCCTGTTTGATTTATGTTTCTGTTCCCGATGTAAATAAATACTATATTTACTAAACTGATCTTCAGTTATCACTAATAGTGTTACAGAGACAGCAAATGATCAAAAAAAAAAAATTCTTTTAATAAATTTCCAGACTTAAAAAAAGCGATGAAAATAGCCCTTTTGTGTAAACTAAGGATTACTGAATACTTATCTCTAAAAGACATTCATGCTACTACTATTACCCTGTCAGGTTTGTACGACGAGACACAATGGTACAAAAAACTAAAAAAAGAAAAACCTCTAAAAGTAACCATTTAAAATGTACTTACTTACCTAAGATGAAACAAGACATAACTAACCAAATACAGATTACCTAAAACTGTATACATGACTTATATTTGTCTCTTGAGAGAGTATCTTATATAAATCACAACCATGGGTTTGAGTCTAATGAAATGTCATCTATCACTTCTGTTACACATTTGTACGCATTATTTCCCAATTTGCAATACCTGTCAACACTGATTTAAATCTACAACCATTACAAGGAAAGACTACATAACAAATTTATTTTGTATAATTTAAATATTTGTGAGAAAAAATTAGAAGTGAGAGAAATAGGGTTTAATGTCAACCTGACACAAGTATTTAAATAGTGTTCGATAACCACACAAGAATCTCCTATCAATTTCAGTAATTGTATTACATAAAGTTTTGTGGTTTATTTAACTTCAAGACTTAAACAAGCTATATAAATAAAGCGAGAACCAATTTACTTGATTTCAATTCAATGTTCATTTCATCATCACTAAACAGTCCGTATTTTAGAAATATGTAATTTCTGTGAGTGTTTTATTTAGTTTCAAGTACATCTGCTAGAAAGAAGAGATTTTTTTTATTTGATTTCAATTCAATGCTCACATCTTCAAACAATTTCATCATCACTAATCAGTCTATATTTTATAAGATAACATGGTAGAGAGAGTGTCAAATGGTACAACTGAACAGAAGACATCTATCTCTATCATTAAAACATCATCAAAATACACTGATTGATAACTTACCTTAATTAAATGAACTTAATTAGATTCCTTTTCTTCTTTTATGTGACATCCGAGATACTAAATGAAGATATATGTTAGGGAATACTGAATAGTTAGTTTACACCCTACTCCATACACAATGTTGACTAGAAGAGATTGGAGACCGTTGTCGTTGTATTAAGAACCACCTGTGGTAATGTGAAGGAGCTGTATAAATAGGGCACATGTGATGCAAACCATGGTATAAATACAAATTATGTGACTCATATCTTTCAACTTTAGACTATAACAACATTCATGAATTGAGTCTCTTAAAGGGAGGAAGGGATAGTTTTATTATAGCTTTCATTGTTTAGTATACCTACTCCCACACAATATATAATCAAATAATACAATTAAATTATATTTCCTATACATTACAATTTAGAACATTTTCCTATCAGGTCAATGGAAGTACATACGTCTTTATCTAAATCTTATTCCCTTTTGTTTCAAAATTGAATAAATATAATAGATATCTACATATGTACTATATATGTATTTTCAAAAAAATAAATAATCACCTCTCATCTTATTGAATCATCATTTCTGAAATCAATTATCTTGAACAAAAGACCAACATCCTCCTCCTATCATGTCGTAGAATCTAATACTGAACAAGAGATGGCAAGGCTATGAGAAATAATATAGCCCTCCTACAAATACGAACCTGTGACATACGTATGATATGTATATCAGCTTCTGAACACGTTCAAAGGAAACCGAGTCAGAATGTAAGGTGTCAGATCATTAACCATTTTACTAACATGACTTGATGCTTAAACGTGATTGAAAACAAAAATACAACATATAATCGTTTGCTATGTAAACTTCCCAACAGTCGTGGAAAATACTGATTTTACATGTACATGACAATATGTCAGGTACTAGCAATGATCTAGTACCTGACATGTTGAGTTTGGTGCCGAACTTGTATTATCATTAAATATGATCAAAAACAAGACAAATCTATGCCAGACAAAATGACAGGCACCATTGTGATTGTGCTTGACAAAGTCTGAATTCGTGCCTGTCAATGTCTGTGATAGGTGCCTTATTTCCAGGCAAGGCCTAAATAAAGAAAAGTGATATTGAATGTTCTTCAGAGGGTGGTCACTATTAAATATCAACTCATATAACAATCAATGCTAAAGTTCATATAAGACATCTGTTGATAAGATCAATGGTATGAATTCCTTTTCCTTTATTTAACCAATAATAAAACTGTTGAATATAATTTAACGTCACACATTTCAAAATATTCAAGCTATTCTTATATGATTTTGATGACATTTTAATGAATGTATACCTTTCTCTGTGTGTAGTTAAACTGAATTCAAAGGATATACAAATATAGTTTAATTTAAATATCCAGTCTACATTATATATACATGTACATCTACAAAAAATAACAATACACTCTTTAAACTTGGCTCAATTGATTTCAATACATGTTGATCATATATCAAACTTGTGATAAGAAACATTGGATTCAAGTGAGCGTTTCAGCATTTAAATGTATTATGTACATGCATACAATTTCATCCATGACCATAACACATGTATAAATGAATGAAATGGGGTTTAATTACCGTCTACATGTACCTTTCTGATCCTACCGATTTAATGAAGGAACGTAGGAAGAAAAATGTGTTGAATGTTAATTAAACTTGTTGATGAAATGAATTATAGTCGCTATTGTCAATTCCTTGCAAAATACAATATTGTGAAAGTTATGCTAAAAGGGATATATAGGTCCACAAATGGATATGTAACCTTCAGTATTTACGAAGATATGATGAATTGAAAATATAGATAAGATTTGATAGGCCTCTTTTTAACCTGATTGAATCCAAGCTGGAGATTATGTACCAATATTTTGCTTTCTTAAGTAAATGGTAAATAATCATTTTGAGTAAATTTTTATCAAGGATTAAGCTATATATATCTATATTTCATAATTATGCAACATAAACATTGATTATAAATGACACATCAGATTCTGAAAATACATAGAGCAAGAAAATGAAAGTCTAAATTGCAAATAAAGATCAGTAACTTTAGCTGAAACTAAATGTACAGAATATCATAAATTATTTTTTTTCACAAAATAAATATATTTGATTTTTACCCCCTTACATCAATGTCTAGAGCTCTAATCTTTTGTTTTGATCTTCTAAAATACTATATACATGTAAATAACACTTTTCAGCCAACATTTAGGTCCAATATAATGTCCGTGACCTAATCAGTGAAGTGTATCTAATGTATCTGTGACCAGTAGTATCATTTTTTCATACCTCATCAATTAGCAATTTTGTTTTCTTCTTCCTTGATTATTGTTTTAACCCTTTATAGTTAAAATAGTTACAATATCATTCATTATCTTGTGCCCAACAAAGTAAAGGGAGGGATATTTAAATGAGCTCTGTCAATCCATTTGTCCAGATTTTCCTTATCTCCAGAGCATATATCTCATATTAAGTGTTCATGATGCCTCTCATTAACTGTTAATCTAATTTTATTCCTTTACGTGAAATGTCATTAGGAACAACATAAATATTTTTGCTATATGAACTCCTCAAATGAAAAGTGACATAAGGTGTTCTAGATATCGTAAACACACCCTCTCTCTGCATGGTGGGGATTTCTTTTCAGCCATTTTGTCAGTTTTAACTGACTGGGAGAGAAAATGAAAATTAAATTTACCGGTAATGTGTTTATGTGTATTTTAAATAATTGGGATAATGCTAGAAATCATATTCTTTTTTTTAAAAAAATCACTCTGATATATTATATCACAAACTGACCAAAAGTTTGAATAGAAAGCAGTGCCTGTTACTACTGATATAAATCGAGTTTGAACCTATTCTTCATGTGTCAATGGAACACATTAATTGATTATAAAAACATCCATTTCCATTATGTACTAGAACATTAATAAAGATGAACATAATATATCATGTCAATCCTGGTATTTTGAAAATGTTATAGAAAGATGAGACTGGAGATAGGTTTTTATATACCAGTATTTATAATAAACATCTATATATAAACACCTGTATTATCACTGATCTCAGATAAAATTGTTAACACAATTATTATGTTAATTCATGAACGTTTTCATTCAGAATACCACTTTACCATTTTTCTTAGTTAAGTATATCAGGTATGAATTTGAAAGTAGAAAGAAAACAATATACTAGCCTAGTACTAAACAATCACACCAAAATACCAAAATGTGGGTAGTTTATTCATATAGTACTGTATATGTAATTGGAAATCTACATTGTGGGTAGCATTGCTTCATGAAGTTACTAGTTTCATTCCATTGTGAACTAATCAGGCTTATGTGAGAATATGCGGCTATTCTCCTTTCCTTGAAAGTAGAACGAAAAACAACATAACACTAACAGAACAGAGACATATAGACAGAGAAATTGAGATTAACGTTCTCTGGGAACAAATTGTCATTTAGGGATAATCTTATTTCAATAAGTCGCTCGTGGCATGAGTAGAGATCTTTAGCAGTGGGAGAAATCTTGATGACCCAAAGAAAACCAACAAGGTTAGGCACATACATGTAAACTGTAAAATTGTCACATGCAAGTATGGGCTCAAAACCATACTACTTGACACAGACCTTATAATCTAAAATACAAGCGTTAGACCACTCGACCACCCAACCCCAATAACCAGGAGTACCAAATAATCCAAATAATATACCAAAATGTGGGTAGTTCATTTTTCTTGGTAATGTATACATTTATATATCTGGTTCAGGATCATAATGTGTATGAATTTTAAAGTAGACAGTAAACAACATAACTAGAGCAGTACCAAACAATCAATTATTTTTCACTGACTTGAATCATATTGATAGAGTTACGGTACCTTAATAAAGATCAATACATGTATATAACACATAAACAAATTCAAAGGTTGGTCGATTTCAATTACAATACATGTATTTATAAAAACAGTGATATATTTATCAAAATTAAAAACATAACTGCATTCTATTTATGGATTACAAACTGTACTGTTGGCTATATGGGCTCTAATTTCATGAATAATTATAAGCAAGCATTATGAAGAAGGTGTCAAAATTATAGATGTTGAGCACACTTAGTTCATAAAATGGAGCAACTAGAGTTTATCGGCTTATAAACCCTACGTCAATCGGCAAGATCAGTCATATTGAAATATTAAAAAATATAATTAGCTTAATATTAAAGTTGCATATCAGGACCATGCATTTTTCGGATTCTATCAAATTTTTTAAGTCTTAATACACCCTAAAATGTATTTAAATTCATTTAATAATATTTGATTAAGAAAACGAAAACAAAATATCAACATTACATATTTATTAGAATTACAAAAAAGCAAATCATCTATCTCAAAACTCAGTTATTAATTTGATCAGCAATAGCATGATGTTTATGTAGGCCCTACATGAAGTTTATTTTTGTAAACACACTTTAATAAAAGCCATATAAACAATCGGTTGTAAACAATGAATGAAAAGGTGCAATAGTAAGGAGGTCTCAACACACTCAACAATTGACAGAAATAGTTTAATCTGACCTACCTCGTCCACTAGTAAATATCCTTGTTAGTATCAAATTTAGGTATCTTTCATAACAAAATATGTATAGCTTTTGTTAGTCTGTCTATTGCTCCTGACCAGTAGGTTGTGTATACTGTTTACCGGTAATAAGAAGGAACTTAGATTGTATAACAAATCTGTTATAACGCCCTGGGGTCAACATAAATAGATTATTGATCTATAGGCTTTACAATAAGTATTATTACATCGCTACCAATATTTTCATAGAGTGGCATTTTGAAGGTAGAAGCTTATACAGACCTGAAAAAATTGATTTCAGTTTTTTACCTGACAAAAATGAACTAGTATCTGACATTTTCAACTTTGTGCAAGAAACATGTATTTATTAACAACAAAACACATACTTATGGAAAACAGCTACTAGTGTATTTAAGGCGACGTTTCGTAGAGTATTCTCTCAACGTTATCAATTGATAACGTTGAGAGAATACTCTACGAAACGTCGCCTTAAATACACTAGTAGCTGTTTTCCATAAGTATGTGTTTTGTTGTTACTCTATCCAGTTACTAAATGACATTTAAAGAACATGTATTTATTACTGGCATGGGTATACAAATAAC